GAGGGACACGAGAGGGAGGCGGGAAGGGGAACGGGGGGGTTGAGCGGAAGCAAGGGAGGCATGAAAGGAGGAAGGGGACAGTGAGCCGAAGAAGGGGGGTTTGGGAGCGAAAATGCGAAGGGGGTGAAGGGCGGGAAGAGAAGAGAGAAACAGCGAGCGGAAAGGAGGCGGGTGGGGAGGATGGGGTGTTTGGGGGAGTTTCAAGATTTCGAGAGTAAACGCGAGGTTGAGAGGGGAGAGAGACTGTACGGAAGCGAAGAGGGGAAAATTACATGACTGACCTCAATCATTTGCCGAAAGCCACCAGAAATAAGGTACACCTCGGTTCCTCTCGCCTTTAATCTCTTAACGAGTTCACCAATACCGGGGTTTAGCCTGGCACGAAGGTGGGATATCAAACAACAGCAACCAACATGCGATTAGAGGTTATAAATACGACGACAGACAACACGAGGCGACTATTAAAACAAAATCAAACGGATATAAACAACCAAAAAAAAACAATTAAAGAGGGGAGTTTGAACATAGAGAAGCATTAAGGTCTCTGAGAAACACTACATAGAAAAAGTACTCGAAGATCGTGCCGGGATTATTATACCTTGGCGGATGGTCTCTGAGAAACCCTGCCACGTCAGCAGCGGAGGGATTAAATATCTCCAGCCGAGCGGCCAGAGCTGTTTCAAACGGAACCGATCCGGACATGGCCCTGCGCGGGCAGATGGGAGAACAATTTGGCAAGGAAATCGGGCAGGCGAGATAGGAGGGAGCAGGGTAGAGGAGGATTAGATCGGAGGGGTTCCTATCGCATGGGAGATCCAACAAAGCGGTTCATGCTGTATCGCGGCCAAGCACTGAGAAATTAGAACATAGAGGGGAACAGGCGAAGACCAGGCGATGCAAGGACGATGGCCGGGCGCGCGATGGCCACACAATGGCCAGGCGATGTCACGCGACGGCCTCAAACCGCCGTTAAGAGACAAAGCGGCGGTCAGTCGAGACCGACAGGGTGAATTGCTTGCGATGTAGCGGCATCATGCTAGGAACGGACGCCATTGAAGCCCTGAGGCTGGCAGTCAGGCCTTCTCAATAGCCGCAGATACATTCATCTAGAATATGACAAGAGAAGACGGAAAAGAAGAGGATATCCAGGTGCAAGCTCATTCAGACTTATTTCTTACTTGGTCGTCCAGGCAGCTACTGCCTCGCCCGCTCCGCAATATGCGGCGAGCTCGTCGATGCCCTCGTCGACGCAGACGGTGCTGTCGACGTCGAAGCACACCGCGTCCGCCGCTCGCCACACGCGCAGCACGTCTGGAAGGTTCGCACAAGAAGGGTGAGCGGAGGGGAGGGGGAGCGGAGAGGAGAAGGAGTGGAGAGGAGGGAGGAGCGAAGGGGAGCGGAAACCGGAGGGGAGGGGGAGCGGAAGGGTGGAAGCAGAAAATGCGAGGGGTTTTTGGAGCGAGCTCGTCAATGCCCTCGTCGACGCAGACAGTGCTGTCGACGTCGAAGCACACCGCGTCCGCCGCTCGCCACACGCGCAGCACGTCTGGAAGGTTCGCACGAGAAGGGTGAGCGGAGGGGAGGGGGACGGAAGCGAACGGAACAGAGGGAAGCGGAGCAGCGGCAAGGGAAGGAGATTAAGGCCAGAATTGAAGGTTAAAACGGTTGAAAAAGTCGGCATATTGTCGAGGAACAATGGAAACAGGATCGATGAGGGCCTTTGAAAGATCGGTGACGGTCTGTACAACAGCAGCAGCATGTTGCGGCTAGGAGTGCTAGGGTTTCTTATAGGCGCAAGAGAAGGTGTCGAGGAACAATGACAACAGATCGAAAAGGTTTAAGGTACGGCAATGTGCTTCACGTAGGCATGCTACGGTTTCAAAGGTGCTGGAAAGAATGCGTCGTAACCCTTTGATTTGAACGGCTGACATAGCTGCATAACAGTGTAATTAGATCGAATACATACCTTCCGAAGGGGTTGTGTTAGTTGTCCGAGCACTACTAGTCGCGCTGCATCTAGCGCTGCTCGTCGCGTTGCTCGTAGAGCCAGAGCTTCTTCCCGGATACGCCATCCGCAATGGCCGCTGCGCCGACAAGCCGGAAAATCGGCCAGAAGACGTAGTTGACGGAATTGACGGACTTTGGCAACGAGCCGAAGAGGCTCGTGGCAGAGGAGCCAGCGCAGCAACAGAACGAGACACCTTGACGAGCATCTGACTGGCAGCAGATGGCGCCATGACTGCTCTGCTGGAGGAGAAAGGCAGCAATCAATCCAATAGTGGTCGCTGAATCGCTGATAAGTAAATCTGGTCACTGTGTTGATCCCCAGTCCAGAGAAAGAAGCGAGGAAAAAGAGTTCTAGGCAGACAGAAGCCAAGAGAGGTGGGGAGAGGCGAAGAAAGGTGAGAAGAGGCGAAAAGAGGCGGTGAGGGGAGATGAGAGAGGGAGATGTGAGGAGCCGAGATGAGAGGGGCGATGAGAGGAGGGGAGATGAGAGGAGGGGAGTTGAGATGAGGGGAGATGAGATGAGGGGAGAGATGAGGGGAGATTAGAGGGGAGGAGAGGCGAGAAGAGGGGACAAGTGGGGGAATATGAGAGTAGGGGCGAGGAGGGAAGATGGTGACGAGGTGAGGGGAGTGGATGGGAGGAAAGGGGAGGGGAGGGGAGAGGAGAAGAGGAAAGAAGGCGGAGGAGGGAAGAGAGTGGGGAGATTTGAAGAGAGGGGAGGAATGGAAAGGAAGGTTTAGAAATGTTCCTTAGAGGTATTTCGTTACACCCTTTCAAACCAAGAGCGAATTCAGATATCATAAAATGCTGGGCACTGCCATGCACATAGAAAGAACAATATTTATCACTTTGCCTCAGCATGCGGAATGATTGATTTAAATTTATCTTATTCATAGGCATGCTCTTTTATTTAATTGAAACTGTAATGCTATTAGTTTTTTACATTATGTTATGAGTTTCTTTACTGACCTCATGTATCCATAGTGCCAGTCAAAAGTTGAAACAATCTTGGAGAGGAATCAATACCGAAGCAGCTTTAATTGCAGCAACCAGAAAACCACCGTCACAGACCACGAATCTCGTGGCAGCAATCGTGGAGGAGGCAGGTTTTCTGACCAGTAGAATCACGTGGGCCGACGAGCACGGTCATGACAAATATCATATCTTTCCGAACTCCTTGATTCTGGGCAATGGGGGACATTGGTCAGCACGCCAACGGCTAGCTTTTTTTCTGCTGGCCTCCTATTCACGCCAGTTCCTAGAAATTGGGGGAAATGGGCTCTGACAGCGCCGACATGGACCTTTCCACGCTAGGTGGCTTGCTACTCCGTGCTTCTCACCTGGCCTCATCTCATCTCTCCCTCCTTCCCGCTTGACCAATTTTACCCTTTTGGAGGATTTATTCCCGCCAAACCCGCAGCGGAAGTGTGCAGGCAGGAAGAGAAGGGCCGGGCCACACCTGTGCAGATTTCCGCACCTTACTGAACCGTTAAAAATTGAAGTAAAGCACAAAGAACATGGAAAAGAACCATGTCAGTCTCTACTTTCCCATGATACTCCTTCACTTTTCGGCTGGAGACGAAAAAAGTTGTGCGATGTGGAGGAATGCAATGCAACGAACTGTAGAGTATTGTGTATCGTCTTGTTGTGCACCTTGCTTTGCCCACTGCTCTTGGCAGCATTTCGTGCAGAACCGACCAATGAATGACCGCCATGGCTAGCTACAGTGGCCCATGCCACTTCACTATTGCAGTTGTTGAACCGAGGACCACTACACTCCATGGGGGAGTCATTTATATTTTCACGTGACGTCACGTGACGCCTCGATTTTGGCCCGTTTTAGGGTCGTCGGACGGCCGACGCTCACCTGGTTGATATATTGGCCTCCATCGAGGGTGACTGATACAGAACAATCTGCCGCATTTTCCGGCTCGCATAGCCGCAGCGAGCCGAGTGTAGTCGTGCCGCGTAGTAGTAGGGGGACTTGCAAGGAAAGTACACTGTATGGGTTCTATTCGAGCAATACTCATGCATCACTTGCGCTGCCAACACAGTGTCGAAGCAGCATTTTTTACCAGGCGCGCCGCAATGGTGATTCACGCACAAGGTCGTGTGTCCAGCAGACAGACGAGCACGAGCTACGAGGGTCAGGTAGGGCCGAGTAATCTAGTCAACGGGTACCTCTTGACAGCCTAGAAACCCGCTCTAGTTGCCCCTTTTTTCGTCAGAGTTTCAAGTCGCGTTTAGAGGACGGCTGGCTGGCCCACGCGCCGCAGCGCGTCCTCGTTACGACGCTTTGCCTTGCGTCGGCTAGCTCTCCCCTACCCCTTCTCTGACGCGCCACGTCGAGACGAGGGAATCTTACGTGACGTGCATAAGTCGGCGCCACCCTGTAACGACATGCAATAACCCAATGTTTTACTATCAGACAAGCGAGCGAGCCCAGAAAGCTACCCTTGGACTTGCTCGTTCAGACTTTGTTTGACAGCCGACTTTTTGCCAACAGCACCATACCTGAGGCCACCATACACTGAGCGAGCGAGCCGAGCACATCAGCCAGACGTCGTTTCGAGAAGCTTCGACTCGAAGGACTCTCTCACAGCAACACCGTTCCGCTGCTACAGCAGCAGTGGCGGTATCCCAGTGGGTGGAGTGGAGGAAATCTCCCAAGTGCATCGCTGAGCCAGAGTAGGCTAGACTAGCCTTCCTGCATTTCGGTCTTGCCTGGCCACTCGCTCAGTCACGTCGATCCAGTGAATATATAAGACGAGTTCATATCCCGTCTACGCATAGCTTGGCGGCGGGTCTCAGCAGCTTGATATTACCCCGTCCTTTTCGAGAGGAGCCCTTTCGGAAAGTTTTCTTGGTTGGTGGACCCTCTCACCACTCTCACCAGACTCCTCTCTCAGATCACGCCATCAAAATCTTCAGAGCTGCATTGAGGCAAATTTTTCCCTTTTTCTTCATTATTTCTCTAATCATTCCTTCCCTCAATGGCGAAGACAAGCAAGAGCCTGTGGGGGCATCTGGACGCGCTTCGGGGCACCAGCGACAAGCTCGCGTGCTTGCTGCTTCCAGACGGCAGCATTGAGATGTTCGGCGCGGGGAAGAGAGTCGCGGATATCCTAGCGGAGTATCCTGGTTACCACGTCGGCAGCCTCACCTCCTCCCGCCCACGACTCGCGCCGCAAAAGGTTCTGCGACCCGGCAGCACGTACCACCTCACCCCGGTTGTTTCGGCCGACGGGGAAAACGGCCCGCTTTCTCCAGGGGGAAATGGCGGGGAGGGGACTCCTCGTCTGCGTCGCGAAAGCGCGTCGTTTTTGCGACCAACGGAAGCGTTTGGTGAAGTCGCCAACGATGTTGCTCTGGTTCACGAAGGGCCGCACCGGGGCCCTTCGCGGCGAGTGTCGCTGGACCCGGGCTCGCTACAGCGGCACGCCACGGGATCCCCGCGAACGAGCACCCGCTGGCGGGTGATTCCCCGAGATCCTTTCACGGGCCTCCCTGCGACGCACGAAGGATCGCAGCCAGCGGAGTCGCAGCCGGAGTCGCAGCCAGAGCTGCTGAGCGCAGCGATGGTCCGCGCAGCACTGACGGGGTCCGAAACGCAGAGATCTTCCGCGGAGGAGACAATGTGGACTCCGCACATGCAGCATAGTTACGCCGGCGTTCAAGGCGCGCCCAGCGTTCAGATCCCCCCACAGGAGCCACAACAACAGCAGGATCAAGAGAAGGAGCAGCAGGGAAGCACAACGAAAGTTGCTGTGCTTGAGCGCCAACTACCCCCCCCCCGCGGTAACCAGAGGAAGCTGGCAGATTCGCCTGTTGCTGCAGTTTTTCCGGACTTCGCCGTCTGTTACGACATTGACGAAGATGTCAGCGACGCTGGCAATTTCATGCGGCGAAAGACTACAATGTCTCATTCGAAATCGCACCCCCGCGAAATGTGTCGCGAATGGGAACCTATTCGTGCTGCTGTGGGTGGCCCATCCCCCGAACCCTACATCAATGCCACCGCGACTTACCACTCCCAACCCTTCAGTTCCACCGCGGCATACCACTCCCAACCGTTTCATCAAACCGTAAACTCTCCCCATTCGTTATCGTCCTGCCGTGAAGGCCTTGAGCAACCCGTAAGCAGCAGCGCCACTCCCTCCAGCTGCGGCAATAGCAGCCATTTCAGTGCCGCTTCCGTGCGCTCCGCGCTCATGTCCTCGTCTCCCTCTGCCTCCTCCTCCTACTCTTCCTTCGCATCTTTCTCCATTTTTTCGTCCTCCTCCATCCAGCTGACGAGCCAGGAGGAGTCCTTCACGCCTTAGGGAGTGGAATATGCTTCCGTGGATTTTGGGTCCTCATGGGATTTGCATTCCCCGTTATCCGCTCCCTTACTGCATCGAAACTCTCGCTAGCATGAGCGAGTTTCTAAGATGAAATTGCTGTGCCCTGTCACGCGTTGCTGCGCTTGCCAGTCAGGACGGGGTGGTTCTTTCTGAGCTTTGCTGCTCAACATCCGTGATGCTAGCCCGTGATGATTTTTTTCGGGAACTGGCTTTGTAGTCTTCCCGATTAGACTGTAGATTGCTGTACATGAATGAATTAATAATATGCACCAATAGGCAGAAAGAATGGAACCAATCGTGGCCTTTCGACGGCATCTCAATTAGCCACAAAGTTTAGGTAAGACGATATTCCGAAAATCCATATCGTTCCTGCATATACCGATCATTGTGCAAATATCGCATTTCTCAAACCCCGCATTTTAGCTGGTTATGGCAGAATCGCGGCGCTCGATCTCTCTGACATCAGAATCTCTGATACTGCAGCGATTCGTGAAACCTCTGTCTAGCACACTACCTAGTGCCCACTGTGTCAGTCAGACCAACGTAGTACGACCATCTCGATCGAGCGCTTTTCAACGCATCATCCTCAGCACCGAATGCGTCATCGTTCTACTCTCATGTTTTCCGCCGGTCCCTGGTTTGGCGAGCTGATACTATTCCCGGCCGTTCAAGTTAGTTCGCGACATGGCGTTCGGCATTGGTAGTTCCTCGATCTCGCGCAGAAATGGTTCCGGTTTAGACGTCCTGAAACTCATTTCTTTAAAAGTCTCCGAACCTGAAAGTATAGGCTCCTCGTTCCAGTATTTGTCGCGTTTCTTTCGGCATTTCTAAAACGTCCCAACAGTTGAGACGAGCCCGGACAGATGGTGCCTCGTTAGCCGTGCTGTGTTAGAACACTTTTCGGACTTGAAGCGGGTTTTCAACGTCGAAGTGAGTCCGCGATCCCACTTCGTGCATACCAACGCCCTGCGCGTGCCTGCACCCTCTGCCTTCATTTCCGGTGAGCACCTTGTGAGTCACCTCAAACGTCACTTCGTCCACGTCAATGCCCTCCGCCTGCCCGCCGCCTTTGTGTGTACTTCTCCCCACTGTCACCCCCTTCTCTGTCACCCCCTTCTCTGTCACCCCCTTCTCAGTCACCCGCTTCTCTCTCACCCCCTTCTCTACCAACCCCTCCCTGCCAACTTCCTCCCTGCCTTTTTCCCTCCCCCGTTGCTTGTCCAGGTGCTGACCGGCCCGAGGGTCGCCCGGAAAATATGCCCTCCTCTCTTGAGGCGCCTCAAACGCCCTCCACGTCCTCTCTTTCCCTGCTCCCTCCTTCCTTCCTTCCCCTCCTCCCCTTCCCCCACTCCCCTCCCCCCCTCCCCTTCCCCCCACACCCCGCCCCCCAAACAACAGGTCCTCTGGCAGGCACTAAGGGTTCAGAGAGTCGCCTGGAAGTAAGCCCTCCCTCCACCCTTCACTCGCTTCCCATCCCCTTCTGCTCCCACCGTTCCCCCCCCTCCACCCACCCCTCCCAAACAACAGGTCCTCTGGGAGGCACTAACGGTCCAGCGAGTCGCGTGGTAGAGAGTTCTTCACTCGATCAATCTCAGATTCGCATCTCCGCGCTCCTCCTCTGCTCCTGGCGGGATTGCCAGGGGCAGAAGGAGGGGGAGAGGAGGAGGAAGTGGGAGGCGAGGAGGGCGGAAGGAGACGGGGAATGGGAGAGGATGAGGAGGAGGAGCAGGAGTGTGTGTGCTACTGGTGGATGAGATGGATTAGCTGATCAACCCCCCCCTCCCCCTCCCCCTCCCCCTCCCCCTCCCCCTCCCCCTCCCCCTCTTTTCCTCCCTTGCTCTCTCCCTCCCTCTTCCTCAGTGCGGACTAGTCGGCACCTGCCTCCTCCTTCCCCTCGCTGCAGCGCTGCAGAGCTGTCCTCCCCTCCCACTCTCTCTGTTTCTCTCATTCCCTCCCTGCAAATCTGGACGATACCTGCCGCCTTCCTCCCCAAGCTGTAATGTTGTCGCCCCCCTCACTGCAAACCCCCTTCCCCCTTGCCTCCAACCCCCTCTCTCCCTCTACCTGTCCGTCCTTCCTCTCCCTCTCCCTCTCCCTCTCCCTCTCCCTCTCCCTCTCCCTCTCCCTCTCCCTCTCCCTCTCCCTCTCTCTTCTCCTTCCACTCCAATGCGCGCATGGCAGAGCCTTTTTTTTTTTTTTTCCCCTATTCGAACAACAGATCTTGCTGCTATCCACCCAACCTTGACTTGATAGCACGGCTGAAAGTGGGTGCAGGCAGCCTAGGAAGAGATGAGACTCAGCCATGCAGTGCGCAGAAATGTAGAAGTGATTTCTACATTTCTGCGGTGCCTCAACTCAAGGATCGCCCAATCCCCATTCTCTCTTGTCTCTCCTCTCTCCGCTCTCTCGCCTATCTCTCCTTCCTCTCCAGTGCACGCCTCTGCTAGCAGAGGGCGCAGCGCTGCACTGCCAACAGCATATGCAGCTCAACTTGCCAGGTATGCTCCTTATTCTGCTCCACTAACGTCAGTTTTAACTTGATGTATGATCAAGATATGTCTTGCTACGTCTCCTTCCTTTGCTCACGCGTGCGTGTGCGGATTTAGTACGGTATGTGTTCTTGGTTGTGTTCTTTCCATGTTTCTTTCTTTCACTTTCTTTCGTGTAGGGATGAAGCAGTTGATGCACTGAGGACCTACCCAACCAGGATATGCCCTGGATGTAAAAGCAACTTGACTGATATTAAAAATCAGGTGCACTGTATTACTATGTGGAATACCTTATCATATACCGTATGACGATGTAGTTTTATACGAAGAGAGCTTCCAATAGCCCTGTAACCGTGGGCGGTTTATGAGTGCTAAAATGCATGGACACCTGCTTTCAACAATCTCCTATTTCACAAGCATAAATATGTAAAGTTTCATGTGTTCTTATGGACTTTTGTGTTGCACTCTTTAGCAAAAGCTGGTGCTGGAGGTACAGTGCGGGTGTCAGGGAAGGCAACTTATTGGAGCTAGAATTATTGGAGCTGGTTTATTGTGGGTGAATTCTTATTCGTTGCGATTCGACATTCGACACCCTCCACGAAAGCAGATTGGCGAGCGCAGCCAATGTACTACATTGTAAACGCGGTTCGGTAGCCTTGTTCCTCCTCCGCCTCAGCACATAAAACACATTCCCTTGCCCAAGCAAACAATCACAACACTTCTCCAGTTCTCACCACATAGCTTCCTCCAGATTCGCGACATTTCGTTTCCTCCATCTGAAACTCTTCAGCAAGGCTTGGCAGCTTCACTGCGGGCGCTCGTCCAAGAAGTCTCAAGCTCCACCACCTCTTCTCCAATCATGGGGCAACGAGGCAAAAGCGCCATCAGTGGAGCCTTGGCGATCATCCTTGTCGTAGTAACCTTGTCAGGTGCGACTTCGAGATGTTTTCGCAAAAGGCATTCGCGACGTTTCTGACGAATCTGACAATCGTGCGGTTCGCACGCACAACAACCGTCTTGACTATCGTCTCTCTTGAGATTGCCCTATCCAGTTCCCACATTTTTGCGCGAGTCGTGTGACAAGTATTCTCCTGGTTGATACGCACGATCCCCACCGGAAAAAATATACCAACGTGCCTAATTTGCTCCAACTTTGAACCTTTTACCGAATTTCCCGTGCAGCGTCTTCCTGGCAGACCGTACGAGCGTTCGGCTACTATGACGGCACCCAACAGACCGAAGTCAACCAGCTGAATACCGGCCGTACCCTGCTGAATCCCGACGGCACCCAGCAGAATACCGACGGCTTCCAGCTGAATACTGACGGCACCCAGCTGAATTCGGGCGGCGACCAGCTGAATTCCGGCGGCAACCAGCTGAATTCCGGCGGCGACCAGGCCGACAACACGATTGCAAATGCCAACAACGACGGATACACCAGTACACCCAGCGCAGAAGTTGTCCCCGCCAAATCCAGCAAAACGAACTCCGGCGAAAATGCCGCGGAGATTGTCGTTCCCTTTGGCGCAAAAGTCGGCCCAGTAGCCGACGTCAACGCCGCTGGCGGCCTCAAAGTGTCGGCCGGCAATAACCAGGTGGAGATCAATCCTTCCGGTAGTGCTAACGTCAGCTCTGATCTGCTTAAGACCAGCGCTTCTGGGGATGCAACTGGTTCCGCGAAATTCAACCGTGAGGGAGTCACCGTGAACGCCGACGGATCCGCAAACGCGAACGTGTTTAACGGCGTCGGGACGGGCGAGGCGAACGCGAAGGGCAGCGCCGGCGTGACGAAAACCGGGGTCAACGCGGACGCCGCGATTGGAGCGAACGCCGACGTGGCAGGCGTAGGAGCGAATGTGAATGTCGGCGCTGGCGGCGGGTTCAACAAGAAAGAAGTTAACGCGAATGCCGGGTTTGGAGTTTACGGGAACGTGGGGAATATCGCGGGTGCCGGAACTAATATCGGATCGACGGCGAAGGTTAGCCGTGACGAGATTGCCGCGAATGCCGGGTTTGGAATTGGCGCGAATGTGGGAGGCATTGGGGCAGGAGGCACGGCCGCGTCGACGGCTGAGATTAGCCGCAAAGGCGTGAAAGCTGGGGCGAATGCGGGCGCTTCGGTGCAACTCGGCGACGTTTACGCGAGGAGCTTAGACGTTTCGGCTCAGGCGGAATTGCGTGGGTTGGGATTTACCCTAAATGTGAATCTTGTCGACCAGGCAAAAATCCTGGGAGTGAGCGGAAAAGACGAAGCTACGACGACGTTGGTTCTCGGCGATCCGAACACGAACGTGCCGCAGCTGGTGGTTCGGCTTAGCAAGGGGATGAGCTGCGTCAACATTCCAGACAGTTTCGCACGTTCGGCGAATTTCGTGCAGGTGTCGTGGCGCAGTACGGTAACGGCGGATGGGAAGACAGAAGAAGTTGCGAAGGGGTGCAAAAAAATTGTCGCGCAGCCGCAAAAGGGGTGCCAGGGTAACCCGCTGAATAAATTCGAGTTCAATCCTTCGTCTGCCCGCAAGGCCATGAACAAGTTTTTCGGGTCAGTTTCGTCGTATACCCCCCTTCCATCCCCCCTTCCACGCTCCGTGGCTCTATCTGTATGCGCTATGCTTCCCTCCCTCTCCCCCTTCCCTTCCCCCTCCCTCTCCCCCATCCCTTCCGCCTCCCTCTCCCCCTTCCCTTCCGTCTCCCTCTCCTCATTCCCTTCCCCCTCCCTCTCCCCTTCCCTTCCCCCTCCCTCTCCCCCTTCCCCTTCCCTCCTTTCCCCCTTCCCCTTCCCCCCCTCCCCCTTCCCCTTCCCCCCCTTCACCCTTCCCCTCCCCCCACTTCCCCCTTCCCCTCCCCCCCCTTTTCCCCCTTTCCCTTCCCCCTTTCCCACTCTCTTTTCCTCCCCACTCAGCCGTCTCTCCCTATCTCTCAACCAGTCCCTTCCTGCACTGCCCTAGATCGGCACCAACATACGTACCCCTTTTTGCGCCTCACACTGGCCTGCTCTAGTAGCTATTTGAGTATTACATCAACAATCTCTTTTTAGGGCGCCTAAAAAATCACCTCAATGCACGAGGATTCATATTGAGGCGCCTCAAAAATCACCTTGAAGCTTTCAGAGTAATACACCAACAAACTCTTTTCGCACACTTTCCTATTCCATCACATTGTTCCCATCCTCCATTCCCCTACTTCCCCATTCCCTGCCTTCCCCTCTCCCTCCTTCCTTCCATCATCCCCCCTCTCCCCATTATTTTCCCCCCATTCCCCCCCGAACCAGCAGTGTCTTTCCAAAAAAGCTCTACTCACCCACTCGCCTCTCACCGACCTGTTCCCCCTTCCCCCGCACTTCTCCCTCTCCCCCCTTGCCTCTCTTAAACCATCAGCATGTTCCGCATCAAGAAAAAGGAGGTCGCCCGCTCCCTGCGCTGCGTCAACTGTGAGTCCCCGCCCCCCAAGTCCCCCCAAGTCCCCCATAGCATCCTAGCTGCACTGTAGCGGGTGACTCAAAATCCACCCTGCTACCTGCGTTGTGCTGTAGTATCCACCCTTCCCCCCTTCCCCACAATCCCCCCCCCCTCTCTCCCCCCTGAAAAAAGAAAGTCCCAACTGCATCATAGCATTCTAGCTGCCCAAGCAGCCTACCATCCTAGCATTCCAGCATCCTAGTATCCTAGCTGCATTGCGGCACTCCCTGCACTTTCTTTTGAGACAACTCAAAGAGTCACCTCACCCATTGTCACGTCCGTCACCCATTGTCACCTCACCCGTTCTCACCTCACTCACCCGTTCTTGCCTCACCCACTGTAGGAGGAGATTCAGGAGGACAACAGGCAGCACTGGTGTCTGTAGAGGTAAATTCAGGAGAACAACGCAGCAGCCATTTCCAAGCTAAAAAGCTCAAATAAGGCCCATTTCTCAAATAAGCTTCATCTGTTGCTTCTCTCACACAAGTCCCATTTCTTGTACGGTACCGTACCTTCTATGGTGTAGGCATCAACTACAGTATCTGCATGTCCCTCTCTTATATAATAATTGTAAAATGGCCATAAAACCTTTTCAGCAGCAGTCTATCAACCTCGTAATATGGTGTACAGTACCATGTGTTACACATGCCCTACAGCAAAGATCCTACACCCAGCAATGCCTCGCTACCTATCTCTGGCTCACCTTCACATTCCCCTCTTTCCCTCCCCTCAATGAGGCTCCTCCCCTCCCACCCCCTCCTCTCCCTCTCCCTCCCCTCCCTCCTCTCCCTCCCCTCCCTCCTCTTCCCCCTCCCCTCCCTCCACCTTTCCCTTGTTCTCCTGATGCCCCTCCTGCCGCTCCCCCTCCGGCCCCTCCTGTTGCTTCCCCGTCCGAACCTACTGGTTTGGTTCGGCGCTTGCTTCGCCAGAGCAGCCGGATCGGTGTGCCTTCAAAGTCAATATTCTCCCGAAGCTGATTTTCCATGTATCGCCTATACTGCTGCCCGAAAAGTTTCGCGTCGTTCACGAAAAACACAAAGGTCGGCGGGTTGGTAGCTGCCTGAGTGCTGTAGTATATTTTTCCTCGTTTGTTACCCTTTCCGCCCCCGGGCAGCGGTTGAAAAGAAACAGCCTCTCCGACCACCTGGTTCAGTGTGGCTGTTGTGAGGCGCTTGGCCCTCTGCTGGGCAGCAAAACGGGCAGCTTCCAAAATCCTGAGCAAGGACGAGGCGAGAAAAGAGGAACATAGTAAGTGTGAGCGAGAGAATTCGCATGTGAGCGTGTGTGTGCGCCATGTGAGGGCATGCCAAGTAAGTGCGTGCCACATTACAAGCTGATGACGGTGCTGGTGATGGCCTTGCTAGGCGCTCAACTCGCACACCCATACACACACATCCTCACAGGCACTCACTTGGCCACTCTCTGCCCAGTGGTTGCGGAGGTGAAGACCAGCGGAGCCCAGGGCATGGAGCGCAGCTTCCCCCGCACATCCTCCGTGTAGCTCAACGTGTTGGTGGCTTGGTTAGTTGTTCCCATAGCCTCACACACACACCCCCACAGCCACTGGTACCCACACTCACTTGGCCACCCTCTGCCCCGTGGTTGCCGAGGTGAACACCAGTGGAGCCCAGGGCATGGAGCGTAGCTTCCCCCGCACGTCCTCCGTGTAGCTCAACGTGCTGGTGGCGTCTTTATCAGGCACGGTGTCCCACTTGTTCACAATCACCACACACGCCTTGCCCTCCCTCTCTATCTGCTCCGCCAGTCGAAGGTCCTGGGAGAGGGGAGGGAGCGACAATCAAGGAGAGAGAGGGCAGAGGAGACGAGATGGGAGAGAAGATTGAAGGGCGGAGTAGCTTCTTTAGCCTGCTCAGTGTGCTGGTGGCGTCCTTATCCGGCACGGTGTCCCACTTGTTCACAATCACCACACACGCCTTGCCCTCCCTCTCTATTTGTTCTGCTAGGCGCAGGTCCTGTGGGAATGAAGGGAGAGAGAGATGAGAGGGGAGTGAGGGAGAGGAGAGAGGGGAGAGATGAGAGAAGGCAGAAGAGAGAAAGCAGAGGGGAACGCAGGCCGTGGGGGAGGGGAACGAGTAGAGACAATTTTTGAGGCGCCTCAAAATTTTGAGGCGCCTCAGAAAGCAGAGTGGAACGCAGGTCCTGGGGGAGGAGGGGAACGAGTAGAGAGAGAGGAAAGGGAAGGGCAATAGAGAGGAAAGGGAAGGGCAATAGAGAGGAAAGGGAAGGGCAATAGAGAGGAAAGGGAAGGGCAATAGAGAGGAAAGGGAAGGGCAATAGAGAGGAAAGGGAAGGGCAATAGAGAGGAAAGGGAAGGGCAATAGAGAGGAAAGGGAAGGGCAATAGAGAGGAAAGGGAAGGGCAATAGAGAGGAAAGGGAAGGGCAATAGAGAGCAAAGGGAAGGGCAATAGAGAGCAAAGGGAAGGGCAATAGAGAGGAAAGGGAAGGGCAATAGAGAGGAAAGGGAAGGGCAATAGAGAGGAAAGGGAAGGGCAATAGAGAGGAAAGGGAAGGGCAATAGAGAGGAAAGGGAAGGGCAATAGAGAGGAAAGGGGCGAGAAGAGAAAGAAGGACGGAGAAGATCTCTCATCACAATGGCTAGCTGACGGACGGTCCTGGGTGGTGTTCTGCTCTTCCCAGGCACGGTATCCCATTTCCTCATCACGTGTTTGAACAAGTGTTTTGAGATGTCTCAAAACACTTCTTGATGCGCCTCAGAAGATTTTTGAGACGTCTCAAAACACTTGTTCAAACACGTGTGTTCTTCCCAGGCAGGCACGGTATCCCATTTCCTCATTACTATCACACACGAGTTCCCCTCCTGCACTCTTCTAGTCACACCCACCTGCTCTGTGTGCCACTCCACCCACCTGCTCTGTGTGCCACCCCACCCACCTGCTCTGTGTGCCACCCCACCCACCTGCTCTGTGACGCACAGCATGGCATCAACCACGAGCCCCACCACGTCCGCCCTCCGTATGGCCCTCAGCGCCCGATTCACTGACAGACCCTCCGCCCTGCTGCCTGCTGCGACTGCTGCTCGCCTGCGCACCCCTGCCGTATCAATGAGTGTGTACTCCTGGATGGGAATTGCAGGGAGAGGGAGTGAGACAAAGTTAGGAAAGGACCTTCCGCCCTGCTGCCTGCTGCCACCGCTGCTCGCCTACGCACCCCTGCCGTGTCAATCAGAGTGTACTCCTGGATGGGGATTGCAGTAAGCAGGGAGCGAGAGAGTAAAGGAGCACAGTTAGGAAAGGAGTCTCCACCGCTGCTCGCCTGCACACCCCTGCCGTGTCAATCAGAGTGTACTCCTGGATGGGGATTGCAGTAAGCAGGGAGCGAGAGAGTAAAGGAGCACAGTTAGGAAAGGAGTCTCCACCGCTGCTCGCCTGCACACCCCTGCCGTGTCAATCAGAGTGTACTCCTGGATGGGGATTGCAGTAAGCAGGGAGCGAGAGAGTAAAGGAGCACAGTTAGGAAAGGAGTCTCCACCGCTGCTCGCCTGCACACCCCTGCCGTGTCAATCAGAGTGTACTTCTGGATGGGGATTGCAGTAAGCAGGGAGCGAGAGAGTAAAGGAGCACAGTTAGGAAAGGAGTCTCCACCGCTGCTCGCCTGCACACCCCTGCCGTGTCAATCAGAGTGTACTCCTGGATGGGGATTGCAGTAAGCAGGGAGCGAGAGAGTAAAGGAGCACAGTTAGGAAAGGAGTCTCCACCGCTGCTCGCCTGCACACCCCTGCCGTGTCAATCAGAGTGTACTCCTGGATGGGGATTGCAGTAAGCAGGGAGCGAGAGAGTAAAGGAGCACAGTTAGGAAAGGAGTCTCCACCGCTGCTCGCCTGCACACCCCTGCCGTGTCAATCAGAGTGTACTCCTGGATGGGGATTGCAGTAAGCAGGGAGCGAGAGAGTAAAGGAGCACAGTTAGGAAAGGAGTCTCCACCGCTGCTCGCCTGCACACCCCTGCCGTGTCAATCAGAGTGTACTCCTGGATGGGGATTGCAGTAAGCAGGGAGCGAGAGAGTAAAGGAGCACAGTTAGGAAAGGAGTCTCCACCGCTGCTCGCCTGCACACCCCTGCCGTGTCAATCAGAGTGTACTCCTGGATGGGGATTGCAGTAAGCAGGGAGCGAGAGAGTAAAGGAGCACAGTTAGGAAAGGAGTCTCCACCGCTGCTCGCCTGCACACCCCTGCCGTGTCAATCAGAGTGTACTCCTGGATGGGGATTGCAGTAAGCAGGGAGCGAGAGAGTAAAGGAGCACAGTTAGGAAAGGAGTCTCCACCGCTGCTCGCCTGCACACCCCTGCCGTGTCAATCAGAGTGTACTCCTGGATGGGGATTGCAGTAAGCAGGGAGCGAGAGAGTAAAGGAGCACAGTTAGGAAAGGAGTCTCCACCGCTGCTCGCCTGCACACCCCTGCCGTGTCAATCAGAGTGTACTCCTGGATGGGGATTGCAGTAAGCAGGGAGCGAGAGAGTAAAGGAGCACAGTTAGGAAAGGAGTCTCCACCGCTGCTTGCCTGCACACCCCTGCCGTGTCAATCAGAGTGTACTTCTGGATGGGGATTGCAGTAAGCAGGGAGCGAGAGAGTAAAGGAGCACAGTTAGGAAAGGAGTCTCCACCGCTGCTCGCCTGCACACCCCTGCCGTGTCAATCAGAGTGTACTCCTGGATGGGGATTGCAGTAACCAGGGAGCGAGAGAGTAAAGGAGCACAGTTAGGAAAGGAGTCTCCACCGCTGCTCGCCTGCACACCCGTGCCGTGTCAATCAGAGTGTACTCCTGCACACAGAGCGAGGAGAGGAAAGATAGCAGGGAGAAGGGATGAGAGAAGGGATGGGAAAGGACTCTCCGCCCTGCTTCCCGCTGCTTGCCAGCGCACCCCTGCTGTGTCAATCAGGGTGTACTCCTGGATGGGGATTGCAGTAAGAAGCAGGGAGCGAGAGAGTAAAGGAGCAAAGTTAGGGAAGGAGTCTCCACCGCTGCTCGCCTGCACACCCCTGCTGTGTCGATAAGAGTGTATTCCTGCACACAGAGTGAGGAGAGGAAAGATAGCAGGGAGAAGGGATGAGAGAAGGGATGGGAAAGGACTCTCCGCCCTGCTGCCTGCTGCCACTGCTGCTTTCCTGCGCACCCCTGCCGTGTCGATCCGAGTGTATTCCTGAATTGGGATTGCAGTAAAAAGACAGCAAGGGGAGAGGGGGTGCGAAAAGTAAGGAGGCAGACTTTCTGCCCTGCTGTCTGTCTGCTGTCACCACTAATGCTCACCTGTGCACTCACACACGCACACACGCACGTGCACGCGCACACACACATACATACACAGACCCAGACACAAGCGCCCACCTGTGCATCTGGTCCGGTGAATTTGGAGTCGATGGCGTCACTGGTGGTGCCGCTCACAGGGCTCACAATGGGGGGATGGTATAAGATTGCTCTGTCAAAAGAGCTTGAGGGTACACGCTCACACACACATCCGCACCTGTCCATCTGGCCCGGTGAAATTGGAGTCGATGGCGTCACTGGTGGTGCTGCTGACAGGGCTCACAGAGGTGCATGGGATTTGATAGCATAGTCTGTCAACAGAGCATGGGGATACACGTACATGCAAACACACGGACACAAGCGCCCACCTGTCCATCTGGTCCGGTGAATTTGGAGTCGATGGCGTCACTGGTGGTGCTGCTAACAGGGCTCACAGAGGTGCTTTGGGTCGACTTAAAACAGGGGTGCATGGGATTTGAAGGTAGATTCTCTCTCAACATAGCTGAAGGCACACAACCAGACACACACATACACACCTGCCCATCCGGCCCGGTGAACTTGGAATCGATGGCATCGCGAGTGGTGCTTATGATGGTATGTGGGAGATACTCATGATCCAGAATGGGCAGAGTCCTGCACACACATGCACACACCTGCGCACCTGTCTGTCTGGTCCGGCGAATTTGGAATCGATGGTGTCTCTGGTGGTGCCACTCACAGGACACACCATGGTAGTACCCATTATTAACATGAGGACACACACACAGAAACAGACAAAAACACCAACCTGCCCGTCTGGTCCGGTGAATTTGGAGTCGATGGCATCTCTGGTGGTGCCGCTGACAGGGCTCACGATGGTCCTCTCCTCCCCCAGCAGCGCATTCACTATGCTGCTCTTGCCCACGTTGGGCCGCCCCACAATGGCCAGCGATACTCGGCCAAGCTGCAAGAAAGGGAGCACAGGGAAGAAAGGGGCACTGGGAGATGGAGCACACACTATCTCCACGCATTCAGCCTTTTTCTTGTAGGTCGTGTTAGAGAATTCCCAAAAGGTCACTGGTCATGCAGAAGGGCAGCAGAACGATGGTCATCTGTAAAGAAATCCGTAACCCTGAAGTTGCAGGGATTTTTTTAGAATTCTTAAAGAAAAAACCTGCAAGGAACGATTGGTCATTTGTAAAGAAATCCGTAACATTGAAAACCTAAATTCCGAGAAAAGGGAGATGGAGCACATACCATACACAAGCAGTCATCCAAGCAGCCCGTAGGGTAGCAGGATCGAGATAAGACAACCAAGCAGGCAACCAAGCAACCAGCCAAGCAGAAGACCAAGCATTCATCCCACCAACCTGTGTGGTAACAGTAGTGCCGCTGCCGGTGATGGTGGAGAGTGAAGTGGGAGTGAGTGAGTCATGTGCGAGTGATACCCATCAACTCAAGAGTGCCCGTCCCACCAACCTGTGTGGTAGCAGTAGTGTCGCTGCCGGTGATGGTGGAGAGTGAAGTGGGAGTGAGTGAGTCATGTGCGAGTGATACCCATCAACTCAAGGGTGCCCGTCCCACCAACCTGTGTGGTAGCAGTAGTGTCGCTGCCGGTGATGGTGGAGAGTGAAGTGGGAGTGAGTGAGTCATGTGCGAGTGATACCCATCAACTCAAGAGTGCCCGTCCCACCAACCTGTGTGGTAGCAGTAGTGTCGCTGCCGGTGATGGTGGAGAGTGAAGTGGGAGTGAGTGAGTCATGTGCGAGTGATACCCATCAACTCAAGAGTGCCCGTCCCACCAACCTGTGTGGTAGCAGTAGTGTCGCTGCCGGTGATGGTGGAGAGGGAAGTGGGAGTGAGTGAGTCATGTGCGAGTGATACCCATCAACTCAAGAGTGCCCGTCCCACCAACCTGTGTGGTAGCAGTAGTGTCGCTGCCGGTGATGGTGGAGAGTGAAGTGGGAGTGAGTGAGTCATGTGCGAGTGATACCCATCAACTCAAGAGTGCCCGTCCCACCAACCTGTGTGGTAGCAGTAGTGTCGCTGCCGGTGATGGTGGAGAGTGAAGTGGGAGTGAGTGAGTCATGTGCGAGTGATACCCATCAACTCAAGAGTGCCCGTCCCACCAACCTGTGTGGTAGCAGTAGTGTCGCTGCCGGTGATGGTGGAGAGTGAAGTGGGAGTGAGTGAGTCATGTGCGAGTGATACCCATCAACTCAAGAGTGCCCGTCCCACCAACCTGTGTGGTAGCAGTAGTGTCGCTGCCGGTGATGGTGGAGAGTGAAGTGGGAGTGAGTGAGTCATGTGCGAGTGATACCCATCAACTCAAGAGTGCCCGTCCCACCAACCTGTGTGGTAGCAGTAGTGTCGCTGCCGGTGATGGAGGAGAGTGAAGTGGGAGTGAGTGAGTCATGTGCGAGTGATACCCATCAACTCAAGAGTGCCCGTCCCACCAACCTGTGTGGTAGCAGTAGTGTCGCTGCCGGTGATGGTGGAGAGTGAAGTGGGAGTGAGTGAGTCATGTGCGAGTGATACCCATCTACTCAAGAGTGCCCGTCCCACCAACCTGTGTGGTAGCAGTAGTGTCGCTGCCGGTGATGGTGGAGAGTGAAGTGGACGATTCAGGTTCCTGCACAATAACCGAGAAGAGAGGAGGGAGAGGGGAGAGGAGAGGAGAAGCGAGGAGAGGCGTGGGGAGTTTGAGCACGGCTAAAACATGCTCCCTGAGAAATTCTTCCAGCAGGTCTTGTGACATATCTCCCAGTGAGCAGCAGCGACATGTTTCGGCTGGAGGGCATCCCCTACCAGGCCTTCATTAGTGCCTACGAGTTTGATTGAGCATGGATAAGACATGCTCCCTCAGAAATTCTTCCAACAGGTCAAGTCATCTGTGCCTGTGGCAATCCTCGCATGGTGCTTTCCCTCATCCCTTGTGCATCAGCATCATGGTCATCATCGCCATCCCCCTCTCCACCCCCTCACCTCACATCATGGAACGGCAGTGCTTTAAGCAGCTTATTCAGCAGGTGCCCAGTGCCCGTGGCCATGCGTGTGCCTGTGCTCTTTCCATCATCACCCCCCTCCTCATTCCCTCACCTCCTGCAACGGCAGCGCCTTGAGCAACTCACCCAGCAACTCACCCAGCAGGTCACCCGTGCCCGTGCCCGTGCCCGTGCCCGTGCTTTGCTTTGCTTTGCGTCCTGCCGCACAGGCTCCCTGTGCCTCACCCCTCACCCCTCTCTTCCCCTCACCTCCTGCGACGGCAATGCCTTCTTCAGCTCATCCAGCAAGTCACCCATGCCCGTGCCCGTGCCCGTGCCCGTGCCTGTGCCTGTGCCCGTGCCTGTGCCCATGCTCATTCCATCATCACCCTCTCCCCATTCAGCACGTGCCTGTGCCTCACCTCCTGCGACAGCAATGCCTTCATCAGGTCATCCAGCAGGTCACCAGTGCCCGTGCCTGTGCCAATGCTCATTGCATCATCCCCCCCTCCCCATTCACCAGGTGCCTCACCTCCTGCGACGGCAGAGCCTTCATCAGCTCATCCAGCAGGTCGCGTCACCTGTGTCTGTGCGGTTCATTGCCCTGACTCAGTGCATTAACACCCCCCTCAATTCCTCATCCCCTCACCTCCTGGGACGGCAGAGCCTTCATCAGCTCATCCAGCAGGTCGCCTGTGTCTGTGCGGTTCATTGCCCTGACTCAGTGCATTAACACCCTCCTCAATTCCTCATCCCCTCACCTCCTGCGACGGCAGTGCCTTCATCAGCTCATCCAGCAAGTCGCCCGTGCCCATGCCTGAGAGGGCCGACACCGACTGTGCCCCTATGCACGTCCTCCCCCACCTCAACTCAGTGTATTACCACACCCTCCCCCTCTTCCCTCCCTCACCTCAAGTGAGGGCAGTGCCTTCATCAGCTCATCCAGCAGGTCGCCCGTGCCCGTGCCTGAGAGGGCCGACACAGCCAACGGGGTCAGGCTGGGTTGGGGTTGATGGGGAAGCAGGAGGGGAGGTGACGGAGAACGGGGGGGGAGAGGGTGTGTGTGCAAAAACTAAGCAGCTCATCCAGCAGGTCGCCCGTGCCCGTGCCTGAGAGGGCCGACACAGCCAACGGGGTCAGGCTGAAGGATGGGCACGGGAATGGGAGGGGGCACGGGACAGGGTGGTGAGAAGGCAGGGAGGAGTGTGGGATGGGTATGGGGCAAGCGCTTGGCTGGTCGCCTCATTACAACGGAGGGGGTAGGGAGGAATGAGAGGGGAGTGCGTGGGAGGGGCATGGGACAAGCGCTTAGACGGTCGGCAGTGCCCCTGTTTGAGAGGGCAGGCACCGCCATAGGGGTCGGGAAGGCTGGATGTGGGGCATGGAGTTGAGAGGTGATGGGAATGCGGATGTGGCACAGCAAGAGGAAGACCGAGGGAAGGCAGGGATGAGGATGACGCCGTGGGTGCAAGCGAGCTCACACTTGTTGCCAGCCCAACCTCAACGCCCACCAGTGAACTCGGTAGTGTGCTTTAGTTTTGAGGCGCCTCAAAACTAGGTAGCGTGCTTTAGTTTTGAGGCGCCTCAAAACTAGGTAGCGTGCTTTAGTTTTGAGGCGCCTCAAAACTAGGTAGTGTGCAGCAGGAGCCCTTTGGTGGGCGACGACCCGACGGGCACTTGTTCACTGCCAGACCGAACCACGACAAGCATAGACAGGACCCAAGGAAAGGAACCGCACCATATTCTTCTTTCCCATTCCCTTCTTCCACTCACGAGCTATGAGTCGACTCAAAACCGCGTGTAGTGAGTCGAGTTTTGAGTCGACTCAAAACTCAAAGGAACCGCACCATATTCTTCTTTCCCATTCCCCTCTTCCACTCACCCCAGCGACCAGAACTCGGCGGTTTGAAGGAGCCCTTTGGTGGGCGACTCGCACTTGTTCACTGCCAGGACTGCTGGGAACAGAGAGAGGGCCCAGCGCACCACATTCCCCTTTCTCCTCCCCTCACTCACCCCAACACCCCTCTTCCACAGTCCACTCACCCCAGCGACCAGAACTCGGCTGTCTGCAGGAGCCCCTTGGTGGGCGACTCGCACTTGTTCACTGCCAGGAAGACCGGCTTGCTGCTCTGCTCTCCACATGGCACGCCGGCACTATACCTTCCACCCCCTCTCTTCTCTTCTACTCACCCTAGAGACCAGAACTCGGCGGTCTGCAGGAGCCCTTTGGTGGGCGACTCGCACTTGTTCACTGCCAGGAAGACCGGCTTGCTGCTCTGCTCTCCACATGGCACACTCCCTCCCACCCCCTCCTCTCCTCTTACTCACCCCAGCGACCAGAACTCGGCGGTTTGCAGGAGCCCTTTGGTGGGCGACTCGCACTTGTTCACTGCCAGGAAGACCGGCTTGCTGCTCGCCACGTGGCGCCGCCGCAGCCACTGAGCGATCTCCACGTCAGCAGCTGTTGCGCCAGCCTGGCAGGGTTTGGAGCGGGGGTTGTTGTTGAGGGAGATGTGGGGAGAGGAAATCAGATCAGATGCAATGAATAAGCTTCATAAATAACTTGTTTTGAGACGTCCCACAACTGGTTGTTGTTGAGGGAGATGTGGGGAGAGGGAATCAGACAGATGCAATAAATAAGCTTCATCATTTCTATCCCAATAAGCGATAGATTCCCAACCCTGAAATCCCAGCCTATAGTATAACTCTTTAAAACGTGGAAACCTTACCATCAAATCTCCCGACTGGTATTATTCTCAACCTCAAAACCCTTTTCTGAGACGCCTAAAAATTTGAATCAAATCCCTGAAAACACGGAAACCTTAACATGTCGTGACTGGTAATATTGTCAACCTCGAACCCCATCCGCCCACCTGCCCATCGACCACCATGATGATCGCATCCGCCTCCTCCACAGCAGCAGCAGCAACACCTCTAGAGAGGAGAACCCCCTGGTCCTAAATAAACCAAGATATTTGCTCCCCTGAAGCCCTCCACCCACCTGCCCATCCACCACCATGATGATCGCATCCGCCTCCTCCACTGCTGTCCCTTTATAACATCCCACACAAACCATGAACCTTTCTGCTTCTACGGAAACCCCACCGGCCATCCACCCACCTGCGCATCCACCACCATGATGATCGCATCAGCCTCCTCCACGGCAGCAGCAGCAGGATCACCTCTAGAGGAAAAAACTGAGACCAAAATTAGCCATGATGATTGCTCATCTGTATCCCTGAACCCACCTGCCCATCGACCACCATAATGATTGCATCGGCCTCCTCCACGGCAGCAGCAGCCTGTCGACCAATCAGCTCCGGCAGACCCGCCACCTCAGCCTCCTTCGCCGCCTGCTCGTTGGCCAATCGCCCACCGCCACCTGTACCATTTGCAATGATAGGTGTACGTAGGTAATCATTATATCTTAGTCTTATCGATAAAGGAAAAAGGCTCCGTTTTCTCAAGCACTTGAAGGGCTTGGGAAACTGTCCAAGGGGGTAGAGCGGAAGAAGACTTTTGAGGGTTTAGGGTTATGGATGACGCCTCAAAAGTCGCCTCCTGTCCAAGGGGGTAGAGCGGTAAAAGGTTCCAAAGAACCGAGATTCACTCCTTCCTTTTGTCTGTTCTGACAAGTGAGCCTTATGAGAGCCTGTCTAAATGGGACGAACAGTCACATCACATCCACCCACTTACCAATGACAGCGACACCATCCGCCCTGGCCAATGCCAACAGTCTGACAGCGACACCATCCGCCCGCCCTGGCCAATGCCAACAACGCTGTGGTGTGGACGAAGCAGATCCCCGCCCTGCCCTTGTCCGTCTACCACCCATCACTAGATTCACTAGTGTGCCGAAGCGTTACACCCACCCACTCACCAATGACAGCAACGCCATCCGCCTTGGCGAGTGCGAGTAAGGCCGAGGACGATGATCCGCGCCCTGCCCTCGCCCCTCTACCGCCCTTGCCCCTCTTCGCAACCACACCCTCTGCACCATCAGCACCAGCAGCACCAGCAGCACCACCACTAGCAGCACCAGCACTAGCAGCGGCAGCAGCAGCGGCAGCATTAGGGGCGTCCATGAGGCCTCCGGTGTCGGTGAGAAGGAACTGGCGGCCCTCCCAGAGAGCACGCGCGTACAGGCGGTCCCTTGTCACCCCGGGCTCGTCATGCACTATTGCTATGTTGCGCTGAGGGGGGGGGGGAGGGAAGGAAGGGGGAAGGGGGATGCGGGGGGGAGGAGGATGGGGTTGAGAAGCAGCAAAAGCAGCACCACTAGAAGCAGCACTAGCACCAGCACCAGCACCACCGGCAGCAGCAGCAGCAGCGTTGGGTGCGTCCATGAGTCCGCCAGTGTCAGTGAGAAGGAACTGGCGGCCCTCCCAGAGAGCACGCGCGTACAGCCTGTCCCTTGTCACCCCGGGCTCGTCGTGGACTATGGCTATGTTGCGCTGGGGGGGCGCGGGGGGGAAGGGGATGGGAGGATGGGGGGAGAAATAACAGCATGTTACTGAGCAGAAGCAGCAGCGGCACCAGCAGCAGCAGCAGCAGCAGCAGCAGCAGCAGCAGCAGCAGCAATGCACTAGGAGGGGGTGGGGGTGGGTGGGAGGAGTGGTGGTGAGATTGAGGGAGCATCGGAGCTTGGCTCGTTGTGCACTCATGATGTGTGCACCCATGATGATGCTGTGACAGAACTTGGGGAGGGAAGAAGGGAGGAGAGTTACGGGCAGAACTTGTGGGAGTGTGGTATGCATGAACTCCTACCCTCCAGTCAGCCAGAAATCACACTCCAACAATTGACCACAACACTCCACTCCACTCCACTCCACTCCACTCCACTCCACTGCACCACTTACCCCTACGAGGCGGTTGAAGAGAGCTGACTTGCCCACGTTGGGTCGCCCCACTATGGCCACTCGCGGCAGCAGATGCTCCGGTACCTGCCATCGTGCCACCATGCCACCACGATTGTCAAGAGTAAACAAAGGATGTAAAGAAAGAATTATGCCATCATGCATGCCATACAAGCCATCATGCCACCATGCCATGATGCCAGCGTGCCATCAAGCCATTATGCCGCCATGCCATCATGCTCCATGCCATCAAGCCATTATGCCACCATGCCATCATGCTCCATGCCATCACGCCATCATGCCATCTCACATAGACCATTGGCATTGCCATTGCAGGGGGATTCACGTGTGGCCATGAATATGCATGCATGTTGCACATTCGTGGCGATGCATGCATGCATGACCATGGCATGCACATGAATAGATCCGCAAACGAACATTGTCACTGAATAATGTCACCTACCCTTCCGCTTGCTCTCCTTCTTCCCTCGATAATACCCTGATAAACCCTGGACTCGTTAAACCCTGCACCTGGTAAGCCCTAAATATTCGATGTCCTATGCCTGCGAGACCGTGGGCTTGGTGAGCCCTACACCTGATAAACCATGGGCATTTAGAAATGTGTAACTGTCAGGCCGAGGCCTAAATAGATACATTATTGACAAACTCTGGATTGGATAAACCTTGAAAAACCCTGTCCCTGATAAACCCGCGCGTGATCTTAGACTGACGTTCCGAGCTCACCTCCTCAGTGACCTCCCGTCGGCGTCGCCAGCCCTTGCGCCGGCTCTCGTCCTTCTCCTGCTTCTCAATCGCCTCCACCACCACCGCCATTGCTGCTCTCTCCCAATCAGCTGCAGCCATCTGTACAACAGCATCGTCCTCATCATCCTCCTCTGCTCCCTCCTCCCCTTCCTGCTCTCCCTCCTCTAAATTCTCCTCGTCTTCGTCTAAACCGTCGATTTCATCCTCCCACTCTTCCTCCTCATCCCACTCCTCCTCTTCGTCCTCCTCTTCTTCCTCTTCTATTTTCCGCACTAGCGGTCCTGGCTTCCCCTTCTCCCCTTCCCCGGACCCCTCAATTGCGCGGAGACAAGCTCCGCGGAATGCGGAGGGCTGCTTGTGCGAGACATCGGAGTGAGATACGGAGAGCAGAAACGACGACTGTCTCCGCCACGGGAGAAGTTCTGCTGCCCGGGAAAGAGGGGCGAGGGAAGGAGAAACAGTATCCATCAGAGCATATTTTTGCTATTTAAGAGGAGAGTGGGGAGCGGAACAAAGTTTTTTTACGAATCGTTAATAGAATATTCTAGAGAAAACAAAACCAGGACACCTCGTTAACAGCAAGGGCTTTCAACTGTCATTGCGATCCGGATGAGAAAACCAAGATACGCTATCTTTCTCAACTTTCAGACAAAATGGCAGGTGCTTTGAGTGGAAACGGTGACTCTGGTCAGGGGTTCCGTGATGAGGGAACTGCGGCAATGAGATTACCAGAATGAAGCTTCGTCGCATGGGTACAGGTAAAAGATCTGCAGACCGCTAGTTGCGACGAGGATGCAGCCATGGCTGCCGTTATTTGCTGCTAGATTGATGAGAGGAAGCTGTCACACCATACTTGACCTTCACCAGTCTAGTGGCAATTTCTGGGGTTCAGCGTCCTCGGTAGTGAGAGCACCTCTTTTGACGAAAGACCAACATACACAAATCAACTGCTTAAATAAGAATCTGCTATATAGCTGTAGCGAGCTGGAAGCTTTCTGCTTGTAGCGGATATCGTGTTGACGTTAACCCTGAAATCAACAAGCGATATGGGTTGCGCTTATCGAGTGCAACAGCCAATAGTAAGTACCTACTCAACCACCCTCCAGAAATTTCTGGTTGCTCACTGCATTCCAATTCCGAGTGGACCAATCAGAAGAATGCGATGTTTCCAAGATCCACCTGGACACAAACCAGGCTCGAAGGCCCAGTAAACACCGAACCAGGAAAGCCGAACCGATTTCGAGTTATGGAAGGCGTGTTTTCATTTCCGTTGTGCAACCTTCACATGTTCTGAAATCGAAATGCTTTTGTGCCACTGGGTATAGGGGGACTACTGACGTCATTCTTCTCGACATCGGACTGGTTGGGCAAGGAAAATTGACGTCATGAAAGGAAACTAAGATGAAGTGAATAACGACCGAAGGAGATCATTTTTTATTCCGCGCCAATGTATACGATCTCGCTCTCCCTTCCCATCGGGTTGCAATGTGCACGACGATCAGTAGTGCTAGTAACTGTCAGATTCGCGCAAAGCTGATCGTCAGTTCTCGGTCTCAGTATGCTAGCGTGGCTTAGCTCCTAATTCCCTCCGTCTCCGTGCATTACGCTGCTTCGACGATCTTCAAAGTCGTACTATAAGATCAATTGCGCGGTTAGGTCACTGAATCCGGAGCAGTGTCATTTGCGTGTCCCTATCAGGAGCCCAAAATGGCTTCGCATGTGCGAATTTCGCTACTTTTGGTCGTCATGGTCAGCGCAGCAACGAGGGTTTTCGCCAGCGTCAAACCTCTCCGTGGCGTCGCCCCTCAAGGTGCTCTCGGTACCCCGTCGATAGAATACACCTCACGCCGATCGGATCGTGCACAGTTGAAATTCGTGAACTTTCAAAATATTCGCCTTTCGGAACGGATCCTGGATTCTGCAGCCGTGGAACGTTCACCCTGATCGTGACCCGGATGTAGCGGGCATCGCATGCTTTTTCGCAAATCCGGACGGCCTCTAGGAGATCGCCAGCTGGACGGGTTTGTGCCACCTGTCTTCGTCGGCTTGTCATTTGCCCAGTCGCTAGTCTTTTCACATCTCTTTTTTTGCCCGCTCTGTCCTTGCGTTTATCCATGCGTCTGTGCATGTGTGTCTGTGTGGGATGACGAAAGAGGAGAGTGGGGAGGGGGGCTGGGGGAAGGACTGTATGTGAGGGTGGGTGGGTGGTTGGGTGGATGGGTGGATGGGAGATGGATTGATGTCTGGTTGGATATGGGAGCTTGCGGAAGGAGGGTTGGATGGATGGTTTTGCGGAATGGGGAATGAGGGGTGGGTGGGTGAGCGGGACTGGGGCGTGATTGGCTGCAGATAAGGCGCTATTCTCGGGAGAGGTGTTTTCATGCCGGGATGGTTCCAGGAAGTTGCACATCTCGCGAGTGAACGACGACTTCTGCGACTGCCCTGACGGCACGGATGAGCCCGGCACCTCCGCCTGCCCCAACGCCTCCTTTTTTTGTCGCAACCGCGGCCACAACCCCCTCTCGCTCTTCTCCTCGCGAGTCAACGATGGGATTTGCGGTACGTACGTTTGCGTGTTTGTAGCACGTGTTGCGGGGAGTATGCACTGTCCTAAAAACACGGACAAGCCCGGCACCTCCGCGTGCCTCAACACATCCTTCTTCTGTCGCAACCGTGGCCACAACCCGCTTCTTCTGTTCTCCTCGCGAGTGAATGATGGGATTTGTGGTACGTACGTACGTGTGTGTGTAGCATGTGTTGAGGAGGGGTATGCACTGCCCTGACGGCACGGACGAGCCCGGCACCTCCGCCTGCCCCAACGCCTCCTTCTTCTGCCGCAGTCGCGGCCACAACCCGCTTCTTCTGTTCTCCTCGCGAGTGAATGATGGGATATGCGGTACGCTGCCCAGTTGCATGGCATGTGTTGCAACTTCTGCGACTGCCCTGACGGCACGGACGAGCTCGGCACCTCCGCGTGCCCCAACGCCTCCTTCTTCTGCCGCAGTTGCGGCCACAAGCCTCTTGTGCTATTCTCGTCACCTTTTATCTCTCCTTTTCCCATATTTCTGTGACGGAAGCGACGAGTATGACGGGCGTGTTGCCTGCCCCAACACGTGCGCCCAGGCGGGGTCGGTGAGGCGGCAGCAGCTTCCCCACTTTCACCCACCCCCGCACCCGCCTCCCCTCCGCTTGTCATTTCTCCCCAGATTGCTGTGACGGCAGTGACGAGTATGACGGCAGGGTGGTGTGCCCCAACACGTGTGCCCAGGGGGGGGCAGCTAATGATTCACCTCGTTTCCCTTTCTCCCCCCACTTTCCTGTCCCCTCACCTCCTCTCGTCTCTCCCCAGATTGCTGTGACGGCAGTGACGAGTATGATGGCAGGGTGGTCTGCCCCAACACATGCGCCCAGGCAGGGGCGGCAAGGCGGCAGCAGCTGGCTGCTGACGTGGCGAAGCACAGGGAGGGCGTGAGGCAGCGGCAGCGGGCGGTGGAGGAGTGGCGGGAGAAGAAGGTGCGACTGCAGGAGGAGAGGGGGCGACTGGAGGACGAGGAGAAGGAGCTGCAGGAGAAGGAGAAGGTTCTCAAAGGTATGTATCGGTGTGTGTTTGCGCGCATGTGTATGGGTGTGAGGCAGCGGCAGAGGGCGGTGGAGGAGTGGAGGGAGAAGAAGGTGCGACTGCAGGAGGAGAGGGGGCGACTGGAGGAGGAGGAGAAGGAGCTGCAGGAGAAGGAGAAGGTTCTTAAAGGTATGTATCGGTGTGTGTTTGCGCGCATGTGTATGGGTGTGAGGCAGCGGCAGAGGGCGGTGGAGGAGTGGAGGGAGAAGAAGGTGCGACTGCAGGAGGAGAGGGGGCGACTGGAGGAGGAGGAGAAGGAGCTGCAGGAGAAGGAGAAGGTTCTTAAAGGTATGTATCGGTGTGTGTTTGCGCGCATGTGTATGGGTGTGAGGCAGCGGCAGAGGGCGGTGGAGGAGTGGAGGGAGAAGAAGGTGCGACTGCAGGAGGAGAGGGGGCGGCTGGAGGACGAGGAGATGGAGCTGCAGGAGAAGGAGAAGGTTCTAAAAGGTGCGAGTGTGTGTTTGCGCGCATGTGTATGGGTGTGGGGGGGGGGAGAGAGCTCTTTTTTCGACTATGGGGAAACGAAGCTGGAGGAGGAGGAGAGGGAACTGCAGGAGAAGGAGAAGGTTCGTAAAGGTGGGAGTGGGTCTTTGGGTCTTTAATAGAAGGTATATATGGGCGTCAGGCTGAGTGTGACAGAGGGCTGTGGAATGGAAAGTATGCATCATTTTTACCCTTCTCCCCCGTTGTTCCCACTCGTCCCCCCTCCTCTCTCTCCCCTTTGTCTGGAGCAGAGAGGAAGGATGCTTTAGAGAAGATAGAGGATGAGGAGCAGGAGAAGCAGAGGAAGATTGAGGAGTATGCATGAATTTTGTGAACACCCTTCTTCTCCTCTTCCTCCCACTCTTCTCCCCTCTCTCTCTTCCCTTTGTCTGGACCAGAGAGGAAGGATGCATTAGAGAAGATAGAGGAGGAGGAGAAGGAGAGGCAGAGGAAGATAGAGGAGGAGGAGGAGGCCAGGAGGAAAGCAGAGGAGGAGAAGCTGCACCCAGCCCCTGCCGAACCTGCCGAACCTGCCGACCCTGCTGCCACTGAGCCTGCAGCTGCCGAACCAGGGGCAGCCGAGCCTGACTCTGCCGAGCCTGCGGCTGCTGAGCCTGTATCTACCGAGCCTGCGTCTACCGAGCCTGCTTCGACGGAACCTCCAGTGCAGCAGGGAATGGTGGGGGAGCCCCTCCGTGCTGATGCTCCTGACTCTGCTGCTGCTGCCGCTGCTGCTGATGCCGATGCTGCTGCCGCTGCCGCTGCTGCTGCAGCTGCTCTTGATAATCTGGTTGCTGGTCATGATGCTGCTGCTGCTCCTGCTGATGGCAACGAGAGTGGCGAGGGAACGGACGATGATGAGAGCGATGAGGACCTATCAGGGCTCTCTAAGGAGGAGCTGGGGCGGAGAATCGCGTCCCGATGGGCGCATGGGGAGGATGGGCCTGGGGGCGCGGAGGTGGGGGGCGGAGAGGGGGGGAAGGCGGACGGGGAGGGGGAGGGGGAGGGGGGTGATGGGGTTGATTTGGGCGGGGATGATGGGTTGGGGTATGATGATGGGGATGATGATAAGGACTATGAGGACATGGAGCACGATGCACATGGTGATGCGCATGATGCTGATGCTGATGGTGATGATCATGATGGTGATGATGGGGATAATGGTGATGGTGACCATGACCATGGGCATGGTGATGGGGATGATGATGATGCGTTGGAGGACTTTGCGGCCCGCAGCGAGCACGAGGATGATGATCCGTGGCGGCATGAGTCAGGTATGGTGCTACAACACACGCCCTGAACCACATTCACTACATGCACTTTTGAGGCGCCTCAAAGGAGGACGCGGAGGACTTTGCGGCCCACAGCGAGCATGAGGATGATGACGTGTGGCGGCACGAGTCAGGTATGGTGCCACAACTCACACCCTGCACCACATACACTGCATACACTTTTGAGGCGCCTCAACGGAGGATGCGGAGGACTTTGCTGCCCACAGCGAGCATGAGGATGATGACGTGTGGCGGCACGAGTCAGGTATGGTGCCACAACTCACACCCTGCACCACATACACTGCATACACTTTTGAGGCGCCTCAAAGGAGGATGCGGAGGACATTGCTGCCCACAGCGAGCATGAGGATGATGACGTGTGGCGGCACGAGTCAGGTATGGTGCCACAACTCACACCCTGCACCACATATACACTTTTGAGGCGCCTCAAAGGAGGATGCGGAGGACTTTGCTGCCCACAGCGACCATGAGGATGATGACGTGTGGCAGCATGAGTCAGGTACGGTGGTGCTACAGCTTACAACTCACAGCATACAGAATACAGCACATAGCATAGCACACAGTGCACTGCACAAAGCCCAGAATACAGACAGCGCACACTGCCCGCCCTCCCCTCGTCTTGCTCCCTCCCGCGACTGTCTCCCACCCACCCCCACTTGCCACTGCGCCCGTCTCCCCTCCGCACCCTCATTCGGCCCCCATCAGCACCTGCTGCCGCCCCCATCCCTGTGGGACAAGGCGAAGCAGTGTGGTCGCGTGTCCCCTCCCTCGTCTCTTTTTTCTCACTCAAACCCTGCCCATTGTCTTTCCCCCATCGTGCTCCTACTCCTCTCATCAGCCCCTGCTGCCTCTTGGCCCCCATCCCTGTGGGACAAAGCGATGCAGGTGTGGTCGTATGTGTCCTCGCTCGTCTCCCATTGTCTTTCCCCCACCCTCCTCCCTCTCCCTCCCCCATCAGCCCCTGCTGCCTCTTGGCCCCCATCCCTGTGGGACAAAGCAATGCAGGTGTGGGCTGGCCGCATGTGTGCTCGCTCGTCTTTTGAGACGTCTCAAAAGGCGAAGCAGGTGTGGGCTGGTCGCATATGTCCTCGTTTGTCTCCCACTCGCTCCCTCCCCCACTTTTCTCGCCCATACCACCCTTCCCCCTTTTCCTCCCTCCCCCCACCCTCCTCCCCCTTCCCCCATTTCCTCCGCCCACCACCCTCCTCCCCCTTCCTTCCCCAATCAGCACCTACCCCACCCCCATCCCTGTGGGACAAGGCAAAGCAGGTGTGGTCGCGTGTCTCATCCCTCGTCTCCTCCAAACCCTCTCTGCCAGTGAACGAAACAGGTGGGTCTGTCTAGTCGTAACCTGTAACTGGCACCTAGTAACTAGTGTGTAGTGGTTGGGACTGAGTTTATGGGCAGGTGTGGTCGCGTGTCTCATCCCTCGTCTCCTCCAAACCCTCTCTGCCAGTGAACGAAACAGGTGGGTCTGTCTAGTCGTAACCTGTAACTGGCACCTAGTAACTAGTGTGTAGTGGTTGGGACTGAGTTTATGGGCAGGTGTGGTCGCGTGTCTCATCCCTCGTCTCCTCCAAACCCTCTCTGCCAGTGAACGAAACAGGTGGGTGTGTTAGCACTGTGGTTGGTGCCGAATACGGTACCTCGGAATCGGTGCCAGGTGTGTTCAAAGCAGTGAGCAGGTGTGGTCGTGTCGCGTGTCTCCTCCCTCGTCTCCTCCAAACCCTCTTTGCCAGCGAACGAAACAGGTGGGTGGTTGGGTCTGGTGCGACTGGAAACTGGTACCTACCTCCCTGGAAAATGGTGATGGTTCTTTGTGAATACGGTTGCACGCTCTCTCCTGTTCTTTGTGAATACGGTTGCACGCTCTCTCCTGTTCTTTGTGAATACGGTTGCACGCTCTCTCCTGTTCTTTGTGAATACGGTTGCACGCTCTCTCCTGTTCCAGACCTGCCCGCGATCCCTGGAGAATAACCACTCCATCATTCCAGTTGCACCGGAAAAACCCGTCGAAGCATAATCCTTTACCCCTTTCCCCTCAACTCAACCCGCTCCTCCTGCTGCAGACCTGCTGACGATCCGCTCCGAGTACAACGTTATCTCGACCAAGCTCAGCAAGGCGAGGGGCCGGCTGCGCACGGTCAAAGAAAAGCTTGAGAAGGACCTGGGTGAGTGCGGTGTGGTGCGGTGCGGTACGATGCGGTGCAGTATGGTGTGGTTATGAGCCGAGGGGAAACTGCGGTGTGCAATGGATACGTGAGCAAAGCGAGGGGGCGGCTCCGCACAGTCAAAGAAAAGCTTGAGAAGGACCTGGGTGAGTGAGGTGTGGTGCGGTGCGGTGTGGTGGGGTGTGGTGCGGTGCGGTGTGTTGTGGTGAGCCAAATTATTGGGCGGCTGCGCACGGTGAAAGAAAAGCTGGAGAAGGACCTGGGTGAGTGAGGACTGTCACTGTGGGGTGAGTAAGGACTGCTGTGGGGTACTGTCGGGTACTGTGTGGTGCTGTGAGGTGCTGTGTGCTTCTGTCTCTGCAAGAGTACAACATGATCTCATCCCAGCTCATCAAAACGAGGGGGCGGCTTCTCTCGGTCAAGAAAATCCTTGAGAAGGACCTGAGTGAGTGCGGGGAGGTGGATTAGGTGTGGTCTGGTGCGGTGTGTGTGGTGTGGTGAGTGTGGTCTGGTGTGGTGAGTGTGGTGCAGTGCGGTGTGGTGCGGTGCGGTGCAGTGTGGTGCTGTGTGGTGTGGTGTGGTGTGGTGTGGTGTGGTGTGTCTTTCCTCTGACATTCACTTCATTGTTCACTTTCTTTCTGGCATTCACAACATCGTTCTCGTTCTTTCTGATCTTCTCATTCTTGTTCTTTCTTTATTTACCTTTTTCCTTCCGCACTTCAGGTCCTGACGGCGAGTTTCTTCATTCGCAGACCACTGCATCTCCTTCAATCCCAACATGTTGCTTCTGTCTCAAACCACTCGTTCCTCCCCCTCCCTCGCTTCTTCCTATCCTCTTTTCGCCCTCTCCGCTGCAGGCCCTGACGGCGAGTTTGCTTCATTCGCCGACCACTGCTTCTCCTTTAAAGTCGACCAGTTAAGATGCCACGCCACATACCCTCGTACCGCACTACATACCCTCATACCGTGCCATATACGCCCATGCCATGCCACACACCCCCATGCCATGCCACGACCATGCCATACCACATGCCCCCATGCCATTGTGTGCCAGCCTGTGCTGTTGCATGTTCTGCGTTGCACCGCGTATTGAGGAGAAACAGCTCTTTGTTACTGCGTGGGGGAAAAACTACTCTCTTTTTTTTTAGAGATTCTCTTGATTATCAAGAGCGTTTCAGGCTGTCCAACTCACTCAACCCCCCTCTTCGTTCGGACCCGGGCACTCCAGCTATCTTATCCCACCTGTCTCCATTCACTACGCCCCATTCAAAGCTGATGATCAGCGCTGGCTGTTTTGGCACGATTTTCCCCTAGTGCATTGACCCTCTTTTGTTTTCCCGCCCCATCTTTCTGACCCTTCCCACTTCCTCCCCCCCCCCCCCCCCACCATTCCCAGGTACGAGTATGAGGTGTGCCCTTACCGGCAGGTGAAGCAGAAGGAGAAGCATCACTCTGATACCACTGTGGGGTGAGTGAGGGCTGCTGTGCGGTGCTGTGGGATGCTGTGTGGTGCTGTGGGGTGTTGTGTGGTGCTGTGGGGTGCTGTGTGCCAGTGTCTCTGTAAGAAGGCGAAGCAGAAGGAGAAGCATCACCCCGATACCACTGTGGGGTGAGTGAGGGAGACTGTGCGGTTCTGTGTGGTGCCATGGGGTGATGTGTGGCTCTGTCGGGTGCTGCAGTGTACCACTGTGCGCTGCTCCTTACCTGCCATCATGAACCTTAGGACGCGTCACAATTGAAATACCGAGGAAGGATCGGGGGTGTTCACCGATCCTGCCAAATCGATCGCCACATCGGTGTGCCATGACTGCATTTTTGCAATCGCGGGCCCACCGCAATTCTCAAGGGACATGTTTGAAAAATCTTGGGGCAAAATCGCCCGATCTGGACGAAATTGCACGATTGATGTGTGACAAGGGCATATCGATCGCATGACTCCGAGGGGACAACTGTACATTGGCGACAGATAACGAAGCTAAGTAACCACTACTTCGCAACTTAACGAAGTACTGTACCCACGAAACACCGATCCTGCGCAGGATCGGTGTTTCAATTGTGACGCGTCCTTAGCACCTTCGCCACAACCCTTTCTCCTTGCACTTACCCCCCTTTCCATTTACCGTCTTTGCAGCCATCACACGATGATGTTCGAAAACACCTGAGTGACTGAATCCCCCTTCCATGTACCACCGCCCTCTGTTGATGAGCCTCTATTCGTCCGGCTTTGAAGACAACTATCACACGATGATGTTCAGGGACAGTCAAATCGCGCCTCTTCAATCGCCTCTCCGTCTCCCCATCCCTCCCCTCTCCCCCCTCCGTCTCCCCGTCCCCCTCCTTCCCCCTGCAATCCCTGCAGGCGTTGGTCAGGCTTTGAGGACAACTATCGCACGATGATGTTCAAGAATGGCGATAAGTGTTGGAACGGACCCAACCGGAGCATCAAGGTGTGTGGTGGTGTGGGGTGGGGCGAGGGGTGGTATAAAGTGGTATCACGCTGTGGTGTGGTGTGGAATGTCGGGGCACTGTGGGACCTTTGAGTCAGGCTTTGAGGACAACCATTGCACGATGATGTTCAAGAACGGGGATAAGTGCTGGAACGGACCCAACCGGAGTATCAAGGTGTGAGCTTCTGTCATGGTATGATGCTGGAATGATGATGTTTTAAAACGGGGATAAGTGCTGGAATGGACCCAACTGGAGCATTAAGGTGGGTGGTGGTGGGGCGATGGGATATGGGGTGTTGGGTTGGGTAAGCAGGGATATGGTTTAATTTTTCTTTCTTTTCTGGTTTATCGTGTGGAATCAGATCTCGGATCAAATGGAAGCAAGTCGCTGGACAACCTTTTTTGGAGAATTAAAAAAGAAAGAAAGAAAGAAGAAGAAAAGAAAGGAAAGAAAGAAAGAAAGTAAAGACTCACCACCCCACCACCACCACCCATGTGACCGCAGGTGAAGTTGGAGTGCGGACTGAAAACAGGCATCAAGTCAGTGGAGGAGCCAAGCCAATGCGAGTGAGCTGTGTTGTGTTGTGAAAGCGGGTAAATTTAGCCTCTCTGTTTGTGTGCCTGTCTCACTGCAGGTGAAGCTGGAGTGCGGACTGAAAACAGGCATCAAATCAGTAGAGGAGCCGAGCCGATGCGAGTGAGTGTGTCTTCCCTGTTCCACTCTTAGTGATACCTAATACCGTACATGTCCTTCTTCTTTGTTTGCGTTTTAGTTCACTCAAGAATCAGAGCGAACTGGAAGTGAGAGAGGTAGAATTAGGCAATGCGAGTGAGTGTGGCTTTACCGTTCCACTCTTTAGTTCCACCTGTTGCATACCCTTCTTCATTTGCTGTTTGGTACACTTAAGGGCCTCAAAGCCACGACAGGGAGCTCAGGCGATGCGAGTGAGTGTGGCTTTGTTGTTCCACTCCTAGTTCCACCTGTTGCATACCCCCCTTCTTCTTCATTTACGTCTCAATACATCTGAGAATCAGAGTAACCAAAATGCGTGAGACGGAGCCCAGACACTTCAGTTTTAAATTTACCATCTGGAGGCTTGCAGGGAGCCCAGCCGATGCAAACGGGTGTCTCCTTTTGCTCCACCCCTAGTGACACATCTATGGCGGACGGTTCCCGCCTCCCCCTCTCCCACTCTCCTTCCCTCCCCATCTCCCTCCACCGTATTAGGTACGAAGCGGTGCTCGTGACGACTGCAGTGTGCAACGCAGAGCTGGCACAGGTGCGGGGAAATGCGACAAATAAAACAATTTCCACCTTCCGTCATTTAATGGTGCTTGATTTTGTGCTACTGGTCTGCATGACTCTACCAGTGACAAACCTTTTGTCATTCTTTTTTCTGTTCTGTCTATGTTATTTCAAGTGGAGTTACCTAGTCCCCTGGTGCGAAAAAATTAACACCTGTGCTACTTTATTGCAGGAGCTGGAGAGGCAGCTGAAGGAGATGGAGGATGATTTGGCTGGTCACGATGAGCTGTAACATTCTAGACGTTAGGGGTGTAACAGCTATAATGAATTGTATAATTTACGGTGATGGAGCAGAAGAAGGTACAAGCATCCTTTATGGGGAGGGAAGTGGGGTAGTGGGGTAGCCAATATGGGGTACAGCCCACTTTAGGGTTTCATATTTGTACCCAACTCTATCATAGTTCAATCATTCCTACTGCCAGATTCTAACATGGTATCAGAGCACTAGGTCCGTAGGACCATTTTTTTCGGGCCCACCTACCGTTGCAGTTACCGCGTTACCCCACGTGTTGTCCTGTGCCTGCCTGCCTTGCCTCGTGACGTGCTGCGCTGCGCGCGCCGTCCTGCAGCCCTTGCGCTGCCTCCTGCTGCCCTAGGCCAGTGCGCCGCCCCTGCAAGCTAGTAAGGCCCTCGAGCCGCACCTGCAGGCCCGTCAGGTCCCCGAGCCGCCTCTGCAGGCCCGCCAGGCCCCCGAGTCGCCCCTGCAGGCCCGTCAGCCCCCCCCCGAGCCGCCACCTGCAGGCCCGTCAGGCCCGCGAGCCGCCCCTGCAGGCCCGTCAGGCCGGCGCGCTGCCCCTGCAGGACCTTACCGCCCGCGCGCGGCCTCTGCCCGACTGCGCGCTGCCCATACAGGCCCTCGCCGCCCGCGCGCAGCCTCTGCCCGACCGTGCGCCGCCCCTGCAGGCCCTCGTCGCCCGCGCGCAGCCTCTGCCTGACCGCGCGCCGCCCCTGCAGGCCCTCGCCGCCCGCGCGCAGCCTCTGCAGGCCCGTCAGGCCAGCGCGCGACCCCGTCAGGTCGACGCGGACGCGGCCCCGCCCTGCCGCGGTCGCGGCCCCGCCCTGCCTGGACGCGGCCCCGCCAGCCCTGAAGCTGACGCGGTCGCGCCCTGCTGCTGACGCGGCCACGCCCTGCTGCTGACGCGGCCCCGCCAGCCCTGCAGCTGACGCGGCCGCGCCCTGCTGCTGACGCGGCCGCGCCCAGCTGCTGACGCGGCCCCGCCAGCCCTGTAGCTGACGCGGCCGCGCCCTGCCACCGACCCGGCCCCGCCCGGACGCCGACGCGGCCCCGCCAGTCCTGCAGTTGCCGCGGCCCCGACCTGCCGCTGGTGCGACCCCACCCTGCAACTGCCGCGGCCGCGCCCTGCCGCCAACGCGGCCCTGCCTGGACGCTGACGCGGCCCCGACCTGCTGCTGGCGCGACCCAGCCCTACAGCTGTCGCGGCCCTACTCTGCAGCCGCTGTTGCGGCCCCGCCGAGCGCCGGCCCTGCCTGCCACTGGTGAGCACCTGCCTTGTTCGTGCGCTGCCGCCTGCCTGCCTGCCTGCCCGCCTGCCTGCCTGACTGCCTGCCTGCCTGCCTGCCCGCCTGCCTGCCTGCCTGCCTGCCGCGCCTGCCCTGCGCGCGCTGCTGCTGCTACTACTGCTATTGCTACTGCTACTGCTACTGCTGCTACTGGCGACGGCCAGATGCAGCTCCAGCGACGTCCGCGTGAGTCCCTCACGCCCCAGCAGCTTCGTGGGTGGTACGCTAGTTGGGATTGTAGAGGTGGCCGCGCTGCTACTGCTGCTACTGCTGTTACTGCTGCTACTGCTGCTACTGGCGGTGGCCAGATGCAGCTCCAGCGACGTCCGCGCGAGTCTCTCACGCCTCAGCAGCTTCGTGAGTGGTACGCTCAGAGTAGAGGGTCTCTGAGTACCGTTCGCTGCCCGTACGTCATTCGCACTGGTGCTCGGACTGGTCAGGCTTGCGGGATGCTTAGTCACGCACAGTCCCGCTGCTTCACCCGTCTGAGCGACGCCTGGCGTACCGAGTTTGGCGACGAGGCTGAGCTCCCCTACTGGGTGGAGCTGCTTGGGCAGGGGGTAGATATCTATGCTCTTGACTATGATGCTATTCTCACTGCCATGTATGCATTGCCTACTAGTGCTGACCGTGCCTGTTACCTGTGCGTACCGCCTGACCCAGGTATCGAGCCTGCTGCTCTAGGTGCTGGTGAGGCTGCTGCTCTAGGGGCTAGTGTGTCTCCTGCTCTAGGTACGGGTGAGGCTGCTACTCCAGGTGCTGGTGAGTCTGCTCTCTCTGGTACTGCGCCTGCTGAGGCCTTGTACACCTTCACACTTGACTCAGGTGCTTCTCTCTCCTTCTTTCGCGACAGCACCACCCTCACGCCGCTCAGTCGGCCGGTTCCAGTCTCCCTGGCAGACCCCTCTGGGGGTCCAGTCCGTGCGACCTCCTCCACTGTCCTCCCTTGTCCTGCTGTCCCGTCCGGCACACTGTCGGGTCTTTACCTCCCCTCGTTCTCTACGAACTTGGTGGCGGGTTCTGCGCTCCAGGACGCGGGTGTTCACCAGTTCACCCCTGCCTACAAGCGTGTCACACACTGCACGTGTGCTCAGACGGGTCGTCACCTGGCTACCTTCACTCGGCAGCCGGGGTTGGGCCTGTACACACTGACCACTGAGTCCCCTCAGGTAGCTGCGTCTGTGTCTGCGTCAGGTCAGTTGTCGGCCCCCTGCTCGTGTCGCGCCTTGTCGCACCAGACCCTCCTTTGGCACCACCGCCTTGGTCACCCCTCGGTGCAGCGCCTTCGCAGTATGCACCGCCGTGTCCTTGTCTCTGGTCTTCCCAGGGTTCTCCCTCCCCTCCCACCCTCGCCTGCTCCTCCCTGTCTTCCCTGTGTCGAGGGGCGGCAGCGCGCCGCTCCTCACTCCTCCTCGTTCCCTCCCACAGAGGCTCCCCTGCAGACTCTCCACCTGGACGTGTGGGGCCCAGCCCGCGTCCGTGGACAGGGCCACGAGCGGTACTTCCTGCTGGCCGTCGACGACTACACGCGCTACACCACGGTCTTCCCCTTGCGCACCAAGGATGAGGTCCCTGATGTTTTGATCCTTGGATCCGCGCTGCTCGTCTCCAGCTCCGCGAGCAGTTCCAGTCGGACTTTCCCGTCCTGCGTCTGCACTCTGACAGAGGTGGGGAGTTTTCCTCTGACCTCTTGGTAGCCTTCTGTGCGGAGCACGGCATCCGCCAGACGTTCACGCTTCCGGCCTCTCCGCAGCAGAATGGGGTTGCTGAGCGCCGCATTGGCTTAGTCATGGAGGTCGCTCGTACCTCCATGATCCATGCGGCTGCCCCCCATTTTCTGTGGCCGTTTGCGGTCCGGTACGCCGCGCATCAGCTCAACCTCTGGCCCCGTGTCTCCTTGCCGGAGACCTCGCCCACACTGCTGTGGACGGGGAAGGTTGGCGATGCGTCGCATTTCCGGGTCTGGGGTGCTCGTGCCTTTGTCCGCGATACCACCGCGGACAAGCTCTCCGCCCGCGCTGTTCCCTGTGTCTTCCTTGGCTTTGTCCCTGACGCGCCTGGTTGGCAGTTTTACCACCCCACCTCGCGCCGTGTCTTCCCCTCTCAGGACGTCACGTTCGACAAGTCGGTTCCCTTTTACCGTCTCTTCCCCTACCGCACTGCCCCTCTCCCCTCCGCGCCGCTCTTCCTCGCTCCAGGTGCTCCCCAGGTAGACCCCCTCCCCGCTCCCGGTCCTGCTCCTTCAGGTGTGTCTCAGGTAGACCCTCCTCCCTTGACTGCGCCGGTTGAGGTCACTGGTGACTCAGGTCCTGCTGAGGGTGGTCCTTCTCGGAGTACTGCTTCTGGGGGTGCTGAGCCTGGGGGTGCGGAGCCTGGAGGTGCGGAGCCTGGGGGTGCGGAGACTGGAGGTGCTGAGCCTGGTCGTGAGGAGTCTGGGGGTGCTGAGCCTGGGGGTACTAAGTCTGGGGGTGCTGCACCTGGGGGCGCTGAGGCGTCTGGTGAGCAGTCTCCCTGGGGCGGCCGTCTCCGCAGTCGCTTTGCTGGTACCTCGCCGCTGCACTCTCGTCGTCGACTCCCTCTCTCCCCACAGCAGCTGCGTGAGTGGTACGTTGGCCGTCAGGGTCGCGCTGCTGGAGCTAGGGGCCCTGCTGCGGGAGGCGCTGGTGCTGGTGTCTCTGCTACTGGAGTTGTTTCTGCTGGACGTTCTGGAGCTGCTGCGGGTGCTGGAGCTGGAGGTTCTGGAGCTGCTGAGGGTGCTGGCGCTGGAGGTTCTGGAGCTGCTGCGGGTGCTGGCGCTGGAGGTTCTGGAGCTGCTGCGGGTGCTGGCGCTGAGGGTTTTGAGTCTGCTGTTGCGCGGTCTCCTTGGAGTAGCCGCCTTCGTCCGCGTGTGCCTCTCACCTCACAGCAGCTGCACGACTGGTACGGTCGCCGTCAGGGTCGCGCTTCTAGAGCTCGGGGCTCTACCGCTGGAGGTACTTCTGCTGGCGTCACTGGTGCTGGGAGTGGTGCTGGTCCCGGAGGTGCTCGTACTGGAGGTACTGGAGCTGCTGGGGCTGGAGGTGCTGAGCCTGAGGGTGCTCCTGCTGGAGACCTTGGGTTTGGGAGTGCTGCTACTGGAGACACTGAGACTGGAGACCCTGGGACTGGAGGTGCCGGTTCTGGGGGTGCTGCTGCTGGTGGAGCTGGTCCTGGACGAGCTGGCGCTGAGGGTTCTGGAGCTGCTGGAGCTGCTGGAGCTGCTGGGGGTGCTAGAGCTGCTGGTGCTGGTGGAGCTGCTCAGTAGCGCCTGTTCTTTGCTCCACCGTCTCCGTCGTCTCAGCCACCGTCTGACTCTGTACCTCGCCAGGTTCTTAGTCTCCCTTCGTCTACTGGTCTTCCGTTACAGCCTGGCTCACCGCTGCCTGCTCCTTCTCCTTACACTGAGCAGACAGGGGGTCTTACTGAGCGTCGTGAGCCTGCGTCGCGTCCTGTCTCGCCTGTCCGTTCTGGTCGTCCTGGTCGTCGTGTTCCTCGTTCGCGTCAGCCGGCTGTCACCGGCACCCACCTCGTAGTCCGTCGTCCTTCCTCTCCTCCGCAGCGTGTTCCCCTGCCGTCCCCTCCTGCGTCTTCTCTGCCTGCCATTCTTGAGCCTGAGTCTGACCGCACCCGTGTTGCTCACTCTACTGTCACGCGTCTGCTAGCCACAGTTGTCACTGACCCGTCGTTTGAGTCTGCTGCTGCGTCTGCCTTAGTCGCTGAGCTCGTTGACTTTGCTCCTGCCTGTCGTCTAGACTACGCCGCTAGTCTAGTTGCTGAGTCTGAGTCTGTCTGTCCTCCGTCCGTCGGGGGTGAGTGTGCTCTTGGCACGGACGTCCTTGAGGACAGGCACGAGGACCTTGAGTGTCTTGCAGCCGCTGCGCCTCATCTCGTGTCCATGCTGCTTGCCCCTGAGGGAGACCCGGATGCACCAGACATCCCGACCCCGCGCTCTTACGCTGAGGCGATCGCGGGTGAGTACTCCTCTCAGTGGCAGACAGCCATGGACGCAGAGATGGCATCCTGGAAGTCCACAGGCACTTACGTTGACGAGGTTCCCCCTCCTGGGGCGAGCATCGTCAGTGGCATGTGGATTTTCAGGGTGAAGCGGCCGCCAGGTTCTCCGCCTGTCTTCAAGGCTCGTTACGTTGCTCGAGGTTTCAGTCAGCGAGAGGGAGTAGACTTCTTTCAGACCTTCTCCCCCACCCCGAAGATGACCACTCTTCGGGTGCTGCTGCACGTTGCCGCTTAGCGTGACTACGAGCTTCACTCTCTTGACTTCAGCACAGCTTTCTTACAGGGCAGCCTGCACGAGGAGATCTGGCTGCGCCGCCCTCCTGGCTTCACTGGGTCGTTCCCTCCTGGTACCCAGTGGAGCCTCCGGCGGCCAGTCTACGGTCTCCGCCAGTCACCACGTGAGTGGCACGACACACTGAGGACTACACTTGCGGCTCTTGGGTTTGCTCCGTCAACTGCTGACCCGTCGCTGTTTCTGCGCACCGACACGTCGTTGCCGCCGTTCTACATCCTCGTGTACGTCGACGACTTGGTCTTTGCCACTGCTGATACTAAGGCTCTCGCCTTGGTGAAGTCGGAGCTGCAGAAGAGACACACGTGCACAGACCTGGGTGAACTGCGCAGCTACCTTGGCTTGCAGATCACCCGGGACAGAGCACGCCGCACCATCACACTGACTCAGTCACACATGGTGCAGCAGGTCCTTCAGCGCTTCGGCTTCACCTGGTCCTCGCCACAGCACACTCCTCTGGCTACAGGCCACTCGCTCTCAGCTCCACCTTCGGACGAGTCCGTAGAGCCGAGTGGTCCGTACCCAGAGCTAGTGGGCTGCCTCATGTACCTGATGACCTGCACTCGACCTGACCTTGCGTACCCTCTTGGCCTTCTGGCTCGCTACGTGGCTCCTGGTCGGCACCGAAAGGTGCACATGGATGCTGCGAAGAGGGTACTGCGCTACTTGTGCGGTACATCGGGCATGGGGCTCGTGCTTGGAGGGCGGAGCGCAGTTGTCCTCACTGGGCACTCAGACGCGTCTTGGGTTGACGACCAGGCTACGCAGCGGTTGTCACAGGGTTACACCTTCAGCCTTGGCTCTGGTTCAGTTTCTTGGCGTTCTACACGCTCGTCTTCTGTTCTTAGCTCCAGTTGTGAGGCTGAGATCTACGCCACAGCCATGGCTGCACAGGAGTTACGCTGGCTCACCTACCTGCTGACCGACTTGGGAGAGCGGCCTCGTTCTCCTCCAGTGCTGTACGTCGACAACAAGGCCGCCATTGCCTTGTGTCAGGAGCACAGACTAGAGCACAGAACGAAGCACATCGCTCTGCGTTACTTCCTGGCTCGAGAGTTGCAGCAGCGTGGTCAGCTTCGTCTTGCTCACGTGGCCACTCGGGCCAACACTGCTGATATATTCACCAAGGCACTTCCGTCTGGTGATCATCAGCGTTTCTGCACTTTGTTAGGCCTTGTGCCCACTTTGCCTCACTTGCTGTAGACTTTGCTTGTACTGTGATCTATATATATACATGCATCCTCTGCATGTGAACTGGCCTTGTGGCCCTTTGCTTGTGCTCAGTGTGTGTGGTGACGTTGTGATCCACCCTGAGCTTGCTTTGCTTCTCTTGACTGGTCTTGTGACCCCTTGCTCTCCCCACTTTGCCTATGGGGGTGTGTCAAATGTTATATCTGCTATATATGTTTAGGCTGTAGTGGGGTAGCCAATATGGGGTACAGCCCACTTTAGGGTTTCATATTTGTACCCGACTCTTTCATAGTTCAATCATTCTTACTGCCAGATTCTAACAGTATGCACAGTGCACAAAAACGGGTCTTGCGCCGAAACAAATGTTCTACTCTTGATTGCCCCTAGCTGTTGGATTCGTGCCCTAAGACTCAAGCGCTCCACTCTTATTACTCGTGTTTCTCAGCTGGAGGGTTCTTGATTCCAGCGTAAGTGCGGATGAGGTTTGCCCCGCTGGGGTCGGTGATGAGATGGTTAATAAGGCGGAAGCGGAGAGGGTTGGAGGCGACCAGGAAGGTGGAGAAGGCGAAGAGGAGGAGGTCGAGGGAGGAGAGGTTGGACGCCAGGAAGCCCCGCCATAGCCTGAGGGGGGAGAGGGGTGGAAAGGGTTGGAAGGGGGTGGAAAGTGGTTGAGAGGGGTGGGAAGGAACAAATTGGTGATTTGAAAGAGGTTTGCCCCGCTGGGGTCGGTGATTAGATGGTGGATGAGGCGGAAGCGGAGAGGGTTGGAAGCGACCAGGAAGGTGGAGAAGGCAAAGAGGAGGAGGTCGAGGGAGGAGAGGTTGGACGACAGGAAGCCACGCCATAGCCTGAGGGGGGAGAGGGGTGAAGCAGGGTGGAAAGTGGTGGAGGGGGGTGGAAAGGGGCGGGCGGAGAGGGGCGGAGCGGGGTGGAGAGGGGTGGTGAGGGTTTGAAAGGTGAGGTCTGCGATTCCAGCATAAGTGCGGATGAGCTTTCCCCGCTGGGGTCGGTGATTAGATGGTTTATAAGGCGGAAGCGGAGAGGGTTGGAGGCGACCAGGAAGGTGGAGAAGGCGAAGAGGAGGAGGTCGAGGGAGGAGAGGTTGGACGCCAGGAAGCCCCGCCATAGCCTGAGGGGTGGAGAGGGGTGGAGAGGGTTGATGAGGGGCAAAGAAGGGCGCAGAAGGGTGAGGGGAGAAGCGGAGAGTGGTGGGGAAGGGTCGAGAGGGGTAACTAAGGGGTGGTGAGGGGTGGAGAAGGGGTGGAGGAGAATGGAGAGAGGTAGAGCTCGGGAAAGAGGGAAATGTGAAGGTTTGGTGCAGTGGGAGGGTAAAGCGTCTCACACAGTTAGGGAGGCTGAAAGGCTAAGTACACAATCAGACTTCAAACGTAGAAGATATTGCATGCCTGTTTGAGTTAAAAAAAAATATTATAAAAGACTCATGTGCAGGCAGTTTCAAAAGCAGTTAATCCCGTGTGGGGGGCAGCTTGAAGAAGGCGCTGAAAATTTCTCGAGTGGCCGGTGAGTCGAGCCGCAAAATGAGTGCATTCTGAGTCGACTAATAGGTTACCTAGGGGGCAGCTCATCTGGGATTCTAAGGTGTATTCCGGTTTGACCCAAAGCTCACCTGGGGGGAAGCTTGAAGAAGGCGTTGAAGAAATCTCGGGTGGCTGGTGCGTTGAGCTGCAGAACTCAAAGGTGCGTTTTGAGTCGCCTCAAAGCTCACCTAGTGGCAGGTCACTTGGGGGGAGGCTCACCTGGGGGGCAGCTTGAAGAAGGCGTTGAAGACATCTCGGGTGGCTGGTGCATCTAGCTGTAGAATGAGTGTCTTTAAGTCGAACCAGAAGGTTGTATGTTGAGTTGAGTCGACTGAATAACTCACCTGGGGGGAAGCTTGAAGAAGGCGTTGAAGAAATCTCGGGTGGCTGGTGCGTCGAGCTGCAGAATGAGCTCAAGGCCGAATATCATGAAGGATTGCTGCCTCTTGCGCTCTGCTGACCACAGGTGGTCCCAGGCTGGTTGGGAGAGGAAAACAGCACAGGTCACAAGGCAGAGGACAGTAGAGTGGGTTACAGAGGAAGGAGAGCGAAAGAGCTGCAGAATGAGCTCAAGGCCGAATATCATGAAGGATTGCTGCCTCTTGCGCTCTGCTGACCACAGGTGGTCCCAGGCTGATAATGCACAGATCACAGGGTACACATGGCATGGCACGGGACGCATAGGGCATGGGAGTTGTAGTCCTTGTGAGCGATTTTTGAGAATTCTCAAAAATCGACCACAGGTGGTCCCAGGCTGATAATGCACAGATCACAGGGTACTCATGGCACGGGACGCATAGGGCATGGGGCAATTAGAAAGTTTTCTATGAGAGGCACTCAATCGAGCAACACAGGGTGACTGAAAGCATTGGCAGAAAAAACCACATCTCGTAAACGGCGTCTGCTGAGGTTTGGCTTGGCAGGAGTGTGCTACAAGGCACAAACGATTGCAAGAACACAAGTCTATGCCATACCTCGCAACCGCTCTGCAATGCACAGCACCCGGACTTTATGCCATCTTACAGCCCTGAAACCGCACTGCACCCAGAACCTGTCATAACTCAGTCCCACACTAACCTACCTTGAGTTGCAGCTTCTAGTGAAGTTCAGCTGGGAGGGAGAGTGCTATGAGGCGCCTCACGCCCACAGCCCCACAACCGCACTGCACCCTGGCCGTCTCAATACCCACGGCCCCACTGCCGCACACCAACCCACCTTGAGTTGCAGCTTCTAGTGAAGTTCGGCTGGGAGAGCGCAGAGGAGCAGCGAGAGCAGTGGCATAGTGGGTAGCTCGGTGTTGCCCCACAACCGCACTGCACCTAGAACCTGTCGTAACTCACAGCCCCACACCAACCCACCTTGAGTTGCAGCTTCTAGTGAAGTCCGGCTGGGAGCGCGCAGAGCAGCAGCGAGAGCAGTGGCATAGTGGGGAGCTTCGGTGAGGGAGCGAGTGATAGAGTAGCCTGTTGGGGAGGGGGGACATTTGGGAAAGAGGGATGGAAAAACGGGAAGGAAAGGGAGATGGGGTATTTGAGTGAAGCAACAAGCAGAGCTGCAGCAAGGCAGCAGCATCACCAAAACTCACATGGTGCTTGCGTGCTTGCTTACCTGTGACGACGAGGATCTAACGTTTCACAAAGTTGGTGCTTAAAAAAAACAAACGCCTAAAAAAATTCTCACCTGTGACAACAAGAATCTAAGGTTTCATGAAGTTGGTGCTTCAGAATATCCAATCTCCGATGGTTCTTAAGAGTATCCAATCTTGAGAGTTGGTGGTGCTTACCTGTGGCAGGATGAATCATGGACGCAGCAGCACCAAAGCCCAGGTGCTGCTGCGTGGTAAGAGGGAGAGAGCCGCCCACAGGGATGTAGGACCACTCCTGGTAGGTGGGGCGAAGGGGAGAAGGGAAATAGGGGTGAGGGAGGGCAGAGGCGTGGTAAGCAGGGATGGGGAAAGCCCAGGTGGTGCTGCATGGTGTGAGGGAGAGAGCAGCCCACTGGGATGTAGGACCACTTCTGGCAGGAAGAGCGAAAGGGGAGAGGGGAAACAGGGTGGGGAAACAGGTGGCGAACAGGGTGGATGGGACGTGGCAGAAGGGAAAAACCAATGTGTGTTTCAAGTTAAGCACACCTCCTCCCACAACACTCAAACGGCAAATTTGGGAGGAATGTTGGTGACGCTAAGCAATCATTTTGCAGGAGAAATGAAGGGCACGGCTCACCTCCTCATGCGTCACGGTGTATTTAACCCCCAGCTGTGCCAGCCGGCTGCGCAGGCGCATTTTGAGTTTACCATAACATTCAAACAGTCACCTCAAGTGGAATGCCAATCATGGCTCTCACCTCCTCGTGCGTCACGGTGTATTTCACCCCCAGCTGTGCCAGCTGGCTGCACAGTCACTACATGAGCGAAGAACAACAATCAAACAATCACTCTGAAGAGGACTGTCAGACACGGCTCTCACCTCCTCGTGCGTCACGGTGTATTTCACCCCCAGCTGTGCCAGCCGGCTGCGCAGGCGCGTTTTGAGCATGTCAAACGGCATTGCAGGGCGGGATGCCAGGCACGTCTCCTGTTGCGAGTTATGTGTGGGTGGGGAGGGGAAAGGGGAGGGGAAGGGGAATGGGTGAAACGGGAGACAGAGAAAAGCTTTTCAAGCATGTCAAGTGGCATAGCAGGGCGCGACGACAGGCACGTCTCCTGTTGCCAAGGGAGGCGTGGGTTGGGGATGGGGTGAAAGGGGAGTGGGAGAAAGGGAGAAAAGTGTATTTGACCTTGACCCCCAGCTGTGCCAGTCGGCTGCGCAGGCGTGTCTTGAGCATGTCAAACAGCATTGCAGGGCGGGACGCCAGGCACGTCTCCTGTTATGAGAGAATGTGCGGGTGGAGGGAAAAAGGGGAGACGGAGGGAGGAAAGAGACAGAGGGAAGCTTTGGAAGCATGTCAAACAGCATTGCAGGGCGGGACGCCAGGCACGTCTCCTGTTACCCAGAGAGGCGTGGGTTGAGGGAGGGGGGAGAAGAGATGACGAAGAACAGAGAGGAAGGGAGAAAAAGGAGGCACTGGAGGCATGTCAAACGGCATGGCAGGGCGGGACGCCAGGCACGTCTCCTGTTACCCAGGGAGACGCGGGTTGGGGGAGGAGGGAAAGGGGGAGTGGGAGAAAGGGGGGACAGAAGGCATGGCGTAGAGGAAGCTGGGGCGCTGGGAGAGCTTCTCCTTGGCTGCCTGTTTCTCATGGAGGTTAGACAAGCATACAAGAGATTGAGCATTCCAGTGCCCTCTCACCTGGAAGAAGATCCATGTGGGGGTGGAAGGCATGGCGTAGAGGAAGCTGGGGCGCTGGGAGAGCTTCTCCTTGGCTGCCTGTTTCTCATGGAGGTTAGACAAGCATACAAGAGATTGAGCATTCCAGTGCCCTCTCACCTGGAAGAAGACCCGTGTGGGGGTGGAAGGCATGGCGTAGAGGAAGCTGGGGCGCTGAGGGAGCACTCTCTCCTCTGCCTGCTCCTCGTGACACGGTACGAGATAGAACGAGACATAAAATGCATTGCCCTCACCTGGAAGAAGACCCGTGTGGGGGTGAGGCATGGCGTAGAGGAAGCTGGGGCGCTGAGAGAGCTGGGAGGGAGCTCCCCCTCGGCTGCCTACTCCTCGTGACTAAGTAACATGGGCGCTGGGTGCAGGGGGGCCTAGAATTTTGAGTTTCATATCCAAACATTCTGCTGCCCTCACCTGGAAGAAGACCCGTGTGGGGGTGGAAGGCATGGCGTAGAGGAATCTGGGGCGCTGGGAGAGCTCCCCCTCGGCTGCCTACTTGTCATGACATCTGATTTAAACAAGCATGGAACGAGCTGAACTTTCTGTTGCTCCCACCTGGAAGAACACCCGTGTGGGGGTGGAAGGCATGGCGTAGAGGAAGCTGGGGCGCTGGGAGAGCTCCCCTTCGGCTGCCAGCTCCTCCCTGGAGCGTTGGAGGTCCCGGTAGTCCATGAAGAGCATGCTGGCTGGGTTGTACGGGTAGGCTGAGTCCAGCTGTGGGGGGGGGGGGGGAGGGAGGAGGAAACAGGCACTTGTGGCAGATTAGCAGGTATGGAGTGGGGTAGCTTATAGCACTGGAGCGTTGGAGGTCCCGGTAGTCCATGAAGAGCATGCTGGCTGGGTTGTACGGGTAGGCTGAGTCCAGCTGCAGGTGGAAGAGGGAGAACAGGAAAAACGGGAAAGGAATTGTAGGAAGACTGTCAGAAGGCATGTCATATCCCCCTCTTCTCCCATGCCTGCTCCTCGGTGGAGCGTGTGAGGTCAGAGTCCAGCTGCGGGGAGAAAGGGAGAAAGCACCAGGCAAGCGTAATGGCTTTTTCTATTGCAGAGATGAAGTTTTATTCTAACAGGCATAGCGTGGGAAAACGCATCGTGCTGGAGCGTGTGACGTTCCGGTGGTCCGTGAATGACCATGCTGGTTCTGCATTTTGGGCTCTAGCTGTGGAGGGGAGAAACACAGAATCTTAGGACTGCTGCAAAACTCTAACTTTGAGTAGCCATGCCGCAACCAGAATTTCAAATCTGCAGGTTCAGTCCCATGCATCCTTCACGCTCAACTTCATACCTCCACTTCGATGCCGTATGCTGTTTGCACGCCCACGCCTCTCGTGTCATTGTCGTACTTGAGAAACTTCCCAGAAGCTGCTCCAGCCGCCACCACAACGAGCCTGTTTCATGGCCGGATATGAGGATGAAAGAAACGGAGGAGAGCAACCAGCATACGCCATGTTGCTCCACTAAATAGAGACAGCGCATGAGATTGCCCATTGCATGAGAAACTTTATCTATGTGTGGTTTGAGTCGACTCAAAATAGAGGAGAGCAATCAGCATTCCCCATTGTGCTCCACTAAATAGATACAACGCATGAGAGTGCCCCGTGCATGTGCATTTTATTCTTCCTAGTCTGGTACTGCCACCAGCCCAGCTCACCTGCTGTTGATGCGAGAGCCATCAGTGCATGCCACTGTGCTGCTCCGATGCGATCAAGTGCCTCAAATTCTCATACCAAAGTGCTCATTGTGCGGGCTATCAGGCACTGCCAGGCTAGCTCACCTGCTGTTGGTGCGAGAGCCATCAGTGCATGCCACTGTGCTGCTCTGACATGATCCAATGCATGAGAAGTGTACCTCTCCAGATTCCAGGTGCTCATCTTTCCAGTCTGGTACTCCCACGCTAGCTCACCTGCTGTTGATGCGTGACCCATCAGTGCACGCCACTGAGCTGCTCCGTGCATCGTCATCCATGCTCTCCACCTCCTTCTCCACATACCGCACTCCCGCCTGCTGGCATCTGGTGGGTAGGGCGAGCAAGGAATGATGCGATAACAGGCGGAATGTGGCTGCTGAGTAGGCTCAAACGCTACTGTGCTGCTCCGTGCATCATCCTCTATGCTCACTGCCTCCCTCTCCACATATCGCACTCCCGCCTGCTGACATCTGGTGTGCAGAACAGGGCGAGCAATAGAGCATTCGGAAACAGGTAGATTGTGGCTGTTGAATTGATACAAACTTCATTGCTGCTCCGCGCATTGTCCTCTATGCTCTCCACCTCCTCCTCCACATACCACACTCCCGCCTGCTGACACCTGGGGGCAGGGTGAGCAAGGGCAGCGAAGATCTTGCCACCTGGTAAGCACAAAACACGACTCAAGACATCTTGCACCATCATTTCACACGACGCCTGTGATGGAGTTGAAAACAGAGGCCAGAGCTGATGGGCGGACCCTCTGTTCACAGCAGGAATTGGCACCTTTTTGTTGCACGACACACAACTTCCTGGAATCACTTTCGAGAATTCTCAAAAGTGATGTGCGGACCCTCTGCTCGCAGCAGGAATTGGCACCTTTCTGCTGCACGATACACAACTTCTTGGCCGGGAAATACTCAGAGCTGTAAAAATCCAGAACCATGCGTCTCTGGCGCCGCTATAAGAAGTCACAATTATATTCTAACCTCAGAACGAGCTCGTTGTGGAGTCTTGAGCGCTCTACTCGGCCATACGCCCTCCCCGTGGTGATGGGAACATCGGAGTCTGTGTATAGAATAGTGTCGGTCCACACTTGGTCAATGCAGTGGTCCAACCCAATGGCTGCACGGAGTGTGGGGAGGATGGGAGCAGAGGAGGCAGATGATTAGCGTGGGAGCAGTGGCGGGAGAGGATGGTTACATCCGAGCACGGTTGTCCACAGATGGTGTCGGTCCACACTTGATCGATGCTGTGGGTCCATCCCAATGGCTGCACGGAGTGTGAGAGGATGAGACGGAATGATGATTTCATTTAAGATTTGAGAAGGGAACATTTTTTAGGCGGTGTGTATAGGATGGTGTCGGTCCACACTTGGTTGGATTTGTCGAGCCAGACGCCGGAGTTGATGACAAAGGTCCGCGTTTGACACGCTCCGACGAAAGACATGACATTTGAGACGTCCCAGCAGTCGCATACCTTTGAATTCGTCGAGCCAGACGCCATAGTTGTTGACGAAGGGTGCATCTCGGCCAACCAGCCCCACCGTTAGTCCGCGTTTGGCGCACTCTGCCGCGATAGAGAGCCCCGCCGGCCCACAGCCGACCACCAATACGTCGAGCACCGATGACTCTTTGGTGTCTAGAGGGAGGAGCTGTGCGGGTGACGAGCGGAGGGTGAAAAGAGACGAGATGAGTGCAAGGGAGATGATAACAGAATTAGTGAGAAGCACGTCGAGCACGGAAGAGTCTTCGGTGTCTAGAGGGAGGAGCTGTGCGGGTGACGAACGGAAAGGGTAAAGAGTGACGCGAACAAGGTTGGCCTTACCCAATCACATTGCTTTTAAGGCTTAAAATTTTAACGTTTCGTGTAAAATTTCTAAACATTTCTCAGATTCGTAGCTGGATTCGAAGCAATTCCTGGATACAAGTACCTTGCTGGAAATCTTTGACTGATCCTCCATCGGCTTGGTAGCCTGCATCTGGACGTAATGCAGGTCAGAGCCGCCTGCCTTGGTAAAATTGAGGTGTGTTTTGAGTCGACTCAAAACACATTCATAGCAAATCCCGGATTCAAGTACCTTGCTGGCGATCTTTGGCTGATCCTCCATCGGCTTGGTAGCCTGCATCTGGACATAATGCAGGTCAGAACCGCCTGCTTTAGTGAAATCCTCAGTGTTAGCAAACGCTGCTTCGGGAGTGGCTGCTGGTGACTCGATCAATGGAGGAATTGCACAAACTGGCCGGCATAATTGATAGATTCTTTTTGCTGGGATGGAGCTGTGACCAGTGGAAGGACCGTGAATGATAGACAGAGATGCTCCATGAAATCGTGTTCGTAACCGACAACTGCCACCCTTAGTAGATTGACTATGTTCCGAGTTACCTAACCGAAGTGAGGAGAAACGAGTTACAACTGATCCGGCATAGAATTGAGCTGCAGACGACATCCTGAACACTCGTAAAGACTAGCCACGAAGACGGTTATTAAAATTTTGGTACCAACAGTAACACGACTAACGCGAACCTCGACCCAGCTGGCCTGTACTGACACCACTAATGCAAGGTCGCTGTCCGAAGAAAAGGATTTCACCGAGAGCTATGAGCCTAAAAGCTTCAGGCTGACTGTTCCATTCATTTGCCAGCTGACAAACACCCCCAAGGCAAACCTTGAGAATTCCGCCTGTTCCCACCGCTTCCGCTGCAGAGCTAATCCGCAGTTTAGGATCCTACCGCTGCAGAGAGCTACCGCGCGAATTTCCGCGCGTGCGGCCAGCGAATGGGGAGGCTCCAAGTTTTCAGGGAGTTCGTGCAGCGAATCGGGGGTGACAATTTCGAGGAGGTAAAATCCATGTGTGGGGGTTGTGATTGGCGGCAGTTCATACGCGAATCAGACGTTCCATCCCAAGTACCAGAATACACCAAGGACTCTGACTGAATACACACTGGCTTATTCTAGTACGTAGCGACTGTAACAATTCTTTCAATATTTAGTATGAGCATTCCCTGAGAGAAGAAACATGAATATATTTAGTATGAGCATTCCCTGTAACTCATAAACGCCCTGCTTCTTTACAAAATATCATGCCGGTTCAGGTTACTACGGCAAGGAAAAGGCAACAAACAAGTAGGTATGCACTACATACGGGTATCAGAACTGGGTTCTAGGGGAGCTGGTAGCCAAAGAGGAGCCTTCTGGGGACAAGGATTCTAAGTTGGGATAAGAACCCCAAGACGACATGCCAGACGACTGCTGTGGCACAGCAAACTCCGCACTCAAGCTGCTGAGCGATGCACAGGATCTGCTTCTTGACTCCTCTGAAATAAGACCTCCATCCCTTGTCATCTCACTGCTCTTTTGTGAGCCCGGTGCAGCCCCAGGGCTGCACACAAAATCACATGAGTTTGGAGGCGACACGTGGTTTGCAGGGATGGGAGGAAGCGGTGAGACGGCACGTGGCGGAAGCCGAGCCGACCGACCGGATACTGAGTTGGCAGACCTGCGGGAAAGACGTGGCTGCTGTTGCTGCTGGTTGTGGTATTGGTGGTGGAGTCTAGGAGAGGACGCCCTATGTTGGGGAAACATCTGCTGCATCTGCTGTTGCTGCTGGAAATGCATTTGCTGCTGCTGAAACTGCTGCATTTGATTGTACTGCATCTGCTGCTGCCGCTGCTGTTGGTGCTGCATGTGCTGCTGTCGCATCATCTGCCGTTGCATCACCATCCATTCCCGCTTCTCCCGCTCCCTACGCCTCTCCTCCGCCGCCCCTGCGTCATGTGGCGAAGGCAACGAGTAACCCGACTTCACACTCCCCTCCTCGTCAGCAATCTCCCCGTCGTCGCATTGGCTCTCGCTGTCCGAATCGATCGCGGTGAACACGCTTCGAGCGTCCGCGGGACTCCCGCCGCGGAGCGACGCCACAAAGGCGGACGCGTCCGCGGGGTGCGGAAGATTCACCCTCATAGCGCGGTGGTCCAGGCTCGTTCGGCGGACGGGTGTCGACGGCGCGGAGGGGAACCGCGCGCGCGGCGCAGGCCGTGGGTCGCGCTGGGAATCGTATTCGCGGGAATCGTTGCGGCTGTAAGAGGCAGATCTCGAGAACGACTGCTGCTGCTGCCACTGCGCCAACCCCGGCGGTGGCGGCGACGGTGACGGAACGAGCCCACATGCAGCCGCGGCAGCGGAAGCGTCATAATCTGGAAAAGCGGGCCGCGTAGATCCATCTTGTGCGCTGCCAGCGCCGCGGTGAAGCGCGCGCCGCCCGCTCCTTCCGCCGGTTGCGCAATCGGCGGAATCCAGGGCGGAGAAGCCCCTAGCGATATCGCCGCCCTCGAAGTCAGGGAAGGCGGCGGCGGAAGCGGATCGGACTGACGGAGCCGGCGAGGGGGAGCGCGACGAGCGCATGCTTCCGCCCGCGCCGCAGCCTCCGCAGGAGCGGCCGCACGACGGCTGGCGCTCAAGTTGAGAAAACGCCGGACTCTGCTGCCCTACAGCGGCGTTGTAACCGTTGGACTCGCTGTCGTAGCCGCCGCCATTATCGTAACCGCCATTATTGTAACCTCCATAGTTAGAAAGATCATTGAGTGAATTTACCCGCTTCGGCTGGGAGTGACGGCGCATGTTCGTCTCGTCTTGCCAAAGTTGGCGCGCTTCGGAAAGCGACGCGGCGGCGGACCTGGCGGATGAAGCGTCAGAGACGGACGCGCGTCGCGACGCGACACGGTTGGCAGCCTGAAACGGCGAGATGATCTCCTCTTCGTCGTCCTCTGACGTGGCGTCAAAGACGTAATCAGAATGACGCATGGAAGAAGAAGCAGCGACCGCGGCGGCAAGGGCAGCAACATCGGCGCTTTGTTGGCGGCTGAAAAGCGCGCCGGTATCGAGCGACATGCGGCGCGGAACGAAGCCATTTTGTCCATTCTCCGTCAAGAAGTCGCCTTTCCGTTCGGATTTCCTCGTCTCCTTGCGAGCACGGCGCGGCGCCGGCCCGTTATTGCGATCGCTGTCAGGTAGAAATCCCTTAAAATCCTCGTTAGACGGGAGAGACTTGGCCCCTTTCAACGGCGACTGTTTAGGCTCGAGATAATACGTGCTGCCAGGGTGAAGCGACTTTTCCGGCGCGAGACACGGGCGGGAGGAGGTGATGCTGCCGACGTGATGGCCCGGATATTCCGCCATGATATCCGCGACGGTCTTTCCCCCGCCGAACATCTCCATGCTGCCGTCGGGGAGAAGGAGCGAGACGAGCTTGTCGCTGCTTCGCGAGCGGAGGAGCTTGTCAAGGCCCCATCGAGACATCGCCATCGCCATTCGGATCGCTCAAAGAATCGAAATTTGCGCCTGTACGACGCCGCGTCGTCCTGGAATGGAGGAACGTGTTCCTGACGGTCCGCTGTGGAGAAAGTTACCAGTTTCGATCAGAAGAGGTCGAAGTGGGAAGCAAAACTTGCTCCAGTGCGTCAAGCGAAGCGGAACTTCTGAGAACGAGATTGAAATTAGTTTATAAGGTGTGAAGCAACATTTATCTCATGGTTGCTGAGTTGTGTACACGTGGGTCGATCGAACTCGTGGAGGGTGGAATGGGAGCGACGTGAAGAGTTGAGCAAGAGACGCATTGCATGTGCTGTTGAGAAGAGAATGCTGAAGCGGAGGGCACAGAAGAGGTCGCGGAAATCGTGTGTGGTGGATTGTCAAGGCAGGTGGGAAGTTGGAGATTGGTGGCGATCCGAGGCGCGGTAAGGCGAGATGATGCGAGATAGGCGATGCCAAAGTGTATGTGGTAACCTGAATGGCGACGACATCGGTGTGGTTGAAGCGAGGACATTGCGGAGGAAGCGCGCTGAGCCAAGCAAAGCAACAAGGGTGTGCTGTGCGGCTGACGGGGAATCCGGGCTGCGCTGCGGGGTTCGAGTTTTTCCGAAAATGACGTGGGCCGAAGGAGTTGAATGCGGGGGCAAGTGGAGTGCGAATCAAATCTGAAGGAACAAGTCGCGCGCACCCCTTTGCACAACTGAATTGGAAGGGACCAACCAGGCCAGCAGACCAACTCAATTCGAGATTCACGCGGAATCTATGGGACGCTGACAAAAAGTCTCATTGAAAGAAACTCCCATCCGTGGCCGTCACTGTCGCGAGTGTAACTGTCCGCTGGCGAATTTTCCTTCTGTTAGCTACAGTTGATCACATTTCTGGTGGCTGTGGAACGAACAGCAATGATAGCCAATGACATAGAAAACGCTGATTACTCAGGGTCCCTGAATTCCCACGTCATCCAGAATTAGTGGGTCATTTGCGAGCTTGTACTCATTTGGATGAATTGAGTTTCCTTTCCGCCAAACCTGCCCTGCAACCAAACCAAACCATTTTTCGCATGCATTGTCCAGGGTTGTCTTGTAGTGGTCCCTTCTGCTGCAAACTGGCCAGCTGTGCCATTTCTGATTCCGAATCCATTACTATAGCATTCGATTTCCTCATAAGACATTTGTTTTATGGACATCAACTATGGGAAACTAGAAAGCTTTCAGGCTTCCTAGCACGTATGAGTCAAAAGGAGGACAGCACCAGTACCGTAGTTGCTAACGCACGAGCTTATACGAAGCATGTTTTTCTCAATCAACCATATCCCCCACTCCCATTACCATCACCATCATCGCCTCGCCATGCCCCGCCTTTCGCTCCCCGTCAACTCCGCAGCATGCGCCGAGTCGCCCGCCTTTCTCCCTCACCGCAGCTCCGCAAACACCCACATTTCGATTGCCGTGAACGGCTGGCAAGGAAGGCAGTTTGTTACTAGCTTTCAGGCTAGCAATGACCCTGTTATAAGCACATTCCACAATCTAGTAATTCTCTCGTCCGTCTCGCGTCCGATTTCCTTCAATCCCCAATCTCGTTTCAAGAGAACAAATCCAGCGGCTCCGCGCATATCGAGCCACTCGCAGTTCGCAAATTGCGTTCTTAATGGCGATCCTTCCGCTGTACATAACACCGCTATCGGCTCTCAGTCATTCCGACGGTCCACAAATTACCTAACTACCGCTAACCGCTTAGCGATTGACGCGTCGTCTTTTCCAGCGTTTTACAGGTCAATTTCCTCTCGACGTAGTTCTGTACAGGTGAAACCAGCAGACGAATCGCCTGAAAATTCACCTGATGATGAGTATGAGGATTTTCGGGATCTTCGGCCCGAAGACCTGCAGCGATTATGCGAGTCAACGGGGTCAACGCAGTCAACGCATTCAACACAGCAGCCGGATCGCGTCTTTGTGGCGTCGATTCCGCTGGACGCGCCGGCAGGACCACCGCAATGGGCTGCTGACGTGGCAGGACGGCTGTTTCCTCAGCTGTGCAGTCACTGGGTGGTGATTGTAGCGAGAGAAAATGGAGAGGTGAGGCTTTGAACGGAAAACTCGGTAGTTTCAAAAGATGCCTCATTTCCAGACGTTGGGATGCCACTAGGCCCGTTGATTTCCACACACTCTCTTCCTTCCTCCCCCTCCTTCTCCCCCTCTCCTTCTCCCCCTCTCCTTCTGAGTTTAGGCTACCTTTTTTACTTTAGGCCTGGCGACCCGCAGAGCATAAGAGTTGGGCTGTTGCTTAGCCTGCTTTGTTCTACTCACGTTCTCCCCTCCTCTCACTTCCCCCCTCCCCCTCCCTGCTCTCCCCGCCCATGCTCTCCCCGCTCCAGTGCTACCTGTTTGAATTCACGCCGGATAACCCACAGAACATGCGGGTGGCTCTCGGATTACCCGAAGGGAGTTGAGTAGGGTTTAGGGCTTAGGGTTGTTCCCGCCCACCTTTCCCCCCTTTCCCACCTCCTCCCGCTCCCCCAGCGCTACCTCTTTGACTTCAGGCCGGATAATCCACAGAACATGTGAGTGGCTCTCGGATGGCCCAAAGGGGGTCAAGGCCTTGACTTGTTCTTGCCCACCTTTCTCCCGTTTTCTTCCCCCCTCCTTCCCCTCCCCCCAGCGCTATCTCTTTGACTTCAGGCCGGATAACCCACAGAACATGTGAGTGGCTCTCGGATGGCCCAAAGGAGATCAAGGCCCTCAGTTGTTCCCGCCCACCGCTCCCCCTTCCTCCTCCCCCACCTCCCCCCCTCACCCAGTGCTACCTGTTTGACTTCAGGCCGGATAACCCACAGAACATGCGGGTGGCTCTTAAAGTGCTGGCGCTGCAGCCTGTGCCTGGTGGGTGGGTGGGTGAGTGGGTGGGTGGGTGGGAGCTGCAATTGTCACATGCCTTGTCACATATCTTGTCACATGTCCATGCCCACAGAACATGCGGGTGGCTCTCAGAGTGCTGGCGCTGCAGCCCATGCCTGGTGGGTGGATCGGTGGGTGGGTGAGTGGGTGGGTAGAATCTGCATCTGTCACATGTCTTGCCTTGTTCCAAGCCTTGCCTGCATGCCATGGCCTGCCATGGGCTCCCTATGTTTCTTTTGAGGCGCCTCAAAACTTGCCTGCATGCCATGGCCTGCCATGGGTTCCCTATGTTTCTTTTGAGGCGCCTCAAAACTTGCCTGCATGCCATGGCCTGCCATGGGTTCCCAATGTTTCCTGCACTGCTCCTGTAGCAGGTGGGTGGCTGGGTGGCAGCAGCATCCTCTTTCACGTGCCTTCAGGCGGTATACTCATTCCTGCGCTTACAGAGTGTTTTTGAGAATTCTCAAAAACACTCTGCGCCCTAACTTCCCGCCCTCCATCTAACGTCCCGTCCCTCAGGCCACGGGCCCATTCGATTGCTGTCCCGCTTCCGAGGCGCCTCAAAAAGCCGACTTTTGAGGCGCTCAAAAGCCTTCCTTCTAACGTCACTGAGGATACGGGCCCATTCGATTGTTGTCCCGCAGCCTTCCCGCAGCCGCTGGTGCCTCAGCATGCCTGCTGAATGCGTTTTGAGACGTCTCAAAATCAGCACGGCTGCTCATTGGGGAAAAAAAGAAGGAAACATTCTTTTCCTCCTCTTCCTTCCTGCTCACCATCCGAATGCCTCCAGGCTATGTGCTCATTCGCCCGCTATCCTCCCTCCCCTCCCGCCGCTTCTGGTGAATTGGCTCATCTGCTCACCACGTCTGGTTGGCCCCTTACTCTGCTTCCCTCCCTCTTGCCATCCTACTCTCCCTCTATTTCCAGGCTATCTGCTCATACTCTCCCTCCATCTCCAGGCTATTTGCTGGTGCATAGGCTCGTCTGCTTCCTACGTCAGATTGTCCCCTTACTACGCTTCCCTCCCTCTCACCATCCCACTGTCCCTCCATTTCCAGGCTATTTGCTCATTCGTCCGCTCTCCTCCCTCCCCTCCCGCCGCTGCTGGTGTGTTGGCTCGTCTGTTGACTAGGTCAGATTGCCCCATTGCTCTGCTTCCCTCCCTCTTACCATCCCACTGTCCCGCCATTTCCAGGCTACCTGCTAATACGCCCGCTCTCCTCCATCCCTTCCCGCCGCTGCTGGTGCCTCGGCTCGTCTGCTCACTCTGACACCCTAGATGCTGTCCAATCATTCAACGCCACATGGCGCACCGAACTGACGGTGATCTCCAACGATTGCAGAGACTACAGCCAAGGTATGCATGTGAAATGATGCCCAGTTGAGGAATGCCACGTGGCACACTTATCTGCTGACAATGTTCTCCAACCATTGTACGGACTACAGCCAAGGTACGTACGTAAAATGACACCCACTCAAGGAATGCCACGTTGCACACTAATTTGCTGATGGTGTTTCCTAACGATTGTAAAGACTACAGCCAGGGTACGTTTGTGAAATGACGCCAATTGTGGAATGCCACATGGCACACTTATCTGCTGACAATGTTCTCCAACGATTGTACAGACTACAGCCAAGGTATGTACTGGCATGTTGAATGAGTCCCAATCATGCAACGCCACATGGCGCACTTATCTGCTGACGGGCTCTCCCACATTTGTACAGATTGCAACCATGGGATAAACAACGTGAATCCGCAGTGCATCGATTGGGTATTGCTATCTTGCAGGGGTATTGCTATCTTGCAGGGGTATTGCTATCTTGCAGGGGTATTGCTATCTTGCAGGGGTATTGCTATCTTGCAGGGGTATTGCTATCTTGCAGGGGTATTGCTATCTTGCAGGGGTATTGCTATCTTGCAGGGGTATTGCTAGGGTATTGCTATCTTGCAGGGGTATTGCTGCTGGAGCCCTTCCTTCCTGAGGGGCATGAAAGAACAAAAAGAAATCCTTTGCTATCAATCAGAGCATGAAGTAGATATTGCTGCTGGTCCCTGTCTGTGCTTGCCTTATGCTCCTTAAGCTCTTAGCTGCATGCATGTCCCTGTCTGTGCTTGCCTCGTACTCCTCATGCTCTAACGCTGCATGCATGTCCCTATTCGTGCTTGCCTCATACTCCTTATACCCCTGCCGCTGCATGCATGTCCCTGTCTGTGCCTGCCTCATACTCCTGCTCTTAACGCTGCATGCATGTCCCTGTCTGTGCTTGCCTCGTACTCCTCATGCCCTTCCCGCTGCATGCATGTCCCTATTCGTGCTTGCCTCGTACTCCTTATACCCCTGCCGCTGCATGCTTGTCCCTGTCTGTGCTTGCCCTTCTACTCTTTGTGCGCAGCGCTCGCATCGCATCTAACAGGCAAGAAGATTGACCTCAGCTTGTGCTTGTGAATCGTGAATAGTGAAAGAATATCCAAGGACGTGAAGACAGAATACGCGAAGTGACTCTTGTTTGAGTAGATGCTAACTCAATCTCAGCATCTCTTTCAATGTCATCTGCTAGCGAATGCGAAACACTGAACAGCCATTTATGTCTGTGTCCGTAGACAGTTGCTGACATCGCACAGATCCACACAACCAATGCTGTGTGTTCTGTGTACCAATTTTCCTTTCTACATGGTCCATGCAAGGGTGTTGCGGTGTAACTCTAGGAATAATTATAGTTGTGCTTGCGAGATGCACAAGTAGCCCATACAATGGCAGACATTTCTGGAATTTCTCATAGCACAGACAGAGATGCGAGGCGAGGAGTTTCTCTATATTGCGAACATTTTCCACCCCCCAGCCACCTCAAACACCCGACGAGGAATATGTCCCAGTGTGTGTGGTTCATTCGAGCCAATTCCTCTCCGTTGACAGGGCACGACTCCAATCTCCACACCACCCTGAAACGCGGGAAATTAGGATGGGGAAATGTCACAAGTCGCACCCTAAACCAGTTTTGTTTGGAGCCACTACTTTTGACCCCTAACCTACGTGGCAAAGCCTCCGAGCTGGATTCCCAATGAAAGCCAGCCAGCTCGAACTCACTAAACCACTCATGGGCAAGCTCAAAGCTGGAATTGCACATAACTTCGTCGGAATTTCACTCAAACATTGATCAATCTGCCAATGCCAGATTCCTAGACGAAATTAGGAACCTATCTCAATTTTCGTGAGTGCCTCCTACCTCGACTTCTCAGGACTGTGTTGCGACACGCATTTCCTTGACAGCAGAAAATACCCCTCCGACAATCCTCACAAACCAACATTAATTCATTTCTTCACACGTTGCATTTACTGTCAACGTCGCTGACCCAACCGCCTTTGTACATACTCCCCCGTTTTTAAGGCGCCATCTCGTCACGACGCTCTCACACAATGGCTGCGACTCTTTCCTCCTCGGCATCCGCCACCCTTCGCTCCCTCTCTATCCCAGAGGGAAGCACATTCTCCTCTTCCTCCCGGACGGCAATCCCTGGGTTTTCCGGCCTCAAGGCCCAGAAGGCCCTTTCCGCCTCTGCTCAAACATGCACCTGCATGACGTGCGCGAAATGCGGTAACCGTCTCACAGGCGTCGTCGCCATGGCCAGCGGCGACAACCAGTTCGCGAGCGTCTCCCAGTCCACCGCCGCTCCCGCCGCTCCTGCCGCCACCGCCCTCCTCCCCGCCATCGTCGGCGCCGGCGCTCTGGGCGCCGCGACCTACGTCGCCGTGAAGAAGCTCACCGCGTCTCCCGCCGCCGCTCCCGCCGCACCCGCCCCCTCCTCTCCTGCGGTCACCAGCGTGCCGCCCAGCGGCATCGTGCCCCGCGCGAAGCACGCGGCGGCGTCGGCGCTGTCGACGATGGCGACGACGTTCCCGTCGGCGATGCAGGAGGAGGCGTTCCTGAAGGCCGTGGCGGTGGAGCTGGCGAAGCTGGGGTTCCGCAAGGACAACGGCATTGCGCTGGTGAACACGTGCCGCGACGAGGTGTGCCGGCCCGTGGTGAGCATCATCGACCGCGAGTTCGGGCTGAGCTTCAACATCTCGGGGCTGGGCGGGCTCGTCAACTGCGGCAAGGTCGGCTTCGGAGCCGCCATGAGCCACTCGCCCGAGTTCCCCTGCGACGTCGACGGCAACCTCAAGGAGCGATGTACGTTTGGGCTCTCAATACATACATAGTGCTGATTTTCCTGTTTGCCACTACGAGCCTTCCAGTCGCGTTTCCTCATATTGCTCCCCACTTCTCCTGTCATTGTACCCGATCGCATACCCAGCTGAGCTGTGCCCTTTCACTGATTAACCCTCTATTTTACTTCTGTCTGTGTTTCCTTCCTGCAGACATCTTCTTTGCGTTCCCGCACGTGTCCATCGGCGAGTCGGGCGAGGTGGGGTCGCTGCTGCGTCGCGGTCGCGGCAAGGCGTCGAGCGCGTGCGGAGCGTTGATCGCCATCAACAACGACATCAACAACGGCGTGGCGCCCAGCATGGATAGCGACGACCCCGAGTACACGCTGCTGCGCAAGAAGATCATGACTAAGGTACGAACACGTCCGTAAATAAAAGATTGGCTTGTTTCAGGGTCACTAACACAAGAAATAAATATGAAGAGCTAATGGTTAGCCATAAAGACTTGTAACTATAACCTCCCACATTTGATCCCGCCTCCTCTTCTCGCCTCGCAGGTGTCACCGGGCGGCAACCAGTCGCTGGTGGACGTGACGCGCGCGGCGCTGGCGGCGATCAACGAGGACTTGGAGAAGCTCATCTCGCTCACGGTGAACCCCGCCACGGCGGACTACGCCGTGATCACGGGCGTGCAGATCCACTCGGGCGACCAGATTCCCGGCCAGCCCTTCCGCATCGAGCGCACCTGCGACTACATCGCGCCCGACAAGATGTACGCCGTCGTGCGCGGCCAGAAGTACGAGCTCAAGGTGGAGACGCCCAAGTCGCAAGGCGTCGCCGCCATGGTTTGAAGAAATTTAGTGCTAAATAAAGAAGACCCACACCATGTTATATTTATTTTTCTTTAATTAAGCGTTAGGTTGGATCGATGTGTTAATCGATTTTTTTTTTATTTTTTTTAAACCTCAATTATGCGTTGTGATTGGCCAGTCATTGAAACTAATCCTGTTAGGCCATAAAGCAGCTTAATATGAAGGTTCAAAGCTAATGCTTACGTCAGTTTCACTAAACCATAGCAGCTGCAGGTGTTGATTGCAAATCTAAACGCGACGCTTATTTTTCAGAATCGGTAAAACAGAATTGGCCGAAAGTGGGAGTGAGGAAGTAAAAGACTTTAAAACCCGCAGCCTGAATTACAAAAACGAGTCAACGATTGGTTTGGGAAGAGGTTGGGGAGAGGTGCGGACGGGTGGGTGACACTTTCGGGTGGCGAAACCAATTTGCGAACACACAAGTGTCGCAACATTGAATCTGGGCGACAGAAACCAATACAATGGGGAAGTGATGTCACCTTCAGGACTTCTGTCGACAAAAAACCAGCACACCATTACTAGCTACTAACTTAGACACGAAATGATCGAATCTTAGTTTCCTCCAAGCGGCAGCACACAAATTCAGTAGCTACATTGCGCGAAGATTCTTACATTAGGGTGTTATAGCGAACACATTTCAGACAACCGGAATCCCTAGGTGCAGCGTGGCCACGCAATCGAAGCACGGAGAATAGGCGTGAGGAGATGAGAAATTAGCGCTTTGCCCACCTCGCGACCCTCGCCCATCGCCCGACGCCCTCGCCGCCTAGCCGACCGTCGACCTCGCTTCCCTCGCCCATCGCTCTCGCTTCCCCCGCCAGTCGCTCTCGCTTTCCCCGCCTACCACCCTCGCGGAAGCCCGTCCCCCTCGCCGCTTCCCCGCCCGCCGCCCTCGCTTCCGCCCGTCGCCCTCGCATCTGCCCGTCACCCGCCCTTCCGCCCGCCGTCCATCCTTCCCCTCGTCGCGCTCCCTTCCGCCCGTCGCCCTCCCTTCTTCTCGTCGCCCTCCCGTCCTCCCGTTGCCTTCCCTTCCGCCCTCCGCCCTTCCTTCCCCTCGTCGCGCTCCCTTCCGCCCGTTGCCCCCCTTCGTCTCGTCGCCCTCCCTGCCGCTCGTCGCCCTCCCTCCCGCGAGTCCCCTCGCAATCCCCGTCTATCTATCTCCCCCGTCGCCCTCGGTTTCCCCGCCGCCCTCCCATCCACTCCTCGTTGCCCTCGCCATCCCTCCCTTCTCCCTTCTCATCTCGCACACTTGTCACCCCCCCTTTCCAACCCGCACATACACCCTTCCCTCTCCCCAATAATCGCCTTTCACCCCCACACTGCTTACCTCTCTCCCTCTTCCCCCCATCAATTGCCCTGCTCCCCACCGTCCTCCCCCCAGCTCTCTCCCCGGCATCTCTCCCGCTCCCCACGTCCTCTTCCCTGTTTCCCCGTATCCCCTGCAATGCTTCCCCCCATCTTCTTCCCTGTTTCGCCGTATCCCCTGCGCTGCTTCCCCCCATTCTCTGACTTGCTTCCCCCCATCTCTTTCCCTGCTCCCCCCCGTCCACTCCCCTGCCTCCCCCCATCCCCGTCCCTGCTTTCCCCCATCCCCTTTCCTGCTTCCCCCCGTCCCCTCCCCTGCCTCCCCCCATCCCCTTCCCTGCTTTCCCCCAACCCCTTCCCTGCTTCCCCCCATCCCCTTCCCTGCTTCCCCCCATCCCGTTCCCTGCTTCCCCCCATCCCCTTCCCTGTTTCCCCCCATCCCCTTCCCTGCTTCCCCCCATCCCCTTCCCTGTTCCCCCCATCCCCTTCCCTGCTTCCCCCCATCCCCTTCCCTGCTTCCCCCCATCCCCTTCCCTGCTTCCCCCCATCCCCTTCCCTGCTTCCCCCCATCCCCTTCCCTGTTTCCCCCCATCCCCTTCCCTGCTTCCCCCCATCCCCTTCCCTGCTTCCCCCCATCCCCTTCCCTGCTTCCCCCCAACCCCTTCCCTGCTCCCCCCCATCCCCTTCCCTGCATCCCCCCAACCCCTTCCCTGTTTCCCCCATCCCCTTCCCTGCTTCCCCCCATCCCCTTCCCTGTTTCCCCCCATCCCCCTCCCTGCTTCCCCCCATCCCCTTCCCTGCTTCCCCCCATCCCCTTCCCTGCTTCCCCCCATCCCCTTCCCTGCTTCCCCCCATCCCCTTCCCTGTTTCCCCCCATCCCCTTCCCTGCTTCCCCCCATCCCCTTCCCTGCTTCCCCCCATCCCCTTCCCTGCATCCCCCCAACCCCTTCCCTGCTTCCCCCCATCCCCTTCCCTGCTTCCCCCCATCCCCTTCCCTGCTTCCCCCCAACCCCTTCCCTGCTGTCGACCTCTCTTTCCCCCTCCCGTCAACCTCGTCTTTGTTAAGGTTTGCTCGCTCTGTTTCACCCTTGCTCACTCTGTTTCACCCTTGCTCACTCTGTTTCACCCTTTCTCGCTCTGTTTCACCACTGCTCCCCAACCCCCTTCTCTTCTCACTCTCTTCCCCCTTGCTCCCTCTCTTCACTTCTGCTCACTCTGTTTCCCACTGCTTCCTCTCTTCCCCCCTTCTCACTCTGTCCCCCGCTGCTTCTTCTCTTCCCTTCTGCTCACTCCTTTTACTGTCTTTTCCCCTTCACTCACCCCCCCCTCCCCCAATGCAGGGTACAGGTGCCCAGCACCAGATTTGTTCTTTTATAAAATTGAGTGATTCCCCTTGTACGGTACAAATAGTACTAGTATATTATTTGTTGGACCCCTAGTTAGTGGTCATGTGTATGACTGCTCTGAAGCTCATAATGCCGTATCATACGAAACTATCCAATACATGGCATGTCTATACGTCGTGAGATATCAAGCAGCCAACACATCCCAACCAGATGCAGAGAAGACACCTGCAAACACAAACCAGGAAGTCAGATGTGACGTGGCAGAAGTAGAAGGGAAGCAAGCATGCAAAAGAATGACAACTGAGAAATGATGAAGGGAGGAATGGGAAAATAGAGAAAGGGAGGAAGGGAGGAAGGATGGGGTGTGGAGGAGATGGGGTGGGGCGGAGTTGGTGGAATGGGGAGTGGGGTGGGGCGGAGATGGGGTGTGGAGGAGATGGGGTGAGGAGGAGATGGGGTGAGGAGGAGATGGGGTGAGGAGGAGATGGGGTGAGGAGGAGATGGGGTGAGGAGGAGATGGGGTGAGGAGGAGATGGCCCGCCGCCATCCGCCCACAGCGCCCCTAGCAGCTCCCCGGTGGACGCAAGGCCGAGGACAGTGTGGGAAACACCTGGAGGGGAGGGGGAGAGGATCGGATGGGGGAAGGACGGATGGGGAGACGATCAGATGGGGAGAGGACGGATGGGGAGAGGATGGATAGGGAGAGGATGGATGGGGAGAGGATGGATAGGGAGAGGATGGATAGGGAGAGGATGGATAGGGAGAGGACGGATAGGGAGAGGACGGATAGGGAGAGGACGGATAGGGAGAGGAATGGGGTGGAGCGGAATGGGGTGGAGCGGAATGGGGCGAGGCAGAATGGGGTGAGGGAGAAGCACGGCGGGAGTGGCGGGGCGAGTGGAAAGGGACGGGAGGGACGGGGAGATGAGGGATGGGGAGATGAGGGATGGGGAGACGAGGGATGGGGAGATGAGGGATGGGAGGATGAGGGATGGGGAGATGAGCGACGGTAAGATGAGAGACTGGGAGTTGTGGGATGGGGAGGGAAGGGAGTGGGAGGCGGGGATGGGGAGGTGTGGGATGGGGAGGGAAGGGAGTGGGAGGCGGGGATGGGGAGGTGTGGGATGGGGAGGGAAGGGAGTGGGAGGCGGGGATGGGGAGGTGTGGGATGGGGAGGGAAGGGAGTGGGAGGCGGGGATGGGGAGGTGTGGGATGGGGAGGGAAGGGAGTGGGAGGCGGGGATGGGGAGGTGAGGTATTAGATATGAGGGATGGGGAGGAGAGGGATGGGGAGACGAGGGATGGGGAGACGAGGGATGGGGAGATTAGTGATGGGGAGATGAGGGACGGGGAGATGAGGGATGGGGAGATGAGGGACGGGGAGATGAGGGATGGGGAGATGAGGGACGGGGAGATGAGGGATGGGGAGATGAACGCGTATGCGACGGGAGCGAGGAATGCCTTCTCGGTCGAGGGGAGGGTGCGTGCGTGTGTGACGGCAGGGAGATGAGCGTGGGCGACGGATGGGGCCGAACGCGACGGGAGGGAGCGAGCGTGGGCGGGGGAAGGGGAGTGAGCGAAGGCGACGGGAGGGGAATGAGCGTGCTTCCCGTCGGAGTGAGCGTGGGTGACGGGAGAGAGTGAGTGTGGGCGACGGAGGGGAGTGAACGTGGGCGATTAAGGGAATGAGCGTGTGCGACGGAGGGGTCTCGCGTGGCCGAGCGAGGGGGGCAAGTAATGGTCTCCCCTGGTGGGGATTGAGCGTGTGCGACGGAGCGGACCGTCACGACAGGAGGGTAGTGCGGAAACGCGGCGGGAGGGAGAGAGCGTGGGCGGCGGAAGGGGAGTTGTCGCGATGGGGGGGGAGAGGAGATGGGTGAGGCGGAGATGGGTGAGGCGGCGATGCGTGAAAGGGAGATGGGTGAGGCGGCGATGGGTGAGGCGGAGATGGGTGAGGCGGCGATGGGTGAGGCGGAGATGGGTGAGGCGGCGATGGGTGAGGCGGTTTGCGACAGGAGGGAACAGGCCGTGTGCGACGCGCGAGGGTTCGCGTGTGCGATCGAAGGATTGCGCGTTGGCGATGGAATGGGAGTGAGCGTGGGCAACTGGATGGAGTGAGCGTGGGCGACGGAAGTGACTGATCGTGGGCGACGGTACGATTGCGCGATCGCGATGGAAAGGGAGTGAGCGTGGGCGACGGGAAGGTCTTGAGCGTGGGCAGCGGAATGGAGTGCGCGAGGGTGACGGGACCGAGTGTGCGTGCTCGTTCTCGGGGAGTGCCCGTGGGCGACGGGATGGAGTCATCATCCGCGACTGCTTTAGCTAGAACACCGTAGGGAAACGTGGTAACGTGAACTAGGCCCGCGTTTGGCATAAGCGACGGATTGCAAGAATATCCGCACGGTCCTAAAGCCCTATGGCGGAATTTTCAGACATGCGCTGGATTTGCTTGGAAGCCTGGAAATTCTAAGCTATGGCTGTCGCTCTAGCTGCTCAGACTAGGCATTTTCTGTCGACCTGAATTACAAGACACAGTTTGGTGTGCACACCACAGCTAGAGTGGTTGCGCGGGAACCGAGCGACCCTTCACTGTGCTGCCTGCGACTTCTTTCACGTTTTGCAGGTGGAGACCTGGTAACCACCCTGGTTCGGGAGGCCTGGTGTTGGTCCGGAAGGTGAGGTGTTAACACCTCCCAACTTTTCTTGTAATTCAGGCTGCGGGTTTTAAAGCCGGAAGCCCAAATTGCACAAGTTTTAAAAGGATGACGCGAGGGGTTTTTTCTGGGTTGGGTTTTGGCGAGTGATTTCGATTTCGGGCATTTCGTTTTTTTCGCCAAACCCAGCCAGCCCACGTATTTCGCCCTGGCGGTTGTGTCAGCACCTGAAAGTCCCAAATTGCAGGTGCGCTACTTTTCAAAGCTTGCACACTGCACTTCGTCAAGTTTTAAAAGCATGACCCACGCGCCTCGCAATTTGGGACTCGGGCTTTAACTATTGCAATGCCGGTTTTGCCATGTTGAGAAGCAGGAGGAAGGCATTGGCAACTGAGATGTCAACGGTAAGTTTTTGAAATCGGAAATTGGAAAGCGCATTTGCGACAGCGAGTTGCAGTGGGGTGAAATATGATATGTTGCAGTGGAATGGGATGGAATGGGATGAATTGCTAGCAAAATCTCAGCGTGATGATTTGGAGGGACGCACTGAATAAGCAGTGCCATGTTGACAACATAACATAAGGTAGAGAAGAAGGATGTATTCACCAACCTTTCCAGAAAGGCCTCATGTTCACCAGCGTTCCTCTTATGTTTCCTCTTGTGTTTCTACATCCAACAGATGGCACACTGTTAAGCCTGAGTTCCATATGACAGTTCCTCTTGATGCTATGTTTGCAATGAGGGCGATTAAGTTATATAGAAAAAGACATGTACAATCTAATTGGCAGAACGCTTCTTAGAAGCGAAAACACGCTAAGTGCATTGCAGTTACTGCATATCGCCGGAACACTAAACCATGGCAGCGACGCCTTGCGACTTGGGCGTCTCCACCTTGAGCTCGTACTTCTGCCCGCGCACCACCGCGTACATCTTGTCGGGCGCGATGTAGTCGCAGGTGCGCTCGATGCGGAAGGGCTGGCCGGGAATCTGGTCGCCCGAGTGGATCTGCACGCCCGTGATGACGGCGTAATCCGCCGTCTCGGGGTTCACCGTGAGCTTGATGAGCTTCTCCAAGTCCTCGTTGATCGCCGCCAACGCCGCGCGCGTCACGTCCACCAGCGACTTGTTGCCGCCTGACACCTGTGGGGGATTGAGGAAGTGGAGCAAGAGGAAACTGGAATTTAGAGTGGACGAGCAGAAGTTGCTTAAACCAATTCTGGAGTGCTACGTTGCAACCGTTAGATTCCCAGCTTTCATGAATTTAGTGTTTGATTACTCGGATTTATTGACCATCCGCTTACCTTAGCCATGATCTTCTTGCGCAGCAGCGTGTACTCGGGGTCGTCGCTGTCCATGCTGGGCGCCACGCCGTTGTTGATGTCGTTGTTGATGGCGATCAACGCTCCGCACGCGCTCGACGCCTTACCGCGACCGCGACGCAGCAGCGAACCCACCTCGCCCGACTCGCCGATGGACACGTGCGGGAACGCGAAGAAGATGTCTGCAAAAAGGGATACAGAACAAATATAGAGGGTGAATTAGTGATAAGAACGACGGATGTCTCAAACAGCGAAATTGGAAGGTAAAATGACATGAGGTTGATGAATATGGGAAAATGTCAAACTGGAAAGACAATATCATTTGAAATGCTTCCAGATTAAGGTAACCCAAATTAGACCAAAACTTACATCGCTCCTTGAGGTTGCCGTCGACGTCGCAGGGGAACTCGGGCGAGTGGCTCATGGCGGCTCCGAAGCCGACCTTGCCGCAGTTGACGAGCCCGCCCAGCCCCGAGATGTTGAAGCTCAGCCCGAACTCGCGGTCGATGATGCTCACCACGGGCCGGCACACCTCGTCGCGGCACGTGTTCACCAGCGCGATGCCGTTGTCCTTGCGGAACCCCAGCTTCGCCAGCTCCACCGCCACGGCCTTCAGGAACGCCTCCTCCTGCATCGCCGACGGGAACGTCGTCGCCATCGTCGACAGCGCCGACGCCGCCGCGTGCTTCGCGCGGGGCACGATGCCGCTAGGCGGGACGCTGGTGACCGCGGGAGAGGAGGGGGCGGGTGCGGCGGGAGCGGCGGCGGGAGACGCGGTGAGCTTCTTCACGGCGACGTAAGTCGCGGCGCCCAGAGCGCCGGCGCCGACGATGGCGGGGAGGAGGGCGGTGGCGGCAGGAGCGGCGGGAGCGGCGGTGGACTGGGAGACGCTCGCGAACTGGTTGTCGGCGCTCGCCATGGCGACGACGCTTGTGCGACGGTTACCGCATTTCGCGCACGTCATGCAGGTGCATGTTTGAGCAGAGGCGGAAAGAGCCTTCTGGGCCTTGAGGCCGGAGAACCCAGGGATTGCCGCCCGCGAGGAAGTGGAGAGGCTGCTTCCCTCTGGGATAGAGAGGGAGCGAAGGGTGGCGGATGCCGAAGAGGAGAGAGTCGCAGCCATTGTGTCGGAGAGTCGTGTAAACGCTCTGAAAGCACAGGAGTGTTTACGAAGACGATTATCGACGATGACTGAAACTGCGACTGTGAGAAGTGTCAAGGTTAGGTCATCAATGTTGTGTTGGTGTTTATATATGCTGTCCAGTGCATTGGAACGGAATTAGTTTCCTGGTCTTGGCGCCAGTTGTTCTGGTCGCTGGCTGGGGGAGTGAAAAAGGCGAAATTCCGAATCTCGCTTGAAATCCTGGCCTTGTTGGGGTGAGCCTTTCTGAGGGGGGTATCTGAAGCTATTTTGGGTTCGGTGCGGCTCGCACTTGCATAGATCTTGCCTATGTGTGGCGAGAGGGGGGTGATGTGGATGATCCACATGGTGTACCTCCAGGTCGGATTGCCTGCCACGTGTTATCCGTTTGTGGCTCCAGTATCGGACCCAAGCCGCATATTTTGACAACTCCCTTTGTTCCAGTTTCCCGCCTTTCCTGGTCGTGTACACTTGGGATGCTGCCCTGCCTATCAACGAAGAGGATTTGGAGTTGCAAATGCGCCACCTGCGTACCGCAATCCTCTTCGATGTACGAGAGTTTGGACGGGCTTGGCAAGTCCAGCGAGATGGAGCTTCACCAAAGTTGGTGGGATCACTGTGCAAGTCCGAGTATGCGCGATCGAACGCCAACCCGGTAAAGACGTAGGTTCGTGTAGCTCAGAATACACGAGTAAATAAAATGCGCTACAATTGAAAGTTTGAAATCCTGAAACCAAACAACGTCTCAACCAATGGTCAAGAACATGTTCAATGAAGGTTGGCCTACTATAATATAGATTTTATGCGGGAAACTTTAGGATGTTAATGAAATAAGCTTGTTCAAATAATATTGCGATTTGTAGGGTAGTGGATGTTCTTGGTACATGGCACGACACGTTTCTTAGTCCAGGAAGCGGCCGTGGATTATTTTTGATTGGGTTTGGCATTAAACAATCAGAACTGGTGGAAAATTAATTTGTAGCCATGAAGTTGTGCACGTACATTGCATGCTGCTGTTATTGAAGCACCTGTGAGTGCGGTTTTTCGGAATTCTTGTGTTTGATCTGGCCCGGAATCACTTCACGCAGTTCTATGCTTCTCCTGAGCGGAACTATTGATTTAGTTTTCTGGAAGATTCCGTACTTGGAGAACGTCGACTTAGAGTAGGACCAGCGGGAATACCTTGGTGTTGTAGACAGCCCACTCGTGCAGACCTTCAGATCAAGTGTCTGTTTGTCCACCTTGTAGCCTGTCCGCATTTCACGGCGGGTTCGGCGGCAATGGCCTCTGCAAAAGGGGTATTGCGGAACGTGCAGGCGCAGGAGGAGGCGTCTCCGCATTCCCCTCGGGAAGGGGGAGTTTTGCGCAACGATGAACTGGCGCGTCAGCTAGAGCAACTTAAAGACATCGACGCATTGCAGGTTCGTGTGACAACTGATGGTGTCGGCACAGTTTCTGAGTCGAATCAAAGGCAGCTGGAGAAACTTTAAGACATTGACGCATTGCAGGTTTGTGTGAGCAACTGACAGTGACAGTATGGTTTTTGACTTCAGTCGACTCAAAAAGCAGCTGGAGCAACTTAAGGACATCGACGCATTGCAGGTTCGTGTGACATCAGCCGGAGTTGATATGGTTTTTGAGTCTGTATTCGAGCCGACTGAAAAGGCATCTGGGACAAATCATCAACGCAGGTCGGCTGTAGCGCAGGCAGGACAAATGCTTGTTACGTTTCCTTGGTAGACTTTTGTTGATTCGAGATTGTTTTTCAACAATTCTAAAAAAACAGATTCATCTGGGACACATCATCGACGCAGGTCGGCTGTATAGCAGGTCAAATGCTCGTTACGTTTCCTTTGTAGACTTCTGTATATCCGAATTCAAGGCAGATGCGCTGTTTACGGTTCGTAGATGTCTGAAGAACCAATTGAAAGGCAGAAGTTCGTCAGTTAGGGCCTGTATACGTCCAAAGAAACTGGTCAAAGACTTCTCGCTTACCGTGTAGAAAGTGCATTTTTGAGACGTCTCGAGAACCAAGTGAAATGCAGAAGGAACTGGTCAAAGACGTCTCCTTTACCGTGCACAGCTTCATAAGAAACCCTTATCCGCCTAAAAGACCGTGATTTTTACGGCCTGTATACGTCTAAAAGGAACTGGTCAAATACGTCTCATTTATTGTGTAATGCATGTCAGCAGCATTGAAATCACTTTTGAGTCTTCTCAAAAGTGAATCTTACGGTCTGTAGTGTACGTCTGAAGGAACTGGTTCAAGACGTCTCATTTGCCGTGTACAGCATGTCAGCACCAATGATTGAAGGCTCGTATGTGCTTTGCTCTACTCGGGATGGCGATATCTGCTTCATAAGAAACCCTTATCCGCCTTCTCTCGCCACAGTTATAGGCCCCTGCACACTGCATGTCAGTTGGGGAGAGGAAGGCTCATCTTTGCACCCTGGCTCAACGGAGGGAGGTGTTATCTGCGTTGCAATGAACCAACTCACCCTCTCACCTTCTCCCTTTCCCCAACCTTTCCTTTTCCCCCCTTATAGGCCCTGGCACACAGCATGGCAGCAGGGGGAAAGGAGGGTTCATCTGTGCTCACTGCGGCTCAACTGGGGGAGGTGATATCTGCGCTGCAGGCGCAGGTGCAGGCTGAGGTGGCAACGCATCATGACGACCTCCTGCAGCAGCTATCCTCGTTAAAAGACACAGAGGGCGTGCTGTCTGTGGTGCGCGCTGGAGTTGACTCGTTACTAGCCTCCGTCCAGGTGCGTTTCTGTGTATGAATGCATGAGTGAATGAAGGATGGAAGAGGACCATGAGCGAGATCGTGCAAGGGAGGGGAGGGGGGTTTCTGAGAGGAGAGGAGGGGGAATCCTGAGAGGAGAGGAGGGGGAATTCTGAGAGGAGAGGGAGAGGGAATTCTGTTATCACTCACTCTTGTGCCTTGAGATTATGTACATGAGGTTCTTACAAAATTTATTAACTGAATCGCTAAAAATTCGCTTGTGCTCTGTCTCCCTGCCCTCAGCGCGTGCGGGCAGAGATAGCAGACCCCTATCGGGCCATTCAGGTGAAGACACGTCAGCTGGCCGCTCTCTACGACACCATGGAGCTGCTGAGAGCAGTCATTAAGTACCTCAAACTGGTGAGCAGGAATGAACTACTTTATGGTGAGCGGAGAAGACTTTGATTTGATTCTCCTCAGAGCTCTCTACGACACCATGGAACTGCTGAGAGCAGTCATTAAATACCTCAAACTGGTGAGTGGAGATTAACTAGCTGGTGACTGGGTGGTGGTGAGTGGAGAATGACTTTTGAGGCACCTTAGCTCTCTACGACACCATGGAGCTGCTGAGAGCAGTCATTAAATACCTCAAACTGGTGAGTAGGAATGAACTACTTTATGGTGAGCGGAGAAGACTTTGATTTGATTCGCCTCAGAGCTCTCTACGACACCATGGAACTGCTGAGAGCCGTCATTAAGTACCTCAAACTGGTGAGCTTTGAGCCGTTTTAGAAGTCCCACAATCGAGTACAATAGAATCAATAGTCGACTCAAATGTCACCTCGACAAGTCAGCTGGCCGCCCTTTTCGACACCATGGAGCTGCTGAGAGCCGCCATTCAATACCTCAAACTGATGAGTCGAGATAAATTACATTACATGGGGGGTGTGGATATTAACTACCTGGTTGTTGTGAGTGGAGACCACGAAAAGTGCAAGCTGTTGGATCGAGGCTATCACAAGGGGAGTCAAGGGTAGTCAATTTCGGTTGATGGAATCCAAGGGGAATGAAGGAGATTCAAGGAGAGTTGGGCGGAAATGCTCCAGTTGGTGCAAATCTTCTGCTGCGAAGCAGATGGAACTTCTTGGCAGGTAGGTAGGTGCTTAGGGAGGCGCAACTGGGGGGGGGGTGCATGTATGTGTAGAGGCACAGCACGAGTGGGTGGCAGAGGCAGGGGCAGGCGGTGTAGGTGTGTTCTGAGGCGCCTCTGAGGTGTGTTTTGAGGGGGGGGCGGTGTAGGTGTGTTCTGAGGCGCCTCTGAGGTGTGTTTTGAGGGGCAGGCGGTGTAGGTGTGTTCTGAGGCGCCTCAAAACTCCCCCAATCCTTACACCACCAACCCTCCTTGTTTGCCCCTTCACCTGATTCTCCGCAAATCCCCCTCCCCCTCCACCTTTTCCCCAGGTGCGCAAGCAAGCTGAGGGAGCACCTGAATGGGGGGGTAGAGAAGGCGGAGCTGGGGAAGGCGGGGCAGGTGTGGCAGGAGACGTCTCAAATCCCCCCATCCCTCCCCCACCCTCTCCTTTCCCCCCCAGGTGCGCAAGCTGAGGGAGCACCTGAGTGGGGGGGTGGAGAAGGCGGAGCTGGGGAAGGCGGGGCAGGTGTGGCAGGAGGTGGGGGCGGTGCACAGGGAGGCGCAGCTGGGGGGGGTGCATGTGGTGGAGGCACAGCATGAGTGGGTGGCGGAGGCAGGGCAGGCTATTAGGAGAGAGGCGATGAGGGCGCTGGAGGGGGGCATGGAGGCGATGAACCAGGCTGAAGTGGGGAGCGTGCTGCAGGTGAGGGGTGCTGCAGGTAAGAATTTGGTTGGGATGGGTGGGGAACGGTGGGGCAGTGAGGGGCAGTGAGGGCCAGTAGGGGTCAATAAGGGGCAGGCTATCAGGAGGGAAGCGATGAAGGCGCTGGAGGGAGGCATGGAGGCGATGAACCAGGCTGAAGTGGGGAGCGTGCTGCAGGTGAGGGGTGCTGCAGGTGAGGGGTGCTGCAGGTGAGAGGTGCTGCAGGTGAGAGGTGCTGCAGGTGAGAGGTGCTGCAGGGGAGAGGGTTGCACATGTGAGTGGGTGTTGGAGACGCAGCTGAGGGGGGTTTTGAGTCGACTACAGAAATCGACTCAAGAGTCGACTAAAAAAAGTGGGTGGTGGAGGCACAACAGGAGTGGGTGGTGGAGGCGGGGCAGGCTATACGGAGAGAGGCTATGAAGGCGCAGGAAGGAGGCATGGAGGCGATGAACCAGGCTGAAGTGGGGAGAGCGTGCTGCAGGTGAGAGGAGAGAGTTAGGGCTTTCGGTGAAGGAGAAAGGACAGGGGAACTGGACAGAAATGGGGGGAGTGGAGAGGAGAGGAATAGGGAATGGGAGCATAGAGGCGATGGGCTAGGTTGAAGTCAGGAGCATGATGGGCACTCTCCTCTCCTCTCACCCTAGCCCATCGCCTCTATGCTGCAGGTGAGAGGAGAGAGTTTCAGAAAGGGGGTTGAAACGGAAATGAAGGGTGACGAAAGGGGAGAGGGGGTTTGTCGAAGGGGATTAAAGGAACCCGCCCGTTCGTCCACTTCTCTTGATTAGTTTTTTCATGATTTAAAACCTTGAAAGTGATGTAAGCTCAAAACAACTCTCTCCTCCTTTTTCATCTCTCCTTCCTCTCCTCCCTCCCCTCCCTTTTTTTTTGCGTGTGTGTGTGTGTGTGTGTGTGTGTGTGTGTGTGTGTGTGTGTGTGTGTGTGTGTGTGAGTGTGTGTGTGTTGTCGCATTATCTCAGGTGTTTTTCAACATGGGTGAGCTGAGGCAGACGGTGGATCAGCTGGTGGCGAAGCACAAGGGGCAGGCCATGCGAGCCGTGGCCACAGGGCTCGACATGAAGGTATGGGCTTTCCTTTTTGATTTCACATCGAAGGTGCTTTGCTTGGCTATTCTTGGGCGTGGAAGGTGTATGGGACGTTCCTGACGCCCTCGAAGCACAAGGGGCTTCAGCCGCCCTCGAAGCACAAGGGGCTTCAGCCGCCCTCGAAGCACAAGGCGCTTCAGCCGCCCTCGAAGCACAAGGGGCTTCAGCCGCCCTCGAAGCACAAGGGGCTTCAGCCGCCCTCGAAGCACAAGGGGCTTCAGCCGCCCTCGAAGCACAAGGGGCTTCAGCCGCCCTCGAAGCACAAGGGGCAGGCTATGCAAGCAGCGGCCATGGACTCTTTTTTGTGTGCCCTGCCAGTTGTGGCTTCCCTTCATGGAAGTCGCAAGTTATCATTTCTGCACCCTTCTCGCACGTACATGCCTGTCTCCCTCTCATGTCTCTGCACTCGTTGTTGCCTCACTCACCCCTCACTACCCCTCACTGTTGTTCTCCCGGCAAGCAGGCTATCAGTGCGAGCATGGGAGCATCAGGAGGTGGAGGAGGCTTGGGTGGCTCCGTGGGCGGACCAGGTATGCGTATAGTCCGTCCGTACGCCCTCCTTGCTATCTGAACTCGTTTCAAGGTGACTTTTGAGTCGACTCAAAAGTCGCTTGGGTGGCTCCGTGGGCGGACCAGGTATGCGTATAGTCCGTCCCGTCCGTACGCCCTCCTTGCTATCTGAATTCGTTTCTTGAACTCGAGACAAGCTTGCAGTGCTAACCTGGTGCGCATTGGAACTTGATTCGACGTTACAGTTCGTTCATCGCCTCGCCCACAATGGTCCCCCGCTGCCATCTGCACCTCTCACTACCCCGCCTTTCCCCATTGGGTCTCTCTCTTCCTCCCATTCCCAGGAGGAGCCATGTGCAGCGGTACACCTCCAATGGGCGGCGCGGCGTACCTAGAGCCTGGGAGGCCCTGTGGCAGCGGCGGCTGAGTAACTGAGCTGGTTCGAAGCTCATCTGCTCCCGTTCCTGAGTTCACTTTTTCCCGTTCCCCCCGCCTGTCCCCCCTGCCTGTCCCCCCTACCTGTCCCCCTTGCTCTCCCAGGGGGGGGCATGCGCAGCGGCACTCCTCCAATGGGTGGCGCCCCCAGAGCGCGAGAGGCGCTGTGGCAGCGGCTGACTGGATGCCTGGATGAGCTGGCGCGTGTTATGGTGCTGACGTGGCACCTGCAGCGAGTGATGGCGAAGAAGCGAGATCCAATCTCGCATGTCGTGTTTCTGGACCACGTGCTGCAGGTGGGGTGTGGGGTGTGGGGTGGGGGGGTATACGGGGGTGTGCAGTGCAGGTGCTGCTGCAAGCACAGAGATCCGATCTCGCATGTCGTGTTTCTGGACCACGTGCTGCAGGTGGGGGGCAAGGGCGGGGATGGGGGCGGGGATGGGGGGGGGGGGGGGGAGGGGGGGTGGTATGTTCTGCAGGGGATTTGCGTACTGAAGTGGTCGAGGCTACAAGAAGCGCGGTCCGATCTCGCATGTCGTGTTCCTAGACCACGTGCTGCAGGTGGGGTGGGGTTTGTAGAAGTGGGGGGGAACAGGTGGGGTAGGTGTGGAGTCTGTTATGTACCTGTCGCTTCTTCTGTTGTGCCACAAGAAGCGAGATCCAATCTCTCATGTGGTGTTCCTAGACCACGTGCTGCACTGCAGGTGGGGGGGTGGGGCGGGGTGGGGTGGGTGCATTAGTGTGGTGCATTCATGTACTGCAAGTGAGGTGCCACAAAGAGAGATCCGATCCTATCGAGCATGTGATGAACCACGAGCCACGTTCACCGCCTCCTCCTTCCTCAAAGAGACCTTCGTCTCCGCCTACCCCCGCCTCCCCGCCTCCATAGAGTCCTTCCTGGACCGGCCGCAGGCCGATACAGACGTGCGCGTGCTGGGGGGAGGGGGAGGGGGAGGCGTGCGCCCAACACTCCTCGCTTCTGTAGAATCCTTCCTGGACCTCTTGCAGGCTGAAACTCCCCCCTTTTCCCTCCATCTTCCCCTTCCCCCGATCCCTCATCCCTCCCTCGCTCCCACCTCTTCCTTCTTCCCCAAATCCAGTCAGGGGATTTGCTGCCCACAGAGCGGGTGTGGGAGGCCTTGCTGCGGGCCTTCTCCTCGCAGCTACGAGCCACGTTCACCGCCTCCTCCTTTGTCAAAGAGACCTTCGTCTCCGCCTATCCCCGCCTCCTCGCCTCCCTAGAATCCTTCCTGGACCGCCTTCAGGCCGATACAGACGTGCGGATTCTGGGCGGAGGGGGAGGCGGACTGGGAGGAGGAGCGGGAGGAGCGGGAGGAGGAGGGTTTGGGTTGGGAGCGGTTGGAGGCGGTTCTGTGGTGGCTGGTTCGTGGGCGAATGGCGGCACGCCAGCTGTCATATCTGTGGAGCATCGTGCGCAGATGTTGGCTGCTTTGGAGCCGTTTCAGACAGCCTATCTGGCCCTCTCGCTCTCTAGAATGACCGACCCGATCAACACCATGATGCCAGCCGCAGGGGGTGGGAGGGGAGGCGTGCCGGGGCCGGAGGGGGGGGTGAGGCTTATAACGAGGATGGAGGAGGAGGTGGAGGCGGTGAAGGGGAATGGGCGGTTGTTGAGGCTCGTGCTGGCGAATGCGGGCAAGGCGCTTCAACTGCTGGCCGAGCGATGTGAATACCAGGTGGGATGTGTGGTGGTGTGTCATGATGTGTGAGGCATAACCATTCCAGGGGCTGCTGAGGCTCGTGCTGGCGAATGCGGGCAAGGCGCTTCAACTGCTGGCCGAGCGATGTGAATACCAGGTGGGATGTGTGGTGGTGTGTCATGATGTGTGAGGCATAACCATTCCAGGGGCTGCTGAGGCTCGTGCTGGCGAATGCGGGCAAGGCGCTTCAACTGCTGGCCGAGCGATGTGAATACCAGGTGGGATGTGTGGTGGTGTGTCATGATGTGTGAGGCATAACCATTCCAGGGGCTGCTGAGGCTCGTGCTGGCGAATGCGGGCAAGGCTCTGCAGCTGCTGGCAGAGCGGTGTGAATACCAGGTGTGTGTGGGATGGGTGTGGGCGCATGTGTGTGGTAATGCGTTGTTCTGGCGAATGCATGCAACGCGCTGCATGCAGGTGCCTGTGTGTTCTACTGGTAGCAGTGCACTCACTACTTTTTCTCTTTATCCTTCTAACCTGTCCTTCTCCCCATTACACCTGTAAGAACTGAGCTTGGAATCGATGCATTAGTAATGAGCTTGAAGCTCCTTACGTACATCCGAGATGAGCAAGGTAATGGATGGGGAGGGAATCCGGGGCAATCCCTAGGGATTGGGGGTAATCCCAAGAAAGTCTCCTTTTGGTGGGTTGGAGATTGCTTGGTGATTACATTTGGGTTAGGTTGGGATGTTGTACACCCAACCACACACAAAGTGCAAGATACACTATGGTAGGATATAATTAGTACAAGTACAAAATGTGAGATTGAGGGTTAACACTACCCCTTTCCCCGTTTCTCCCTACGCCCTCCAGGTCGCTACCGGTCCCGAATCTCGTCAAGTCCTGGAATCCTGCTCGCCAGCGCAGCAGCGCAACATCGCCCTGTGCGTGCTGCTAGGAGCAGTGCACACACGCTGCATGCAGCTTCTCACTACTCTCCCCTTTTCCCCTCCCCTACACCCTCCAGGTGGCTACAGGCCCAGAGTCACGCCAGGTCCTCGCCCCCTGCTCGCCAGCCCAGCAGCGCAACATCTCTCTGTGCGTGCTCCTAGGAGCGGTGCACACACGCTGCATGCAGCTGCTGGCCCGCCTGCCAGAGGAGGCAGACTGCGTGATGGAGGCGGGTGTGGGGTCCGTGCATGGCGTGGCTATGGACGCTGTTGCTCCCCTCTTCAAGGTGTGTGGTTTCATCTCCTGCTGGGGTGCTCCTGCTGGGGTGCTCGTGGTGGGGTGCTCCTGCTGGGGTGCTCGTGGTGGGGTGCTTCTGCTGTGTGTTCTGCTGGCTGGGGGCGGTGCACGCACACTGCGTGCACCTACTCGTTTTGAGAGGTCTCAAAACTACTCGCCCGCCTTCCAGAGGAGGCAGACTGCGTGATGGAGGCGGGTGTGGGGTCTGTGCACGGGGTGGCCATGGATGCTGTTGCTCCGCTCTTCAAGGTGTGTGGGTCCATATGATGCTTCATACACAGCACATCAACTTCCATGGGCCATCAGACTCGTTCGACTTTTGAGTCGACTCAAAAGTAAACTTTTCAAGGTGTGTGGGTGGGTCCAAATGATGCTTCATACACAGCACAGCACATGATCCTCCTTGGGCCATCAGACTCAGTGATGGAGGCGGGTGTGGGGTCCGTCCGTGCATGGAGTGGCTATGGACGCTGTGGCTCTGCTGTTGAAAGTTGAAGTCGAGTTTTGAGTGGCATGCTGCCACAGCACTCAAAACTCGACTATTCATGCTCTGGCTCCGCTGTTGAAACTTGAAGGTGTGCTCATCTCATGTTTCAAGGTGCGCACAGCACACCTGGTTTGCACGTGCCGTGCATCTTGCATCTTGGACCGTGATTCTGCATTCTTTGCCGCTGGTGCCTTGTAGCCTGCATCACGCCCCTCCTTCCTCCTCCACCGCCTCGCTTCTGCTCCCGTTCTTCTCTCCATGCCCTTCCCTTTTTGTCAGGCCATGTGGGATCGCATCGAGGCCTGCCTCCTCCAAATCCACCAGCAGGACTTCTACACAGACTACCCCAACGCCCCTCCCTCTTTTGCCTGCCCCGTTCCCCTGCCCACTTTGTTTCTTCCTCCACACACACCTGCGCTCTCCCTCTCCCCAGGCCATGCGCGATCGCATTGAAGCCTGTCTGCTGCAAATTCACCAGCAGGACTTCTCCTCAGACGACCCCCAACACCCCTTTCTTACTTACAACATCCCCACCCTTCCCTCCCTGTTCCCAGGTCATGCGGGATCGCATCGAGGCATGCCTCCTGCAAATCCACCAGCAGGACTTCTCCTCAGACGACCCCAACGCCCCTTCCTCCTCCACTTCCCCCTTTCTCTTCTCCGTGCCCTCCCCGTTCCCAGGCCATGCGCGACCGCATCGAAGCCTGTCTCCTGCAAATCCACCAGCAGCTCTTCTCTTCAGACGACGTGTAAACAGAAGTGTTTTGAGACGTCTCAAAACCTGTCTCCTGCAAATCCACCAGCAGCTCTTCAGACGACCCCAACGCTCCTCCCTCCTCTCACCCTCCACTTCCTGTTTCTTTCTCCATGCCCTCCCCCGTCCCCAGGCCATGCGGGATCGCATCGAGGCATGCCTTCTTCAAATCCACCAGCAGGACTTCTCATCAGACGACCCCAACGCCCCTCCCTCCTCCACCACCCCGCCACCCCGTGGGTCGGCCTCAAGAAACCGTACCAGCAGCAGCGGGGGATCCACACCACCCCACAAGCACAACCAGCACAACCAGAATCAGCAGCAGCAGCACGAGTCAGCGGGGGACAACTGCTCGCCATACATGGAGAACACCATTCGAGCCATCACCCACTTCCACTCTGAGTTTCTCTCCAAGCTTCTTCTCCCTGACTCCTCCTCTACCTCCTCCTTTGCAGCAGCGCCGGCCTCGTCCATATTCGCTGCATCTCTGTCCGGTGCTGCGGGATCAGGCCCTCTCTCTCCCTCCACCGCCCTGCCCCCTGCGACTGTCTCGGAACCTGTTGCGCAGTCTCTCGCGAAACGGTGAGCTTGTTCTTTAGACAGTCGCTGTATCGTCTATATTCGCTGCATCTCTGTCCGGTGCTGCGGGATCAGGCCCTCTGTCTCCCTCCACAGCCCTGCCCCCTGCGACTGTCTCAGAGCCTGTTGCCCAGTCTCTCGCAAAGCGGTAAGCTCCAACTTTTGAGTCGACTCGAAAGTCACCTCTTGCAAAGCGGTAAGCTCCTTTCTGGAGACGTCTCTGTCTATTCCATATTCGCTGCACCTCTATCAGTGCCGTGGGTTTAGGAGGCCCTCTCTCCCCTCCTCTGTTCCTGCTCCCTGCGACTGTCTCGGGCACTGTTGCTCACCTTGCAAAACGGTGGGCTCTTGTGTGTGCTTCTTTGTTTCACCTCTGAGAAATCTCCAAACTCTCCCTCTACAGCCCTGCCCCCTGCGACTGTTTTAGAGCCCGTTGTGCATTCCCTGACATGACAAATCGATGGCTCTCGTGTGTGCTTCTTTGACATCTCAGAACCTGATCACTTCTGAGAATCCTTTAAGAAAATCTCCCTTCATTGCCCTGTCCCCTGCCTCTCTCCCCCTCCCCCTCCCCTTCCTCTCCCTCTCCCCCTCCCCCTCCCCCTCCCCCTCCCCCTCCCCCTCCCCCTCCCCTCCCCCTCCCCCTCCCACGCACTCAGCCTGGCAACCCGCACAGTTCTATTTTTCGTGCGCCACGCCGCGCTGGTGCGGCCGCTATCAGAGGCAGGGCTGTTGAGGCTGGCGAGGGACAGCACGCTCCTCCTTTTTTTCCCTCTTCCCTTAATACGATATCCACTTTCTCTGCGCCCTTTCCCCCTCCCCTTCCCACTCCCCCTCCCCCTGCCCTCTCCCTATTCTCTCCTCCCCCCTCAGCCTGGCATCCCGCACTCTGCTCTTCTTCGTGCGCCACGCATCACTTGTACGACCGCTGTCAGAGGCGGGGCGGCTGAGGCTGGCGAGGGACATGGGCGAGCTGGAGTTCGCCGTGGGGCAGCACCTCTTCCCCACACACGCCCTCGGCGCCTCCTACCGTGCTCTCCGCGCCTTCCGCCCTCTGCTCTTCGTGGACCTGGAGAAGATCCCCACCAGCTCACTGCTACAGGTCAGTCAGTCTGGTAATTGTAATGAGAGTCTCTGCATTAGTATAGAGGTCGCATCCCAGTGGGGCAGCATCTCTTTCCCACACACGCCCTCAGGGCCTCCTACCGCGCCCTCCGCGCCTTCCGCCCGCTGCTTTTCGTGGACCTGGAGAAGATTGCAACCAGCTCGCTGCTGCAGGTGCGCCCATTGGTTGTAACAAAGGTGGTTACCAATGTGCCAGTGCTGGTCTACTGCGATTAAGGAGTTGGCATCACAGTCAGGCGAGGGACATGGGCGAGCTTGAGTTTGCAGTGGGCCAGCGTCTATTCTAGTTTTGAGTCGACTAAAAACTAGGCTCATCACACACGGATTTTGAGTCGACTCAAAACTAGGCTCATCACACACGGATTTTGAGTCGGCTCAAAACTAGGCTCATCACACACGGATTTTGAGTCGACTCAAAACTAGGCTCATCACACACGGATTTTGAGTCGACTAAAAACTAGGCTCATCACACACGGATTTTGAGTCGACTCAAAACTAGGCTCATCACACACGGATTTTGAGTCGACTCAAAACTAGAGTTTGCAGTGGGCCAGAGTCTATTCCCTACACATAATAGGGGTTTAGGGAAGACCTCCGTAATCCTCCTATCGCGCCCTCCGTGCCTTCCGCCGTCTGCTCTTCGTAGACCTCGAGAAGATCCCCACCAGCTCACTGCTGCAGGTGCGTCCACTGGTTGTAACATATGTTAAATTTCCCGCTTATTAATTTCAAACGGACGTCCAAAGTTTGATGGATTGACAGAAACCCGAATCAATTTAAGTCCGTACGCGGTCTATGGCAAAGCCTGTTGTGCCACTTATACATGTTACCTTTGCACCCACACACACCCTCGTGCCCTCTGCACCTTCACGCCCCTTCACGCCCCTTCTGTTCCTGGACCTTTAAAATATCTCAACCAGCCTTCTCTGTCCTCTCACTCCTGCTCTACAATGAAGGGGTTCTTTTGAAACCTCTCAAAACTGTTCACTCACTCCCGCTCTCCCCACTTGCTCTCATGTCTCCCCTCGCCCATTCTACCCAGGTCCTCCCCCCAAGCGTTGTCCTGCACCACCTCTTCTTCCGCGCGCCCCCGAGATGCTCTCCCCATTCACCTGCTCGTTGCCTCACTATAATTTTCCCCCTTCTTCTCCCCCGGACCCCCCTACTCACCCCCCCAGGAGACTTTTGAGTCGACTCAAAAGTCACCCCATTCACCTGCTCGTTGCCTCGCTATAATTTTCCCCCTTCTCCCCCCAGACCCCCCTACTCACCCCCTTCACCTTCTCTTTGCCTCACTTGGACCCCACCATTCCCCCTGACAGGACCTCCCCCCAAGCGTTGTCCTGCACCACCTCTTCTTCCGCGCGCCCCCGAGATGCTCTCCCCATTCACCTGCTCGTTGCCTCACTATTATTTCCCCCCTTCTCCCCCCGGACCCCCCTACTCACCCCCCCAGGACCTCCCCCCAAGCGTTGCCCTGCACCACCTCTTCTCCCGCGCGCCCCCCGAGCTGCTCTCCCCGTTCACACGCATTCAGCAGCCCCCAGCACGCTACTCGCTCTGGCTGGACCAGCACTCGCAGCAGCAGGAGGAGCAACTTTTGCACACAACGCACCCACTTCCCCTGTGCTTTTGCTCCTTCCGCCAGGTTTTGTCACTCCATTCACTCCCGTTGCCCCCTCTTGCTCTCCCTCTCCCTCCCCCGCAGGACCTCCCTCCAAGCGTTGTCCTGCACCACCTCTTCTCCCGCGCGCCCCCTGAGCTGCTCTCCCCATTCACACGCATTCAGCAGCCTCCAGCGCGCTACTCGCTCTGGCTGGACCAGCACTCGCAGCAGCAGGCGTGGCAGGGCATCAAGGCGTCATTAGACGATTATGTGGGGAGTGTGAAGGCGAGGGGTGGGAAGGAGTTTCACCCGGTTTATGCTGTGATGCTGCAGCTGGGGCAGATGCTGTTGGTGGGAGGTAACGAGGGCAAGTAGTGCTCCCTCTGGCTTTTTTCGGGGCCCCTCAAAATAGCACTCACTCTGGCTGGACCAGCACTAGCAGCAGCAGGCGTGGCAGGGCATCAAGTCGTCATTAGACGATTACGTGGGGAGTGTGAATGCGAGGGGTGGGAAGGAGTTTCACCCAGTGTATTTGGTGATGCTGCAGCTGGGGCAGGCTCTGCTGGCAGGAGGCAACGAGGGCAAGTAGTTGCATTAGTGGCATTCGTGCCATCTGCTGTTAGGTTCGGAATGTCCCAGAACTGGCGGGAGTTCAAGTTTGGTAGGTGCTGATGGCACAGTGGTAGGGGCAGCGAGATGCTGTGATGAGTTGCTCTGCATACACTCTCACTGGTATATATTCATCAAAACATATTACAACAAAGTGCACAACCTCTCTGGATTTGCCTCTAGATTTAGATTACAACACTTGCGAACCAACCAACAAACCCTCCTGCCATGTCTCTCATGCATCTCACTCAACCATGTGAAACAGAAGACGTCATGAGGCTTCTGTCTCAACACAACATCGCAGCAACCAGCCCACGTCCACACTTTGCCTTGTCGAAGGAGAGCAGCACGCGGAAGTTGACTTTTGAGTCGACTCAAAAGTCAGAAGACGTCATGAGGCTTCTGTTCTGTCTCAACACAACATCGCAGCAACCAGCCCATGTCCACACTTTGCCTTGTCGAACGAAAGCAGCGCGCGGAAGCCCGACCACGGCTGGTCCCAGATCTCCGCCACGTAATCAGTCAGCGGTGCGACTGCGCGGCGCCCCAGGGAGTTGCTCGGTGAGGACTGTGTGACGCGCAGAATGATTTGCCACTTGTCGCCGTCCACCACCTTGTGCGACGCCGCCTTGACAGAGCGGAACTTGAGGCTTGATTTCTGGTAGGGTGGGGTGGGGTGGTGTGGGGTGGGGTGGGGTGGGGGTGAGTTACCGCAGCACGATTTGCCACTTGTCGCCATCCACCACCTTGTGCGACGCCGCCTTGACAGAGCGGAACTTGAGGCTTGACTTCTGGTAGGGTGGAGTGGGGGGAAGGGAATGGGATGTTTCCGTTGTGCCACACTATTATTCCAGGGAAGGTACGTCTTCCTTGTCATGATTTGATTTCGAGATAAGCACTGATGGCGGAAAAGCAAGAATGACGAGAAAGAACACATGGCGGGAAAGCAATGATAGCGAAAAAGCAATGACCACGAAAACAATGATGGCGCGAAAGCAATAATAGCGAGAAAAGTTGCTCGTGCTACCTGTGTCTTGTTCTGCTCGTCCACGGTGAATCTGTCCAAAGCCTCCACGTCCTTACTTGTAGCCGCGTGTGTGTTTGGGTCGAGTTGGAAGCCATGATGTCGAGAAAGCATCTTGCCTCTTCTGCGTACCTGTTGCTTGTTCTGCTCGTCGACGGCGAATCTGGCCAACGTCTCCATGTTCTTATTCGTCGCCGCGTTTGAGTTGAGTCCCCTTGAAAACAATCATGACCAGAGAGGCTCTTCGACGTACCTGTTTCTTGTTCTGCTCGTCGACGGCGAATCTGGCCAAAGCTTCCATGTTCTTACTCGTCGCCGCGTCTTTCACGGTGGTCCAGGGGCCAGGAAGGCCAGATGCCGCGGCGCACGGAAACGAGGAGAGGAGCGACACGACGACGACGACTGCGGTAACGGCAAGCACGGCGTGCTTAGGGTTCAGACCGTGACTGGCGATGCGCTGACCCATGATTGGTCGTTAGGGACTCCCTGAAGATCGGATACCGGGATAGGAAGAATGATAGGATCGATAGGATTGATAAGAGTCAAGAGGACATAAAAAAAGTTCTCCCTCCTTAGCCGGAAATTCTTGCAAATTATACCGCATATGATCCGCCAGCTAGTCGGAAACGGCTGGTTCCTGCTGACGGTGAGCAGATTTATTGGTTGGACCATGGCTGCTCTATGGAACAGCAATAAGTGCTGGTTCGCTGGTGTCATAACTCTTATTCGACCAATAAACTAGCGACACAACGACTGCTTGCGGATGCGTGTAATTAGCTGCTGGCCAGTAACTAGCGCCGTGAATTATCTACGAACCGAGTTTGCTCGGCCATTATCTCCGATACTCAGATTTTGCCTGAGGGCGTTCTCAGGTGTAATCACCAACAGAAACACAGTTTCTCGATATAGTGTGAAGCTATTCTGTCTCATGTTTGTAAACAGTCACTCAAAAAAAGGAAGTCTAGCACTTGCAAAAAATAAATCTAATGCCCGTAGCGAACCTAAATGTTTTCCGGGAAGGATCAACCCTAAACACCGAAAGCCTCCAAATATTTTGGAAAACATATTGCAACCCACTTGGCATAATACCCACATCGGAAAGGGATGCGACTCGGGAGGCATCAACCCTAAAAACAATGCTAATTTCCGTGTTTAGGATTGACCCCTCTCGAAAATGCATCCAGGTTCCCTAGGGGTTTTATTTTTTTCTGCCATGCCCGAATAGGTCTCGGTAGCGTCGTCTAGTGCTTTCGGTAGCGTTGTTTAGCGGTCGGTTGCGCTACTGAGCACTACCAAGTGAATTATATGGGCTTCATTCTCTTACTACCTTAATTTCCGTACATATATCCAGGTCGGGAGGGTAGAGTAGATGGTTTTGTTTTTTGTCACTTCCTAATGAGTTCGACCAGCGTGAGAAATGTGACTAAAAAGCGATGACCAGTCAACGTTGAGAAAGTCCAGGTTGATTACACCTGAGAACACGCTCAGGCGAAATCTGAGTATCGGAGATAATGGCCGGAGTTTGCTTTGCAAACGCGCAAGATGGCAGCTGATAGGCTACCGCGTGTTGTCCTGGCTCGGCAAACGCTATTCACGGCGGGTCCTGCGCGTTCGTTTGCGGTTCATCAGTCGTGGCGCAAGACGGTGCACAGCGGTTATCAGGCTTCACCGTTTCGCACCGTGACGCAACAGGAGTAACCGCACAGAACGTAGTCAGCCAAGTTCAAATGTGAATGCGAGTGAACGCGCAAGATGGCAGCTGATAGGCTACTCCGTGGAAGTGCAAGCTCGGCAACACCAAATGCTCGCCTGCCCGAACGGGTAGTACGGGGCGGCGGGTGCGGAGCGGAGGGATTGTGATAGTGATCGACTCTAGAGTAATGTGACTCGGCAGGCAATTCAATTCGAAAATCACCTCCACTTCTGTCACAAGATAAAAAAATTGGCGCGGAAGTGTACAGAGGACAATGACACCTAACAATGTTACAAGATACTTAGATTGGTTTTCTGTTACGTTGTTCCAATTTTCACTAAAGCAACATCCTCTCGCCACCTTAGCCTTGGGAATCAAGAAAGCCGGTACGTGTTCCCCTTATTATATTTCAATACAGAATGCACATTTTTACCAGCACAGTGGTATAGGACTAAGCAGAGGCGGCACACTTCACACTACAGTGCCATACATCCAGCCCACAACAGCCTACAACAGCTAAACAACTGCTAAACTCTGTAAGTTTGCTTGAACTTTCACCCTTGTCTCGCTTCTACCCTGTATACTTGCCAAGGAGAGCACCTCGTCAAAGCTCGCCTGTATTTTGAAATGCCTCAAGAGTCAGCAATCAGTGCAATCAAGCCGCCGCTCATTTCTTCTTGGCAAAGGAGACCAGCTTGAGAGAACCCGCCAACGCCGGCTGTTTCACCGCCAACGTCTGCCCACCGCCCACCGGCTGCGCTCCGCCCGACGTCTGCGCTCCGCCCGACGTCTGTCCGTCTCCCACCGGCTGTGCTACCCCCGCCGGCTGTCCATCTCCCACTGCCGGCTGCGCTCCGCCTGACGACTGCCCATCCCCCACCACCGGCCCTTGTACAAACGGCTGTACTGCCAGGTGTGCTACCCCCGTAGGCTGCTTTGCCGCTGCTGTAGGTTTCTCGAAAACCTCGGTCACGTAGGTGGTCAGGGGTGGGTTGATGCGGATGTGCCCGGTGTTCGCTGCTGGGGCGACGGCTTGCAGAGTGATGCTCCACTTGGTGCCGGCTCCCACCTGGCTCCTGGCACTCTCGACTGAAATTAACCTGAGGCGCGCTTTCTGGTGCGGTGGGTTGGGGCGGTGTGGAGTGGGGTGGGGTGGGGTGGGGTGGGAAGGAAGAAAAGAGGCTTGTGATGCTCCACTTGGTGCCGGCAACCACCTGGCTCTTGGCACTCTCGACCGAAATCAACCTGAGGCGCGTGTTCTGAGGGAGTGGGGTGGGGTGGGTTGGGGCGGGGTGGGATTGGGTGGGTAAGGAATGAAAGCACTTGAGCCTTGTCACGGGGCATCGTGACAAGGCAACTGCAGCCTTCAGGAAGACGAACCTGGGGTTCCTGTTCTGGCGGGGTGAAGTGCGGTGGGGGGTTGGGGAGGGGAGGGGAGCGAGGAGGGGAGGGGAAGGAAGTACTAAAGGGCTTACATGCCAGTAAGTGAGGGTTCGTTAGAAGCAGCCATGACGTGATACTGTAACACGTGGAACCTGAGGGTCGTGTTCTGGTGTTGTGGGGCGGGGGATGAGGAGGGGGGGAGAGTAGAGGCTTGTGGCCGCCATTGGCGTTGCAACAAGGCGAGACTTGACCGAGAGGATATTCGGCTCGGGATCTGGCGGGGTGGGGTGAGGAGGGAATGGGAGGAAAAAATTCTGAGGCACCTCAACAGACAGTGGTTACTGAAGGCTCTGGTACTGAGACGTCTCCAACACATATGATTATTAGGAAATTTCTATATGATCCAGCGTCTAGGGTTTCGGTTTTTTTTATATATATAATCCAGCGTCTTTCTTGTTGTGTGCGTGGACGGCGAAGTTTGCCAACTCAGTCCTCATTCGTCGCCAAGTCTTTCAGGTGTTTCTTAGGCCGTTAAAAATGTTATTTTCTAAGTCAAATGCATGAAAGCAATAACGGCGACCAACGTTTCTTTAAGTACCTGTTTCTTGTTGTACGCGTCGACGGCGAAGCTGGCGAGGTCCGCCACGTGCTGATCCGATGCCGCGTTTTTCACGGTAGACCAACCGCCAGCACGCGGAGTTGCCGCCGCAGCCGACGGAATCGCGGAGAGGAGAGAAACGACGACGATAGCGACTGCTGCCACGGCAAACACGGCGAGATTAACGTGACTAGCGATGCGCCGACCCATGATTGGTTGTTCGTGATATCGGACGAGTATGATAAAAGGAAAGACGGGTTTATATGAGACAGAAGGCTATTAGAAAAGCAAATCACTCCTGTATGCAATTACGGATTGCTGTTCCTAACCGTTCACTCTCTGCCAGTTTGTAGTGCTCCATGAAATATGCCAGCTAGTGCCAAACTGCTTGACTATGAATGGCATTATTGCTCGGGTCACGGCTGCTATGCGGGAGAGCGGAAAGTGCGGGGTTGCCAGCGCCATCTTTCCGGTTTGCATAGGGAACGCGCGGAACGACGACCGATTAGCTGATGCATGCAAGTACCACTCGCCAGCGCCATGAAAAAGGAGCTTGCAAACGCCCAAAACGGCAACGGATTGGCTGCTACACGCAAATGGTGCCTCGCCAGCGCCATAACTCGAAATGTTCTTCCGACTGTGAACGCGCAAAATGGTAGATGATAGGCTAGTGCGTGTGCCATGGATTCAGTCCGTGGTTTTGGCTGTGATGTGAACCCGCAAAACGCGGCTGCTGCTGAGGGGGGAATAAACTTATTGGAGCTGATCCGAGTAAGGGCACGTTCTGTCCGAGTCAAGAGACTTTGGTTTCCGTGCTTGACACGAAGTCGGACGACCCAAAGAGACGGATCCACGATTTTATGACAGGCACTTCGAGAGTTCTTGACCCGAATAGAGGCTGGCTCGACGTTCCACACGAAAACGCCCTAAAATGATGTGGTTGACAAAAAGTCGTTGTTATTTGATCCCCCTTACAGTGAGCGCACAATTCAGGGCTGCTTCTGAGAAATAGCATTCTGAGCTCCTTAGAGTAAATTAAAATTTCGTAAATATTTACTGCTAATGTTGTCTCTGAGCGTACATCTTGAGAATGTAGAGTAATGATAAGGCTGAGAACATATTTTTCGTGGTCAGTATTGGCCGGATTAGGGTAATTGAATTATATTGATTTGCACTTGCCCATATCTACATCCTAGCATTACTCTGAATTGGCAATAGCGAGTATATATTCCTCACGATTTTTTCACGACTGACCGAAGGCTTCTCGAGTGTTGGCTTTAGCACAAAGGCAGGAAGGGGAAGTAGGCACTCCGCAGGAACAGACCGCTTCTGTAACTAGCCGCTTTTGACGGCGGAGAGTGGTTTAGTGCGGCACGAGAGGGAGAGACTGCGAGAATCGAACAACGGAGCATTTGAAAAGCATCGGCGCCGCGCAATCGTGCGTAACCGACGCGGTAGGCTTGGCGGTCCACGGATCGGCTTGGTGCGATAAGAGGCTTGGCTTTTTACACTCGACTAGAAGAAAACACGACGAAGGAAGAAAAGCCTACAGCGGCTCAAGAGGCAACGCGGGGAGAGATCTCGCTTCGCTCGCCCTTGAAAGGCGACGAGGGAGAGAAGAAGAGCAAGGAGCCATGGCGCAGATGGTTCCGCTTGATAACTCCCTCATAAATCTCGCCTCCCTCAGGTACGGCCTCCCTCAAGTACCGCCTCCCCCAGGTAATGCTTCCCAGAAGGTAGTGCCTCCTTCAGGCAATGCCACCCTCAGGTAATGCCTCCCTCAGGTACTGCCTTCCTCAGGTGTTGCCTCCCTCAGGTGCTGCCTCCCTCAGGTGCTGCCTCCCCCAGGTGATGCCTCCCAGAAGGTAGTGCCTCCTTCAGGTAATGCCTCCCTCTGGTGCTGCCGCCCTCAGGTTCTGCCTCCTTCAGGTGTTGCCTCCTTCAGGTACTGCCTCCTTCTGGTGTTGCCTCCTTCAGGTACTGCCTCCTTCAGGTGCTGCCTCCTTCAGGTGTTGCCTCCTTCAGGTACTGCCTCCTTCTGGTGTTGCCTCCTTCAGGTACTGCCTCCTTCAGGTGCTGCCTCCTTCAGGTGTTGCCTCCTTCAGGTGCTGCCTCCTTCAGGTGTTGCCTCCTTCAGGTGCTGCCTCCTTCAGGTGTTGCCTCCTTCTGGTGTTGCCTCCTTCAGGTACTGCCTCCTTCTGGTGTTGCCTCCTTCAGGTACTGCCTCCTTCAGGTGCTGCCTCCTTCAGGTGTTGCCTCCTTCAGGTGCTGCCTCCTTCAGGTGTTACCTCCTTCAGGTGCTGCCTCCTTCAGGTGTTGCCTCCTTCAGGTGCTGCCTCCTTCAGGTGCTGCCTCCTTCAGGTGTTGCCTCCTTCAGGTGCTGCCTCCTTCAGGTGCTGCCTCCTTCAGGTGTTGCCTCCTTCAGGTGCTGCCTCCTTCAGGTGTTACCTCCTTCAGGTGCTGCCTCCTTCAGGTGTTGCCTCCTTCAGGTGCTGCCTCCTTCAGGTGCTGCCTCCTTCAGGTGTTGCCTCCTTCAGGTGCTGCCTCCTTCAGGTGCTGCCTCCTTCAGGTGTTGCCTCCTTCAGGTGCTGCCTCCTTCTGGTACTGCCTCGAACTGCCTCGAACTACCTCCCCCTCATGTACTCAGCTAGAAACTGCCTCAGTTTAAAGCTCGCGTCTCATATTTTTATCCGTTTTACACTTGAGAGCGTTTAACACCTGGTTGGGTTCCGTGACTGGTTGACGAATGACAAAATCTGTGACGAGCTGGGGTGCGATTCTGGTGGAACCAATCATGGACATGCAAACCCAACCGAGCTTTAAGGTACTACCTGGCGCATTGGCACCCTCCCAGGTAAGGTGTCCCTCGAGGTTACTATCCTCTCCTCCCCCCACTCTCCCTCAAGGTATTGTCCTCTCCTGCCCACCACCCCACCCCCCCGCTCCCCCCTCTCTCTCCTTCAAGGTATTATCCTTCTGCAACCCCCCCCTCCCATGCCCTTCCCTCTTTTTCCCTCCTATACCCCTCCCGCTATGTTTCTGTGTGACCTGACCCCCCTCCCCCACCATCCTCCACACCCTCCTCCACACCCTCCCCCTCCCTCCCGCCCTCTCCCCCCCCCCCCCTCCCCCCCCCTCCCCCCTCTCCCTGTGTGCCTCCTGCGAGCAGAGCACACGCCAGTCAACGCCTCGTTGACGCCCTTGACTCTGTGAGTTGACCTGCGTTGACTGGTCTCACTCGTTGCTGCTCATCACCCTTACCAGTTCCAGCCGTCCCATTTTTTACTAGTAGCTTTCCGAACCCCCTTTTCAGTTTTGTCGTACACCTTTCATCTACGCTGACTAATATCCATCCCACCCTCCCACCCTCCCATCACCCCATCACCCCATCATCGCACACTTTCAGTTTTGCCGTGCACCTATCATCTATCCTCAACGCCCAAGCTACTACACTGTCCAATTTCCATCCCAACCTCTCATCATCCCGTCCCATCACCCCATCATCCCATTATCCCGCCATCTCCCATCCTATCGCATCCCATCCCATCCCACCGCATTCCACCAGGTGCCGGGCGGCAAGGCTCTAGTGCTGGATGCGTCTATCAGCGGCCCGCTCGCCTTCATTGCCCCCATCGCCCTCCTCAAGCTGGGCTCGGTGATGCTTCTGTCAGTCAGTTGGTCAGTTGGTCGATCCATGTGTTCACCATCAGTATACCCATCATCACTATCAGCGGTATTCGGGGACTGTAGGTTGGTCCCCCCCCTCCCACACGTCAATCAGCGGCCCACTCGCCTTCATTGCTCCCATCGCCCTCCTCAAGGTGGGCCCAGCGATGGTTGCGTTAGTCAGTTGGTCAGTTGGTCGATCCATGTGTTCACCATCAGTACACCCATCATCACTATCAGCGGTAGTTGGGGCCCGGTAGGGCAGTCCCCTCCCACTCGTCTATCAGCGGCCTGCTCGCTTTCATTGCTCCCATCTCTCTCCTAAAGGTGGGTGGGGTGGGCCCCTCAAGCCCAGCCATATACGCTTTGCTGCTCTCCCTCTCCCAACTCCATTTCCGCACCCCATTCCCCCACTACATTCCCCCACTCCATTCCCCCACTCCATTTTCCCACTCCACTTCCCCACTCCATTTCCCCCACTCCACGTCCCCATTTCGTTCCCTCACCCCGCTTTCCCGCTTCATTCCCCCACTCCGTTCTGCCACGTCTTTCTCCACTACTGCCCCCACTCACTCCATTCCTCTTATCCAATCCGTTCCTCCCACTCTCCTCTTCCCTGTTCTCCCTGTCCGTTCGTTACAGGAACACGGAGTCGAGAATCTGTTCCACATCACATCATATATAAGCGCCTAAAAAAATCTCCACCTCCCTTTGCACTTCTTCTGCTCGTTACAGGAACACGGAGTGGAGAACCTGTTCCACATCAGCGCCGAACCCATCCAATCACAGTGCTCCACCGTCCTCTACCTCCTGCGCCCCAATCCGCTTCTCATTCGCTGGATCACACGCCAGGTACAGCCACTTTGTATCCTACTGCATTCTACTAGTACCGCTTGGTACCGTTCTCTACCTGCTGTGACCCAACCCACTCCTCATTCGCTGGATCACACGCCAGGTACAGCGACTAAGTATCTTACTGCATTCTACTAGTACCGTTTGGTCCCGTTCTCTACCTGCTGTGACCCAATCCACTCCTCATTCGCTGGATCACACGCCAGGTACGAGGTACTTCCAGCTACCGCATTTTATTGGTACCTGCTCAGACCACACTCTACCTCTGCAGTCTACCCCCGCCCCTTCCATTTTTGCGCTCTTGTTTGCAGTCTTGTCTTCTCCCCACATGCCACGCTCCACCAGGTGCCTACACAAGCACAGTGCTCACTAACGCGTGCAGACTAGGTCCTGCTCTCTGCGCTTGTGTAGGCCCTTCATTCAACCTTCTTCCCCTTTCGTTTTTACATCCCTTCTACACCTTCCCCCCTTCGGAATGCCGTCAATCCCACCAGGTGCGAGCAGACGAGGACGAGGGCGTCACTCGCAGCTACTCACTCCACTTCATTCCCAGATGTGATGCGATCTGTAACAGGGTACGTATGAAAACATTGTCTGTGTGTTGGGCTTGGGGGTAGGGAAGGTGGAGGGTTAGGGTTTGTGCATGCAAGGTGCCTCAAAAGTGTGCCTGTTGTCTGTGCATCCAAGGGTACGTCTACTGTTGCACCCCACGCACCATACATCCGCAGATTCTGGAACAGAAGGGCTCGTGGACAACCTTTGATTGAGTCGCCTCAAAAGGAACACTGTTGTGACCTGTGTCTATTTCTTTTCGCCCCACACCACACACCACACACCACACATCACAAACCACAAACCACACACCACACACCACACATCACAAACCACAAACCACACACCACACACCACACATCACAAACCACAAACCACACACCACACACCACACATCACAAACCACAAACCACACACCACACACCACACATCACAAACCACAAACCACACACCACACACCACACATCACAAACCACAAACCACACACCACACACCACACATCACAAACCACAAACCACACACCACACACCACACATCACAAACCACAAACCACACACCACACACCACACATCACAAACCACAAACCACACACCACACACCACACATCACAAACCACAAACCACACACCACACACCACACATCACAAACCACAAACCACACACCACACACCACACATCACAAACCACAAACCACAAACCACACACCACACACCACACACCACAAACCACACACCACACACCACACACCACACACCACACATCACAAACCACAAACCACACACCACACACCACACATCACAAACCACAAACCACACACCACACACCACACACCACACATCACAAACCACAAACCACACACCACACACCACACATCACAAACCACAAACCACACACCACACACCACACATCACAAACCACACACCACACACCACACACCACACACCACACACCACACATCACACACCACACATCACAAACCACAAACCACACACCACACACCACACATCACAAACCACAAACCACAAACCACACACCACAAACCACACACCACAAACCACACACCACACACCACACATCACAAACCACACACCACACACCACACACCACACACCACACATCACACACCACACATCACAAACCACAAACCACACACCACACACCACACATCACAAACCACAAACCACACACCACACACCACACATCACAAACCACAAACCACACACCACACACCACACACCACAAACCACACACCACAAACCACACACCACACACCACACATCACAAACCACACACCACACACCACACACCACACACCACACACCACACATCACAAACCACAAACCACACACCACACACCACACACCACAAACCACACACCACACATCACAAACCACAAACCACACACCACACACCACACACCACAAACCACACACCAAACCACACACCACACACCACACATCACAAACCACACACCACACACCACACACCACACACCACACACCACACACCACACATCACAAACCACAAACCACACACCACACACCACACATCACAAACCACAAACCACACACCACACACCACACACCACAAACCACACACCACAAACCACACACCACACACCACACATCACAAACCACACACCACACACCACACACCACACACCACACACCACACATCACACACCACACATCACAAACCACAAACCACACACCACACACCACACATCACAAACCACAAACCACACACCACACACCACACATCACAAACCACAAACCACACACCACACATCACACACCACACATCACAAACCACAAGCCACACACCACACACCACACATCACAAACCACAAACCACACACCACACACCACACATCACAAACCACAAACCACACACCACACACCACACATCACAAACCACAAACCACACACCACACACCACACATCACAAACCACAAACCACAAACCACACACCACACACCACACACCACAAACCACACACCACACACCACACACCACACACCACACACCACACATCACAAACCACAAACCACACACCACACACCACACATCACAAACCACAAACCACACACCACACACCACACACCACACATCACAAACCACAAACCACACACCACACACCACACATCACAAACCACAAACCACACACCACACACCACACACCACACATCACAAACCACAAACCACACACCACACACCACACACCACAAACCACACACCACAAACCACACACCACACACCACACATCACAAACCACACACCACACACCACACACCACACACCACACATCACACACCACACATCACAAACCACAAACCACACACCACACACCACACATCACAAACCACAAACCACACACCACACACCACACACCACAAACCACACACCACAAACCACACACCACACACCACACATCACAAACCACACACCACACACCACACACCACACACCACACACCACACATCACACATCACACACCACACATCACAAACCACAAACCACACACCACACACCACACATCACAAACCACAAACCACACACCACACACCACACACCACAAACCACACACCACAAACCACAGACCACACACCACAAACCACACACCACAAACCACACACCACACACCACACATCACAAACCACACACCACACACCACACACCACACACCACACATCACAAACCACAAACCACACACCACACACCACACATCACAAACCACAAACCACACACCACACACCACACATCACAAACCACAAACCACACACCACACACCACACACCACAAACCACACACCACAAACCACACACCACACACCACACATCACAAACCACACACCACACACCACACACCACACACCACACACCACACACCACACATCACACACCACACATCACAAACCACAAACCACACACCACACACCACACATCACAAACCACAAACCACACACCACACACCACACACCACAAACCACACACCACAAACCACACACCACACACCACACATCACAAACCACACACCACACACCACACACCACACACCACACACCACACACCACACACCACACATCACACACCACACATCACAAACCACAAACCACACACCACACACCACACATCACAAACCACAAACCACACACCACACACCACACATCACAAACCACAAACCACACACCACACACCACACATCACAAACCACAAACCACACACCACAAATCACACACCACACATCACAAACCACAAACCACACACCACACACCACACATCACAAACCACAAACCACACACCACACACCACACATCACAAACCACAAACCACACACCACACACCACACACCACAAACCACACACCACAAACCACACACCACACACCACACATCACAAACCACACACCACACACCACACACCACACACCACACATCACACACCACACATCACAAACCACAAACCACACACCACACACCACACATCACAAACCACAAACCACACACCACACACCACACATCACAAACCACAAACCACACACCACACACCACACACCACAAACCACACACCACAAACCACACACCACACACCACACATCACAAACCACACACCACACACCACACACCACACACCACACACCACACATCACAAACCACAAACCACACACCACACACCACACATCACAAACCACAAACCACACACCACACACCACACATCACAAACCACAAACCACAAACCACACACCACACACCACACACCACAAACCACACACCACACACCACACACCACACACCACACACCACACACCACACACCACACATCACAAACCACAAACCACACACCACACACCACACATCACAAACCACAAACCACACACCACACACCACACACCACACATCACAAACCACAAACCACACACCACACACCACACATCACTAACCACAAACCACACACCACACACCACACATCACAAACCACAAACCACACACCACACACCACACATCACAAACCACAAACCACACACCACACACCACACACCACACATCACAAACCACAAACCACACACCACACACCACACACCACAAACCACACACCACAAACCACACACCACACACCACACATCACAAACCACACACCACACACCACACACCACACACCACACATCACACACCACACATCACAAACCACAAACCACACACCACACACCACACATCACAAACCACAAACCACACACCACACACCACACACCACAAACCACACACCACAAACCACACACCACACACCACACATCACAAACCACACACCACACACCACACACCACACACCACACACCACACATCACACATCACAAACCACAAACCACACACCACACACCACACATCACAAACCACAAACCACACACCACACACCACACATCACAAACCACAAACCACACACCACACACCACACACCACAAACCACACACCACAAACCACACACCACGCACCACACATCACAAACCACACACCACACACCACACACCACACACCACACACCACACATCACAAACCACAAACCACACACCACACACCACACATCACAAACCACAAACCATACACCACACACCACACATCACAAACCACAAACCACACACCACACACCACACACCACAAACCACACACCACAAACCACACACCACACACCACACATCATAAACCACACACCACACACCACACACCACACACCACACATCACACACCACACATCACAAACCACAAACCACACACCACACACCACACATCACAAACCACAAACCACACACCACACACCACACACCACAAACCACACACCACAAACCACACACCACACACCACACATCACAAACCACACACCACACACCACACACCACACACCACACATCACACACCACACATCACAAACCACAAACCACACACCACACACCACACATCACAAACCACAAACCACACACCACACACCACACAGCACAAACCACAAACCACACACCACACACCACACATCACAAACCACAAACCACACACCACACACCACACATCACAAACCACAAACCACAAACCACACACCACACACCACACACCACAAACCACACACCACACACCACACACCACACACCACACATCACAAACCACAAACCACACACCACACACCACACATCACAAACCACAAACCACACACCACACACCACACACCACACATCACAAACCACAAACCACACACCACACACCACACATCACAAACCACAAACCACACGCCACACACCACACACCACACATCACAAACCACACACCACACACCACACACCACACACCACACATCACACACCACACACCACACATCACAAACCACACACCACACACCACACATCACAAACCACACACCACACACCACACATCCACTGCAGATTCTGGAGCAGGAGGGGTTGGTGGATGACCCGCGGGTGGCAGTGGGCGAGTATCCCCTCGAGATGATCCCCGTGGACCATGACCTGCTTGCTCTGGACCTCCATACCCTTTTTAAGGTGACTCCCGTACCCTTTATAAGGTGATTCTGGAGCAGGTGGATGACCCGCGGGTGGCAGTGGGAGATTATCCCCTCGAGATGATCCCTGTGGACCATGACCTGCTCGCACTGGACCTCCATACCCTCTATAAGGTGATTCTTTAGTCTTTATAAAGTGATTGTTGTCCCCTTTATGTGCCAATTCTGGAGCAAGATGGCAGTGGGCGAGTATCCCCTCGAGATGATCCCCGTGGACCATGACCTCCTTGCACTCGACCTCCATACCCTCTATAAGGTGATTCCAGTACCCGTTATAAGGCGAGGTGATTCTGAACTGCACGAATCCAATTCAGGACGTGCACGTGCACACAAACCACACCACTACGTTACCCTTCTCTCACCTTTCCATCTCTCCCACACCCCTCCCAAGCCCACCTCCCCCTGCGTCTGATCAATCCAGGACGTGAACGTGGACTCTACTATCCCCACCTCCACTGCGATAAGTCGAGTTTTGAGTCGACTCAGGACGTCCTGGGTTGATATTCGACTCAAAACTCGGAATATCAAGCCAGGACGTGAGCGTGGACTCTACTACCCCCACCTCCACTGCTTTACCACTCACCTTCCCATCTCTTTCCCTCTCCCTCCTGGCCGATTCAATCAATAAGTGCATAAGGACTTAAAACCCCACCTCTGCTTTACCTTTCCCGCACCATTCCATATCTCCCACCCTACCCTTTTTAGTGTTCCCTTACCTTTCCAATCTCTTCCCCACCCCTCTCTCCCCCCACCCCTCCCCGCCCCCCTGCCCCTTCTTGTTCTGAACTGCACTAATCCAATCCAGGGCATATACCTGGACTCAGACCCCGCCTCTCCTCTCCTTTACCTTCTCTCACCTTTCCATCTCTCTCACCTCCCACCCCACTTCCCTCCCCTCTGACCAATCCAATCCAGGATGTACACGTGGACTCAGACCCCACCTCCACTTTGCAAGTGGCGCGAGTGCTGGCTAATTTCCAGGTAATTTCCAGGTGACGATCTCAGCCGTTGAAGGTGGCAATCTCAGCTGTTGATGGTGATAATCCCAGCGTTGACAGCTCATTGCGGCTGTCGTAACTCACTCCTATGTTCGTTCATGGCTGGGATGCCAACTGATGTGCACAGCACTTAGCCAGGATGCCATTCCCAATGCCTCTCGCTTGATTCCTGTGCTTCGCTTGTTGAGGCGCCTAAAAAATGCCAACTGATGTGCACAGCACATAGCCGGGATGCCATTCCCAATGCCTCTCGCTTGATTCCTGTGCTTCTCTTGATTGATCACTGCTTTTCATTCTCTTGATTCCAGGTCATTTTCCTCGCCCTGTCTTCCGTGTTTGGCGTGCCACCAGTGCTGAAGGGCAAGGGCGTGGCAGCGCAGCGAGTGGCACAGGCCTTGAGTCAACTCATGAAGGAACAGAAATCCCACATGGCACCGGTAGGAGGTGTTATTTGAGGCGACTCAAAAGGCATCGTAGGCTAGACAGCCTACTTAGCTTGTTGCTCTAGTTTCTGGGACTCGTGTAACCTGGCTCTTGAGTTTCCTCGAGTTTGTTTCTCGTTTGCTTCAGCCCAGTGGGCTGAACAATTTACTGGAGTGTGGAATGTCTTGTGGCGTGGTGGAGTGGTGTGATGTGGGGCGCTGCGGTGTGGGGTGGAGCGGTGCGGTGTGGAGGGGAGCGGTTCGGTGTGGGGTGGTGCGGTGTGGTGTGGAGTGGTGGTGGCAGGTGGAGCATCCAAGCGTGGACATGATGGTGCTGATAGACCGACAGGTGGACATGGTGACGCCAGCATGCACTCAGCTCACATACGAAGGGCTGCTCGATGAGGTCAGCATTCCTTGATAGATGACGTCAGCACACCTTGATAGATGACGTCAGCACACCTTGATAGATGACGTCAGCACACCTTGATAGATGATGTCAGCATGCATTGATAGATGATGTCAGCATGCATTGATAGATGATGTCAGCATGCATTGATAGATGATGTCAGCATCCTTCTCTCTGCCGTCCAGCCATCTCTCGTCTCTCTCCTCTCCACCTCTCCTCCACCCAGCTTCTGCACACAGCAAGCACAGCAGGGGAGGAGGGTCTGGCAGTCATGGAAAATCACTGCTTAAGGCATCTCGTGGAAGCATCCTAACGCGCATCTACCTCTTTAATGCGCCTCTGTAACGCGTCAATTCATCTCTCCTCCCTCTCCCCCACCCAGCTCCTGCACATAATGAACGGAGCAGTGGAGGCAGATCGTGCAGTCATGGAAAGGGGAGGGAGATGACTTTTGAGGCGCCTGAAAAGTCATGGAAAGGGGAGGGAGATGACTTTTGAGGCGCCTGAAAAGTCATGGAAAGGGGAGGGAGATGACTTTTGAGGCGCCTGAAAAGTCATGGAAAGGGGAGGGAGATGACTTTTGAGGCGCCTGAAAAGTCATGGAAAGGGGAGGGAGATGACTTTTGAGGCGCCTGAAAAGTCATGGAAAGGGGAGGGAGATGACTTTTGAGGCGCCTGAAAAGTCATGGAAAGGGGAGGGAGATGACTTTTGAGGCGCCTGAAAAGTCATGGAAAGGGGAGGGAGATGCCTCGTCGTGCCTCTTCTGCCTGCAAAGCCTTTCTCTTCCCTCGAACTCTGTTCTTCCCTCTCTCTCCCTTTCCACGCAGATCCTGCACGTAGCAAACGGAGCAGTGAAGGTGGATCCGGCAGTCATGGAAAGTCGCCTTGTCATGGGGAGAAGTTAACACGCCTCTTCTGTGATTAAATCATCACTCTTGCTGTCCCATCGATTCATCTCTCATCTCTCCTCTCCCCCTCCCTTCAACGCAGCTGCTGCACGTAGCAAATGGAGCAGTGGAGGTGGACCCGGCAGTCATGGGGAATTTCTTCTTTGCAATGCTTTCCTCTGCCCTCTAATGTTCGCCTCTCCTTCCCCTCTCCTTCCCCTCTCTCATGTTCGCCTCTCCTTCCCCTCTCCTTCCCCTCTCTCATGTTCGCCTCTCCTTCCCCTCTCCTTCCCCTCTCTCATGTTCGCCTCTCCTTCCCCTCTCCTTCACCCACCCAGCTGCTGCACGTAGCAAACGGGGCAGTGGAGGTGGATCCGGCAGTCATGGGGGTGAAGTCTAACGCCAGGAAGATCAAAGTGCCTCTCAACTCCAAGTGAGTGAGAGGGCAGGAGGGGCCAAGAGTAGAGAACTGTTTAGAATAAAGGAGTATGTGGGTTGGCCACAACACGAAAATGCTGTTCGGCAGTGATGAGGGTGAAGTCTAACGCCAGGAAGATCAAAGTGCCTCTCAACTCCAAGTGAGTGAGGGAGCGAGGGGCTGTGGATTGAAAGTGTGAGAGTGTAGAATAGACGAGATGCGTATGTGCATTTTTTTCTAACGCTGGAGGGCTGTCCGATTTTGGGATAGAATGGCGAGAAGGCATGAGGGTAAGAAAAGCATGTTATATACCTGTATTGATGCTCCATGCTGAGAGGATCATGGAAAATATGGTTCAGACAGAATGGAGATCCTTGCGCCTTTGAGTCGACTCAAAAGCTTGCTTTGTGTGCTTCCGTCCTTCTCTGCTCCTTCTGTGAGTCAGCTCAACAGTAATTGAGCAAGTTGTGAAAGCTTAAATGCTTCATATGATATTGCCTTCCTCGCCCTCCTCACCTCACCCGGCTCTTTGCAGTGACAAGCTGTTTCAGGACCTTAGAGGCCGCAACTTTGGATCAGCAGCAGAGGTGAGGTGCTTCACATTGTATCACATCGCATAGAACCACATCACACCACACCACACCACATCGCATCACATCCCATTCCATCCCATCCCACCGCATCGCACCCACCACACCACATCACATCACATCACATCCCTCTGTTCCCTCTGTTCTCTCTGCCCCCTCTCTTCAGCTGCTGCGAGCCAAGGCAGTGGAGATGAAGTCAGAGTATGCCAACTTCAGGCAGAGGCCGCAGAGAGACGCATCGCCACTGCGCTCCGCTGCTCCGGGTGACCAAGCAGCTGCATCTGCTGCTGGCGTTGGCGGGGGAGAGCAGGTGAGGTCATGATGATGGTCTGTTGCTGCTGCTGCTGCTGCTGCTGCTGCTGCTGCTGCTGCTGCCTCCACCACTCGTGTGCACCTTTTGCACCCATCGGATCAGATCAGACGGTGCTAGCCAGCCAGAGTTCATTGCTCCAGATCGTTGCCATGACAATTCTCGTGCTCAAACACTCATACCTCGTTGTCCTCCTCTTTTCCTCCCACTGTTTTTATTGTTGTAAGTCTTGCACCTGTCGCCCATGACCTCTTGCACTTATTCCACTCAGACAGTGCCCTGGGTGATGGACTTTGCCAAGAAACGTTGTCCTCCTCTTTTCCTCGTTCACTCTTTCCCTCTCTCCTTTTTTGTGTCTCACCACCTGCTGCACCTGTTGCTCTCACAAGGTATCAGAGCTTAAGGACGTTTTCAAGAAGCGATGCTCGCCTCTTTCCTCTTTTCCTTTCTATGTCTCAACACACGTTGTTGCACATGATTAATCTTCATTCTCTCAGACAGTATCGGAGCTCAAGGACTTTGTCAAGAAATTCAACGTGCTGCTAGAACTTACAGTGAGATCTGAGATCATTCTTTCTTTCTTCGACCACTTGCTTTTAGACGATAGAGGCTTAACCCTTTTGCAACATTGTGTGCGAGCTTTTGCCGACACTGTCCCTCAATATGAATGTGGTGTTTTTATTTGATCGTGGTAAAATCATTGCTTTGTTGACCTTGTGCTACTCTGTTCTTCTTACCTCTCCTCTCTCTCTCTTTTTTTTTTTTTCTTTCTTCTTCTCTTCTCATCCTTTCCATCTCCCATCTTGCCCCCTATGCTCCCCCCCAGCGTCACACAAACCTAGCAGGGCACATATCGCAGGTGACCAACAGGTGACCAACCGGCCTGCCTTTGGCGCTCTGATCTCCACGGAGCAGGCCATTCTTGAAGCACGGTCCATCGACTCGTACGTGCATGACTCGTGTGGCGCTCCATCCAGTGCACATGCTCCATCGTGTGTGGTGCTGGTGCTGAGCCACGTATATACTCCTTTGTGCACATGCACTTGTGACTGCAGCGTGTGTGAGTACATTGAGGTGACTTTTGAGTCACCTCAAAAAATGACTCGTATGACGCTCCGTCGAGTGCTTTGTGTGTCAGAGGAACGTCCCATGAGCACGGTGCTGTGTCTTCTCTCCCTTGTCTACCTTGCACTTGTATGTGTGTACGTGCATCCACGTGGGTGACTGCAGGGCGTGTGAGTACATAGAGGACGCCATGGCACAGGGACATCCCATGAGCACAGTGTTACGCCTCCTCTCCCTTGTCTCCCTCACCAATGGCGGCATTCCCAAGGCACGCTTCGACCACCTCAGGTACACCGTGTGAATCGAGACGAGGCCTGAGGTGCCTTTTGAGGCGTATCAAAGCGCGATATTGCGTCTCCTCTGCCTGCTCTCCCTCACCAATGGCGGTATTCCCAAGGAACGCTTTGACGGCCTTCAGGTACACCGCGTGCGAAAGGGATGGGTTCGAACCTGTTCTAGCAAGACTTAAAAAAAAACAGATCTTAGCATTTTACAAGGCGCCCCTCTACCACCTCAGGTACACTGTGAATTGAGATGAGGTTTTAGGCCCCTATTGACGCGCCTCACAGCATGGTGCTCTGTCTCCTCTGCCTGCTTTCCCTCACCATCTGCTCAGCTGTGGATACATGGAGAAACGTGGGGATGAATGGGGACATGTGAGGATATGTGGAGAATGGTGGGGACACGTGGGGATACATGGGGACACGTGGGGATACATGGGGACACGTGGGGATATATGGAGAAACGTGGGGATGAATGGGGACATGTGAGGATATGTGGAGAATGGTGGGGACACGTGGGGATACATGGGGACACGTGGGGATACATGGGGACACGTGGGGATGCATGGAGACACATGATAAAACATGGGGATATGAGGTGGGAACACGTGGGGACACATGGGGATATGAGGTGGGAACACGTGGGGACACGTGGGGATATGAGGTGGGAACACGTGGGAACACGTGGGGATATGAGGTGGGAACACGTGGGGACACATGGGGATATGAGGTGGGAACACGTGGGGACACATGGGGATATGAGGTGGGAACACGTGGGGACACATGGGGATATGAGGTGGGAACACGTGGGGACACATGGGGATATGAGGTGGGAACACGTGGGGACACATGGGGATATGAGGTGGGAACACGTGGGGACACATGGGGATATGAGGTGGGAACACGTGGGGACACATGGGGATATGAGGTGGGAACACGTGGGGACACATGGGGATATGAGGTGGGAACACGTGGGGACACATGGGGATATGAGGTGGGAACACGTGGGGACACATGGGGATATGAGGTGGGAACACGTGGGGACACATGGGGATATGAGGTGGGAACACGTGGGGACACATGGGGATATGAGGTGGGAACACGTGGGGACACATGGGGATATGAGGTGGGAACACGTGGGGACACATGGGGATATGAGGTGGGAACACGTGGGGACACATGGGGATATGAGGTGGGAACACGTGGGGACACATGGGGATATGAGGTGGGAACACGTGGGGACACATGGGGATATGAGGTGGGAACACGTGGGGACACATGGGGATATGAGGTGGGAACACGTGGGGACACATGGGGATATGAGGTGGGAACACGTGGGGACACATGGGGATATGAGGTGGGAACACGTGGGGACACATGGGGATATGAGGTGGGAACACGTGGGGACACATGGGGATATGAGGTGGGAACACGTGGGGACACATGGGGATATGAGGTGGGAACACGTGGGGACACATGGGGATATGAGGTGGGAACACGTGGGGACACGTGGGTGGAGCTGCTCTTAAGCATGCTACTGGGGCTGCTGGTGCCAAGTGGCTGAGGGGTGTGAGACAGCGGTGGTGCTTCGGAGGTGCCTCAACACTCATATGAGCTGCTGGGAAGCTCACTGAATGCCTGCATTCCTGCCGCCCATGGCGCGATAAAGAACTGATTTTCTGGAGGGCGAATACGTAATTGCAGCTGGCGTTTGATTGGCTGTTGGGGCTGTTAGTTGGTACTGCCGAACTCCTAGTTGAGTGCTATAACATGCAATGTGAACTCTGCTGAGTAGCTACAGCAGTTTCCACCTTCTTTTGGGTGGTAGAATGGTAGTACTGATTGGAAACGGCGCGAACCAATGAAAACTCTTATTGCATGACATAAACCCTATATCTGTAGTTAGCAGCATCAGTGGTCAGACACACTCTGATCAATATGCGCGAAGGAATGGATTTACTCATTGCCCTGCCTGTTTACAAAGCACGTGCAGAGCGACCCTCAAACTGCCGGTTATGCCTGATCTATCAGTTTCTTACCGCCAGAAAGTATTCTCCCTTGCTTGGTTCTCTATGCAAAGAAAAGCAGAGCGGCGAACAGGGACAGGCCAGTAGCTGCTATGGCAGGTGATACAAGCAAACCTGCTGTTTGCAGAAAGGGGGTTTGGGGAAGGGGGAAAATGCGGGGGGGAGGAGGGAAAGGGGGGAAAGGGGAAGGGAGAGGAGGGGAAGGGGGAGGGGGGAGGAAGGAGGGGGGGGGGGGGGGGGAGACAAGGTAGAAGGAGATGGGGGAGGGGTTAGCCAGAGCAAGTGTAGAATATAATCGCGTCGACCAATTGCGTCCATTTTGTGTAGCAACCCTCGTAATGACGGTGAATACCAGCAGGCATGGGTGGCGTGACAACCCCTGGACAGTTCCGTCAGGGTTCACAGTAACGCCTAGAATCTGCAAGCCATCCGTTCCAATAGTCAACCCGCCGGGGATTGGAAGTCCAGTACCAACGATTGTCCCATTCGGATAAAAGTTGGTACCGCCGATCGTTACAGAACCGTCCGGATTTGTGGATGGAATAGGTGGGTTGACTACTTGGCCGTCGCTGGTGACATACGTGCCGTTCGGATAGTACTTGGTGGTGCCAATAGTCACACTCCCATCAGGGTTGGCAGTGACGTCGGAACTGCCGTTGACGACCGAGGGGAGCGACACTTGACCGGCGTTGTACACCTTCCCATCGGAGCCAACGATTGTCCCATTCGGATAAAAGTTGGTACCGCCGAGCGTTACAGATCCATCTGGGTTTGGGGTGGGTGGATTGACGAATGTCTGGCCGTCGCTGGTGACGTATGTGCCGTTCGGATAGACTCTGGTGGAACCGACAGTCACACTCCCGTCAGGGTTGTGAGTGACGCCGCCAACGCCGTCAATGCCCGTTCCATTCTGGCCAATAGTAGTATCGCCTGAAAGTTTTATCGTGCCGTTGGTGATCAAGTTGACAATGCCAGGAATCAAAAGCTGTGCTTGCGCTGGCAGAATAGTGGCTGACGTGAAAACTGCCACGAGGAGCACCAGCGTCGCAAGGAAGAGCACACGGGGAGCCATGGAAGCTGTTAGTCTTGGAATTAAATTTGGCTGATTATGAGAATCAGTGAACTTGTAGACCTGTTTCAGCAGAGCAGCTTGGGGCGTTCTTGGCTAGTCGGAAATTGGACGTCAAGTTGGATGGTCTGGAGTGGGCGTCGAAGCTTCAGCGTCAAAGCTCTGGCGTCAAAGCTCATTGCCTAGTAGCTGTGTTACACGAGAGGCTCCAAACCAAATTCGTCTCGAATCCCTGCTGGACATTGCCTGCGGTAGCGCCTCGGACATTTCGTGTGTTGACTTCGTTGAATATGTTTCCAGCCAGTGAGCTGATTTTAGGGCCGTGTGCGGACCAGCTTGAAACTTGCTGACACGACAAAGAATCTGCGGAAATCTCACGAAATTACGTGTATCGTCGATACCCATCTGACCCTGGCCCAAACTGCCCTGCTGTGTGTCAGAAAGGTGACAGTGGCTATAACGGGCCCTCGTTGCAGCCAGCCCAGTATGGATTTCGGCACCGAGCCTCATTGGTGTAGTGAGCAACCCCTTACTCCAGTGCCAATCACCAGACCAATCAAAGTCAAGTAGGGTTCTACAACGTGTGAGACACTGTTTTCCTTCTATTTAAAGTCATCCTCGTCACTAGATACAACCAGTTGGGAATGGTTGTGTACATTGTATTATGTATTACCAATACGTCCTAAGAACTTTCCTTACCGGTAGTCACTAAATACAGACTTTCCTTACCCTCTTGCGATAGCATACAACCCTGTTTATCCATTAAGAATGTACGCAACCAGAGGTTCAAACTCTTGCAAGCCCTGCAGTCTGCAGCTGAACGCAGAACCTAGCTTCATCAGAGAGCACCAGCCAGCGCTGCCACTAAGTGGCTCCATAAATCCTCCACATTCACCAAAACGGGCAGATTCACAACAAGGTGCAGAAAACAGCATCTACTTATGCAAAGCCTATCTTCTCCAAGGCTCCAGCGAGAGCACTGACTTTGTCCTCTGACGAATCCTCCACGTTCACCAGGTTGGGCAGATGCACGTCACTGCGCGGCACAAACTCATGCAGCAGCTTCCTCCTGTACTCTGCAAACGGATCCATCCCTGCTGCTGCTGCTGCTGCTGCTGCTGCTCCTTGGTGCTGTGCCACGTCAGCAGGGGGAGGCTCCAGAATGAGGGTGTGGTGCATGCCGGAGAGCAGCTGCGCGTAATCCCCGTCAGCGCCAGCTGGACTGCCGACGACGACTGCCAGGTCAGCAGGCTCCAATCCCCAGCGGACACAGAGGTACCTGGAAGAGAGAGGGACAGCATAAGAGAAGGTGGGAAAGAGAGGGGCAAAGAGGGAGAGAGGGGGATAGAGAGGGAGAGGAAGGAGAAAGACAGAGAGTCAGCGATGAAAGCTTGTCATGGAGGTCAAAATCTAAAAGGACGTGACTGGGGACAATAAAAAGATGTGCCAGCTGGACCAATAAGCACAGTGCTGGACCAAGAAGCACGCAGTACATTACCTGAGGGCCTGTGAGCGAGAGGCGTGGAGCGGCAGGATGTGAAGACATGTGGCGGCACGGCAGTAGCCCACGTGGCACCTCAAGCCACGTAGGCGCAGGCGGCGCCGCAAGTCAGCTGCTGTGGGCATCTGGGGCCGGTGTAGGGGTCGAAAGGGGGAGCGTAGAGAAAGCGAGGCCTTTGAGACGTCTCAAAAGACAGACGCAATTCAGTTGCTGTCAGCATCTGCGGACATACCAAGGAGGGGGGGAAGGTGGGATGAGAGAAAGGGGACAGGGGATTCAAAGGAAGGTAGGTAGGAGGAGAGTAGAGAAAGCAGAGCCATGCCATACTTCACACATCAGAGCCATGCCATACTTCACACATCAGAGCCATGCCATACTTCACACATCAGAGCCATGCCATACTTCACACATCAGAGCCATGCCATACTTCACACATCAGAGCCATGCCATACTTCACACATCAGAGCCATGCCATACTTCACACATCAGAGCCATGCCATACTTCACACATCAGAGCCATGCCATACTTCACACGTCATTGAAAGAGAATGCGACCTTCACCAGTGAAACTAGTGTAGGAAAAGATGGGAATAAACGCTTCTCTTGATACTCATCAGTGACCACCTGCGTCCACTTTCACTCTTGAGACTCTCTCCTGAACACGTTCCATTGACGCCACCAAGCCCTTACACGAGTAGCTCCTACCTGTGCGATGTCAAGCACTCGGTAAGCCAGCCGCCGGGACGTGGTTCTCATCTCATCCTCCACACACACGCGCTGCACCGCCAGCAGCTGCTGCTGCTGCAGCAGCAGCCCGCTCCCCACCGCCCCCCTCACCCCTCTCGATCCCGCCCCTGCACCCCCCAGCCTGCTGCCAGTCACGCTCTTGCTCCCAGGGATGCCTGAGTGGGTGGAGGGAGCTGCAGGCTCAGAGGCGATTGCTGTCAGCCCGTCTGAGAAGGAGATTGAGCGGACATACTCCTCCTCGTTAGTAGCAGCCCCGTTACCGGCAGCAGCTGCAGCACCATTCCCAGCAGCAGCAGCAGCAGCAGCAGCAGAGAGAGCAGCGGCAGGAGGAGGGAAAACACCGCCAGAGCCTGCCACAGGAGTGGTGGCAGCACTGGCAGCCCCACCCGATGCTGTACCCTTTATAGCGTGCGCCAGGATTCGTCCCATGGACCGGCGTACACCGTCAGCGCTCCACCGGTATTCAATATGCGCGAAATAGTCCGGATCGGGAAGCAACTGCCAGCCTTCCCGATCCTCCAGAGGAGCCATGGCTGATACCAGACCTGCTGCCATTCCTGCCGCCGCTCCCGCTCCTGCTCCCGCTCCTGTTCCCCCAGCTGCTGCTGCTCCAAGTTCCGATGCGGTGGAGCACGGTACAGAGTAGTACACCTCGCTCCCTCCCCCTGCTATCAACGCATCAAGCTGCCTCAGCCCCACTCCTGCTGCTGTCAGCATTGCCACCGTCTCTCTGGCTGTCAGTGCCGTCGACAGCACCACACCAATCTCCCCGCCCGGCCCCATACCCCATACAACGCGCTCCCTTAACGTTCCCGTGTTGTGCCGGTATGCCACCTCCAGGGCGGCGCACAGAGAGTCCAGAACAGACGAACCCGGCCGCCCAACGGGGTCGTATTCGTCCACAGCGACCACGATCAGCCGCCGCCGCCTCCTCAGCCGGAGCCCCTCAAACGCCGCTGCTGCCGCCGCTCCTGCTGCCGACCCTTTCTCTCCAGCCCCAGCCCCTGCTCCTCCGTCCTCCCCTTCCTCCTGCATCCCCTGCAGTCTCCCCGACCCGCCCACCCCTTCCCGGTACCTCCCAATACTCTCCGACCCCATACCCCCAGTAAACGAGTAATTCCCCAGCCTGTTGTGAATCCCCAACGCTGCTCCTTCTCCCAGCCCCTCCCCCCCACCAAGACCACCAGAACCACCAAAACCACCACCACCAGCGGCATGAGAAGGCTCAGCCGCGTAACCACTAGCGGACCGGCCGTCGGGCCGGATAACCCCGAGGTTATCCAGCATGAAAGAGAGGTCCATAGAGCCTCCCTGGAAAGACCCTCCTTGGAAGGACCCTCCGCCCCAGAACTTGCCGTCGAAGGAGAGGCGCAGGGAGAGGTCTTGAATGTCCCGGAGGGATTCGGAGTGCAGGCCGGTGGAGGGGTGGGTGGAGGAGGTGGCGGCAGCGACCTGATCGAAGAGTGCTGCTGCCCTCCACACTGGGTGGCGCAGACGCGACTGGGCCACGCGGGTTAACAGAGAGGCGCAGTGCTGTAGAGGGTGGTGGGGAGGGGGAAATGGAGAAGTGGAAGAGGACAAGTCATAGGGATTGGAGGCCGGTAGTGGTGACTGAAGAGGCGGCAGCAGCGACCTGGTCGAAGAGTGCTGCTGCCCTCCACACTGGGTGGCGCAGACGCGACTGGGCGACTCGGGTGAGGAGTGACGCGCAGTGCTGTTGGAAATAAGGGGCAAGGGGTGAAGGGGAAGAGGAGATGTGGATTGCTCGGGTAGCAGAGGCAGCGACCTGGTCGAAGAGTGCTGCTGCCCTCCACACTGGGTGGCGCAGACGCGACTGGGCCACACGGGTCAGGAGTGAGGCGCAGTGCTGCTTGGGAGGAGGGGTAGGAAAAGAGGGGGGTGAGAGGGGAAGGGGCGAGGGGCGAAGTGGAGCAGAAGGGAAGAAAGATGAAATTCGGAGAGTCGAGTTGGGGGAGGTAGGGGAGGAGAAGCGGGAAGGAAAGGGGGAAAGGGGGAAAGGGGGAAAAGGGGAAAGGGAGAAGGGGAGTGATGAGACACCTGAGAGACATACACCCACCAGCAAACACCACCACACACCCACTTCCACCCACCTGCGGCCAAGAGTACTTCTGAATGTTGGCCAGCGCTGACTTGTGGCAATCAGTCCAAAGGCTCTGCCCACCACCAGCTGCAGCAACGCCTGAGTAACTCACCTGACGTGCCTACGAAACAGAGCGTCCAGACAACCCACCTGCAGCCACGAAAATCTGTGGATGTTGGCGAGAGCAGATTGCGGCAATCGGTCCACAGCGCCCTGTCCGCCACCAGCTGTAGCAACGCCTGGGAAACTCTGTTGATGCGCCTACATAACCGACCATGCACCCACCTGCGGCCAGACCACCCACCTGCGGCCAGGAGTACTTGTGAATGTTGGCCAGAGCTGACTTCCTGCAATCGGTCCACAGCGCCCTGTCCGGCACCACCAGCTGTATAAGGACCTACACCCATGGCACAGGCCATGCACCCACCTGCGGCCAATTGCACCCACCTGCGGCCAGGAGTACTTGTGAATGTTGGCCAGAGCTGACTTCCTGCAATCGGTCCACAGCGCTCTGTCTGCCACCAGCTGCAGCAGCGCCTCTGCCAGTGCGTTGGCATCATGTGGATCCACCACCAGCCCGTTGCTCAGCATCTGAGAGAATGGGGAGAGCACAGATGGGGATGGTTGGGGGGAGTGGGGTAGGAGGAAAGAGGTTAGAGGTTGAGTGTTGTAGCAGCGCGGACGCCAGGGCGTTGGCGTCGTGAGGATCCACCACCAGCCCGTTGCTCAGCATCTGAACAGATTGCGAGAATGCAAGGAGCAGGAACAGGAGAACGTGGCAGAGTGAGAATGCAAGGACAGCAGAAGCGCCCACTTCATCCCCCCACCAGGGCGTTGGCGTCATGTGGATTCGCCACCAGCCCGTTGCTCAGCATCTGAACAGATTGCGAGAATGCAAGGAGCAGGAACAGGAGAACGTGGCAGAGTGAGAATGCAAGGACAGCAGAAGCGCCCACTTCATCCCCCCACCAGGGCGTTGGCGTCATGTGGATTCGCCACCAGCCCGTTGCTCAGCATCTGCACCAGGCGAAAGGGAAAGGGAAGGATGAGGGAGAGAGGGAAGGGGAGAAAGTGGCAGACTGAGGATGCAAGGACAGCAGAAGAGCCCTCCTTGGTCCCCCTCCAGGGCGTTGGCGTCATGAGGGTCGAGCACCAGTCCGTTGCTCAGCATCTGCACGACAAGGGGGGGGGAAGGCAGGAGAGAGGAAAGGCGGCGGGAGGGAGATTGAAAGGTCCGGGTTTCACACGGCCCAATAGCCAACTGCGGTACACGTGGAGGTTTGAGTTACCACCACGTGTAACTCCCGAGGACGTCCATGCCAAAAGCACGAGGACGTTTCAAAGATGGCGTGGTCACGAGAAAGCCGTGCGGTGGCGGGCCGAAATCAGCAAGAAAGATGCACAGAAAGCACCTGGCAACGTGGTTACACTGTAACAGATTTTGTTTTAATATCGTGAGCACTCACCTTCTGGATGTCAACTGGTCCGCCGTTCTTAGTGGCCACCATGGGCAGCCCGTGCGCTGCTGCCTGTGGTGTGAAAGGGGACGAATGGACGGGAAGAATAAACCGGAGGGAAAGAGAGGCAGAGGGAAGGAAAGAGAGCACCACCAAGGAGGACTTTATTGAATAGCCTGAGTTTGGCTCTCCCTACACCATAATCGCCACCATAAAGATGCCATGCTCTGACAGTTGTTGTGCAACGGGGAAGGGTGGTTGGCAGGGAGGGAGAGAAGGAGGGCATGGAGGAAAGGCCCAGAACGTTCCAACAGCAGTAAGGTCAGTGGTAGGAATTCAAATGGTCGTGACCCAGCCCAGCATGACGTGTAGGGAATCTTTTCTGAAATTTCATACCAAAAAAAAAAAGAAAAAGAAAAAAAAGAGGTGTTTAGGGAGTGTGGAAATGATATTTTTGAGACGTATCAAAACTTCAGAGGTGTTTAGGGAGTGCGGAAATGATATTTTGAGACGTCTTAACACTTAAGAGGTGTCTAGTGATCCCTACACGTACCTCGATGAGAGTGAGGCCGAACGGCTCCACGAGTGCTGGATTCACAAACACGCCCTGCAGAGGAGAAAGAGGGAATCCAGCCAGGGAACGGAAAAAGAGGGGAGCACAGACGAGGACAGCAATGGTCAGGCGGTTGACAGACCCCCACCCCCGAGATTGCAATTTGGACAAGCGTTTTGGACTCACACACACTCCTAACTGCCTGAAGCTAAGGCGACAAAGGGCCATGGACAGGTGACAATGGAGACAGAATGTTTGTAACCAGGTGTTTTGAGGTAGGCCAGGTGTTTTGAGGTAGGCCAGGTGTTTTGAGGTAGGCCAGGTGTTGAGGTAGGCCAGGTGTTGAGGTAGGCCAGGTGTTGAGGTAGGCCAGGTGTTGAGGTAGGCCAGGTGTTGAGGTAGGCCAGGTGTTGAGGTAGGCCAGGTGTTGAGGTAGGCCAGGTGTTGAGGTAGGCCAGGTGTTGAGGTAGGCCAGGTGTTGAGGTAGGCCAGGTGTTGAGGTAGGCCAGGTGTTGAGGTAGGCCAGGTGTTGAGGTAGGCCAGGTGTTGAGGTAGGCCAGGTGTTGAGGTAGGCCAGGTGTTGAGGTAGGCCAGGTGTTTGAGGTAGGCCATCTGGCCGTACATGTCACGCTCGTCAATCAGCTTCAGCACCGCTGATAGCATTGTCAACACACCAGGACATACCATAATCCGCCGCACCGCACAACACCGCACCACAGCACACCAACACCTGCCTGGATCACCGTTCTGCACACCTTGGACTTGGCAGCGAGGGCGTAGATGTCCGGCACTTCAGCCTGCTTGTGGTGCTTGGGGTAGGCCACCAAAACCTACCCTAGGCCTCCCTTTACCCCTTAGTGTACGAAATCCTTAGATGAGAAGGCAAAGGCAGCACCTTGGACTTGGCAGCGAGGGCATAGATGTCGGGCACCTCCGCCTGCTTGTGGTGCTTGGGGTATGCCACCTGCCCGTACAGGTCGTACTTGTCTATCAGCTTCAGCACCGCTGTCAGCAGTGTTGGCACACCACACCACCACAACCTACCACACTGCACCGTATTACACCTATTATGTGTCTGGATCCCCTCCTCTCCTCACCTTCGACTTGGCAGCGAGTGCGTATATATCTGGGACCTCCATCTGCTTGTGGTGCTTGGGGTAGGCCACCTGACCGTACAGGTCGTACTTGTCTATCAGCTTGAGCACTGTCGTCAGCACCTCAGCGTTGCCCGCACTCATGGCGTCAATGTCGTCGCGATTGCCCATCACCAGGCACTGGGGAGAGGGTGGGTTACCATGGGTTTGGATGGGTTGGGATGGGTTGGGGTGGGGGGTTGAGGATGGGAGGAAGGCAAGTGCAAATTTCAGCTTGAGCACTGTCGTCAGCACCTCAGCGGCGTTGCCCACACTCATGAAGTCGATGTCGTCGTGATTGCTCATCACGAGGCACTGTGGAGAGACGGAGAGGGTGGGTTGGCATGGGTTTGGATAGGTTGGGAGGGGTTGGGGTTTGATGATGGGTGGACGGCAGATGCATATTTGTCTATCAGCTTGAGCACTGCCGTCAGCACCTCAGCGTTGCCCGCACTCATTGCATGAATGTCGTCGCGGTTGCCCATCACCAGACACTGCAGTGGGGAGGGGGGAGTGTGCGTGGTCGTGGGGAAATATTTGGAAGGGAGAGTGGGCGGGTTGCCTTGGGGAAAATAAAGATGCAACATAGCATAGCATAGCATCTGGTAACACATACATTCTGTTGCATCGCCTGGCAGGCAGCGATCTAGGAAGAAATCTTGACATAAGCACATGAAAAGATCTTCTCCACGTTCCAAGCCTTATCCATTTCGCAAGGTCCCTTGAGGCCTGCTCCTGCTACTCACCAGGTTGGCGAGGTCTCTTAAAGCCTGGCACTCCCCGAAGGCGCGCACGAGCGTGGTGAGATTCTTCTTGGGGTCGGGACGAGCGAGAGCAAGGATGATGGGCTTGTGTGGGTTGGACCAGAACTTGCGCACCTGTGTGGGGGACGGCAGGGGGGGAGTTAAAGGGGGACCGGGGGGTGGGTGGTGGGGGTGAAACAGATGGGGAGAACAGGGAGGGATGACGAGAGGGCCAGGATAATGGGCTTGTGCGGGTTGGACCAGAACTTGCGGACCTGCGTGGGGGGAAGAGGGGGAGGGAGAGGGTTTATATATGCGGGGGGAAAAAAAAAGGGGGCAGGTGGGGTCGGGCAGGGCCATGATGATGGGCTTGTGCGGGTTGGACCAGAACTTGCGCACCTGTGAGGAAGAGAAGGGGGAGACAGGGGGGGGGGGGGGGGCGGATGGGGGGGGCGGCATGGAAGATGATAACAAAGGAATGTGCTACAAACAAGGCTTTCTTCCATACCTCCTTTGAGTGGCCTTCAAAAGTCATGATGGCTACAAAAGATTTCTAAACTACGAACCTTATGATGAAAGAAGTGAGCTACAGACGAGTTGCTCCATACCTCGGCCCAGATGGGAGGCTCAGGCCCGGGCGAATCAGAGCCGTCGATATCTGGGACGACCACATTCGAGAAATCCATTCCTGGGGGGATGACCTGATGGGTTGAGTGCGGTGAGGAGGAACAGGAATGGGACGGAGCGAATGGGGGGTGATTGAACGAAGGGGTGAAGCAAGGTTCGAATAGCTGGGAGCTATGACAGGGATGACCGCATTTAAAAGGGATGAAAGGGAATAGTTTTGTACTCGGGGCTAGGGGTTTTGAACCCTACACCCTCTCCCACCACCCCCACTGCCCAACAGTTCCTCGTGCGACAGTGACACGGATGGAGAGGGGGCGGAGGGGAGGGGTATACGGATGTCGAGGACTACTATGCGTGGGGTAAAGTGATGGGTCCTATTCGTGTTTCCTCATTTCGTGCTACTGCTATGTCTCGCAAATGAGGAAGCACAAAAAAAGACCCATTTCCTGTACTCCACACATTGTAGGCCTCGACATCCATACACCCCTCCCTCCTCCTCCTCTCCATCCGTGTCACTGTTGCACGAGGAACTGTTAGGGCAGTGGGGTTGGTGGGAGAGGGTGTAAGGTTCAAAACACTTAGCTCCGAGTACCAAACGATTGATGTTTGATCTACTACCTCTTCCCCTCTCCTGGCCTACTAGCCACCTCCTCCCCCTCCCTCTCCTTAACCAAAACCCGAAACCCTGTATCCCCATACTCACCACCATGCGGGGCATGAAGCGGCCGTGGCAGCTGACTCCCCTTAACTGCCGGGCGCGCAGCACTCTCTCCAGGCGCACGTCAAAGCCGTCATACAGCCCCCACTGCTCCTCCACCTCCTGTCGCGTGCTCGTCACCACCAGCTCTGCTGCATCCAAGGAGAACTCCTCTGCGTCTATCCTAAACCTGATGGGGGTCCAGCCTCCGAACCCTCAACGCAAAACCCTAAAACCTGTGTCCCCATGTGTACTCACCGCCTTGCGGGGCATGAAGCGGCCGGGCTGACTCCCCTTAACTGCCGGGCGCGCAGCACCCTCTCCAGGCGCACGTCAAAGCCGTCATACAGCCCCCACTGCTCCTCCACCTCCTCCACTTTTACCCCTTAAACCCTTAACCCCCTGTAACCCGTGCACTCATGTGTACTCACCGCCATGCGCGGCATGAAGCGGCCGTGGCAGCTGACCCCTCGGAGCTGCCGGGCGCGCAGCACCCTCTCCAGGCGCACGTCAAAGCCATCGTACAGCCCCCACTGCTCCTCCACCTCCTGCCGCGTGCTCGTCACCACCAGCTCTGCTGCATCGAGAGAAAACTCCTCGGCTTCGATGCGCCGGTCGATGGCGTACTGCGTGTTGATCTCCGCGCGGCTCATGCGGCCCTGCTTCAGCAGCTGCTCCAGCTTGTTGCGCCCCAGGGAGTGGCCCGTTAGGACCATCGGGACGTTCAGTGCACCTGGAAAGATTGGGGCAGGGGGGCAAGGGAGGAGAAGAAGGAAGGGGGAGAGTGTTGATTCAGCAGCTGCTCCAGCTTGTTGCGCTCCAGGGAGTCGCCTGTCAGCACCATCGGCACGTTCAATGCACCTGGAGGGATTGGGGCAGGTGGGGGCGGGTGGGGGCAGAGGGGGGGGAGGAGGAGAGGGAAGTTTCTGCTTCAGCAGCTGCTCCAGATTGTTGCGCCCCAGGGAATGGCCGGTCAGGACCATGGGAACGTTCAGTGCACCTGGACAGGTTGGGCCGGAGGGTGAGGAGGGGAGGGGGGGAGAATGGGAAGGTGCTGATTCAGCAGCTGCTCTGACTTGTTCGGAAGGGAGTAGCCAGTAAGGAACATGGGCACGTCCTGGACAGACAAACGCAGGAGGGATGACAAACACGATTGCACAACAGCACCCACCTGAGAGCAGTGCGGCTATGTCCCCAGCATCGGCATAGTGCCCGTGGATCATGTAGGGCCACACGCGCTGCCCATCACCGATCTGGTCAGCCAGTTCTCTCGACATGTGCATGATGTGCGTGAGAGCTCCGTCCAGAAACTCGTCCACGTAGGGCCACAGCGCCTCCTTGCGCAGGTACTGGCCTCTTGAGACGTCTCAAAACAGCCACCAACCTGAGGCTCATGAGAGAACTGACCTGAGAGGAGTGCGGCTATATCCCCAGCATCGGCGTAGTGCCCGTGAATCATATACGGCCACACGCGCTGCCCGTCGCCGATCTGATCCGCCAGTTCTCTTGACATGTGCATGATGTGCGTGAGAGCCCCAAGACACGACTGGTGAACCAGCACACTCACCTGAGAGCAGCGCTGCAATGTCTCCTGCGTCTGCATAGTGCCCGTGGATCATATACGGCCACACGCGCTGTCCATCCCCGATCTGATCCGCCAGTTCCCGGGACATGTGCATGATGTGCGTGAGAGCCCCGTCCACAAACTCGTCCACGTACGGCCACAGCGCCTCCTTGCGCAGGTACTGGTCTCGTGGCCCGCAGGGTAGGCGGATGATGTACGCGCCCGCGCTCTCCCCCGCTATCAGCCCGTCGGGGTCGTAGCGGAGAGAGCTCAGCATCTCTGAGGGTTCTCCGTATGACCAATCGACCTAAAATCGTGGGGAGAAACAGGAAATGGGGGAGATGGGATGGGAGGAGGGGCGTGTGGGTGCGGTTGAGTGCGGTTGGCAGGGGTTTAGTCAGTGGTTGGACCAAGGGCCCGGCAACAAGAGAAACTGGTGGGCGTGGGGCCAGAGCGCCTCCTTGCGCAGGTACTGGTCACGCGGGCCGCAGGGTAGGCGGATGATGTACGCGCCCGCGCTCTCCCCCGCTATCAGCCCGTCCGGATCGTAGCGCAGAGAGCTTAGCATCTCTGAGGGCTCGCCGTACGACCAATCGACCTAAAGCACAGCGAGAATGGGGAAACAGGAGCAGGGAGAAGAGGAGAGGGGCGTGTGTATGCGGTTGAGTGCGGTAGGCAGGGGTTCAGTGAGTGGGCCAAGGGGCGGCCACAGCGCCTCCTTGCGCAGGTGCTGGCCGCGCAGGCCGCACGACAGGCGGATGATGTAGGCGCCCACGCTCTCCCCCCGCTATCAGCCCATCCGGATCGTAGCGCAGGGAGCTGATCATCTCGGATGGTTCTTCATACGACCAGTCCACCTGGGAAGTGGTTGGGTGCGGTTGGCAAGGGTTCATATAGTGAGCTAAGGACAAGGATGATGTAGCCCACGCTCTCCCCCGCTATCAGCCCGTCCGGATCGTAGCGCAGGGAGCTGATCATCAATGAGGGTTCTCCATACGACCAGTCCACCTGGGAAGCAGAAGGGAGGGGGAGTGGTTGGGTGCGGTTGGCAAGGGTTCCGTCAGTGGGCCAAGAGCCGGCCACAAAGCATCAAGTGAGGCCCGCGCTCGCAGCCACTATCAGCTCATCCTGGTCGTAGTGCAGCGAGGATTTTGGTGGGTAAGCAGATCGACGCAGTGCACACACACACACCTTTGGCATGTACGCCAGGGTGTTCCCTCTTTCCTAACGAGCAGCTCCAAACCCACCCGCACCACTCTCCACCTCTTTAACACCGCTCAGCACCGCTCACCACCACTCACAACCACTTACCCCAGGAGCAACGATCTGGCGTGTGAGCAGATCCACACGGTACACCTGAGGCATGGACGCCAGGGCTCTCGCGATCTCCACCACGTATTTCACCTGGACAAGGTGGGGAGGGGGTGGTGGTGGTGTGAGAAGGGGAGTGCGAGGAACAGATGAGGTAACTTCCTGAGGCATGGACGCCAGGGCTCGTGCAATCTCCACCACGTATTTCACCTGCAAGCAGTGGGGGAGAAGGAAGAGAG